AAGGCACCTGCAGCTAGGCAGGTAAGGCACCTGCAGCTAGGCAGGTAAGGCACCTGCAGGTAAGGCACCTGCAGCTAGGCAGGTAAGTGGTTTGCCAGGTGTAGACACGTTGTGGTAACCACTAATCCCACGGACTCCTCGGCGTTGCAGGTGACCGAGACGCAACAGGTAGAAGCGAGTTGGGCATGTAACAATAAAAATGGGTAAGGTGAGCAGACACCACACACAGGCGGACAGGTAGGCGGACTCGCACAGACACTCGGAGGCGGACAGGTGGACCCACACAGACACGGGTAAGGTAGACAACTTGGTACAGATACTGATAGGTGTCCATGCAGACTGACAACAACACCACCCTCACAGGGAGACGGACGTGGACACGAGTAGACAGACAGGTAGACTGACAGTCGCGAGAAGGTAGGCAGACTGACACGGCTAGGCACGGGCAGGCACGGGTACTGCATGTAGCCACACGTAGGCAGGCAGACGAACAAAAAGACGGACACAGAGAGACAGATAAGCCAGTCAGAGATACACTCACACAGAGAGTGACTGACACAGGCAGGCATGGGTAAGGCATGGGTAAGGCAGTAAACTACTCACCTCGCCGGGCAGGGCTGAGCCGCTCTGGTCGGAGATTCTGCCGATTTATTGGGCGAATCTTCTCCGGCACTTCGTCCTCCGTGTGTCAGCCCCGCACACTCACTGACCCCACTCACTATTCACACTCACTGACCCACTCACTACTCACTGACCCCACTCACTACTCACTGACCCACTCACTACTCACTGACCCACTCACTGGTTGAGTACCGGGGCGGGTGTGCGACTGAGCGCCTGACCACGCCGCACTGAAGTGACTGAATGTCGCCAGGGCCTGCCTGCCCAAATAACCCAGTGACCACGTACCTTGACTTGAGCACCGCACTGCCTGGAGTGGCTTGGTGCCTATATGCCTGACACACTGCCTGTGTGCGCGTCTCAATCCCCGACAAGCTGAATCACTGAGTACCTGACTCACCGAATGACTGCCTAACCGAGTACCTGACTGATCGGCTCGAGTGACTGATTACCCCGACCGAGTGCCGAGTTCCTTGCTAAGTGACGGAGCAGCCGGCTGAGTGACTGAGTCACCCTGGGCTGAGTGGCTAAGTCACCTTTGGCTGAGTGGCTAAGTCACCCCGGGCCGAGTGACTGAGTCACCCTGGGCTGAGTGGCTAAGTCACCCTGGACTGAGTGACTGAGTCACCCTGGACTGAGTGACTGAGTCACCCTGAACTGAGTGACTGAGTCACCCTGGGCTGAGTGGCTAAGCACCCCGGGCTGAGTGACTGAGTCACCCTGGACTGAGTGACTGAGTCACCCTGGGCTGAGTGGCTAAGTCACCCCGGGCTGAGTGGCTGAGTCACCCCGAGCTGAGTGACCTAGTCACCCCGGGCTGAGTGGCTGAGTCACCCCGAGCTGAGTGGCTAAGTACCCCGGGCTGAGTGACTGAGTCACCCCGAGCTGAGTGGCTAAGTACCCCGGGCTGAGTGACTGAGTCACCCTGGACTGAGTGACTGAGTCACCCTGGACTGAGTGACTGAGTCACCCCGGACTGAGTGGCTAAGTACCCCGGGATGAGTGGCTGAGTCACCCCGAGCTGAGTGGCTAAGTACCCCAGGCTGAGTGGCTGAGTCACCCCGGGCTGAGTGGCTAAGAACCCAGGGCTGAGTGACTGAGTCACCCCGGGCTGAGTGGCTAAGTACCCCGGGCTGAGTGACCGAGTCACCCTGGGCCGAGTGGCTAAGTCAACCCGGGCTGAGTGGCTAAGTACCCCGGGCTGAGTGACTGAGTCACCCCGAGCTGAGTGGCTAAGTACCCCGGGCTGAGTGACTGAGTCACCCTGGGCTGAGTGGCTAAGTACCCGGGCTGAGTGACTGAGTCACCCCGAGCTGAGTGACTGAGTCACCCCGAGTTGAGTGGCTAAGTACCCCGGGCTGAGTGACTGAGTCACCCCGAGCTGAGTGACTGAGTCACCCCGGGCTGAGTGACTGAGTCACCCCGGGCTGAGTGGCCGACTTGAGTCCCCTCGCCCCACAGGCGAATATGGCGAGGGGCAGGTCACGTGGGGCTGGGGAGAACGACGCGATGGCGAACAAAACTGTTCACGCGTAGACCAGAGAGACAGGGGACGAGACTGTTCACTTACACGGGGAGCGTGGATGGAGGACGAGACTGTTCACTTACACAAAGAGAGTGAATGGAGGACGAGACTGTTCACTTACACGGGGAGCGTGGATGGAGGACGAGACTGTTCACTTACACAAAGAGAGTGAATGGAGGACGAGACTGTTCACTTACACGGGGAGCGTGGATGGAGGACGAGACTGTTCACTTACACAAAGAGAGTGAATGGACAAGACTGTTCACTTTTATGGGGAAAGTAGATGGAGACGAAGACTGTTCACTTATATGGGGAGAGTGGATGGAGTACGAGACTGTTCACTTACACAGAGTGGATGGTGTACGAGACTGTTCACTTACACAGTGGATGGAGTATGAGACTGTTCACTTACAGAGAGTGGATGGAGTGCGAGACTGTTCACTCATAGGGATAAACGATATCATCAGAATGTTTATTTATACTGGACGAATCCGATGAGCTATAAAGTGATTTTTCACAGATGTCCAGTAGGGGTACGGGGCAAGAACGTTACAACAACAAAAATACAAAAACACGATAATCGTGCAAAGTACAAGGTGAACAAATCACCTAAACACGTACAAATATTAACTAAACCATCCCCATATAAGTGAACAGTCTCGTCTTCCAAAGCCCACTGAGGTTTAGAATTATTTTAAAGAAGCAATTTGACTGCCACAAATGATAGATAGCTCAACGAAGTTGCCCATCATTTGGCCATTCACAGCCGCAAACTAATCTAAATCATCCCAATGGATTGTTTCTAAATGTGGAAGGGAAAACCGGAGGACCCGGAGAAGAAAAATCCACACGACCACGGGGAGAGAGAGACACGCAAACTCCAAATATACAGCAGCAACCGTCAGGGTCGGGGTCGAACCCACCACCTCCTGTATACCAGGCGAGGTAGTTAACATCTCCCAGCCACCGTGGTGATGATGGAGAGACACGCAAACTCCAAATATACAGCAGCAGGCATCGTCAGGGTCGGGGTCGAAGCCACGACCTCCTGTATACCAGGCGAGGTAGTTAACATCTCCCAGCCACAGTGTCACATTAAACCACAAGAAAGTCAAAAACAAAATAATAAGAGCCGATATTTTTCAATTAGTTACAATACCAGCAGCAGTCTTATTAGTGTGTAGCTCAACATGCTTGCTGTACAACAGTCCTTGGAGTATGCGTGTATGTTGAACTTCTTTCGCACCGTACCTGGCCAACCGATTAGCACAATCGGAGGTGCCGGGGGAAGGGCAACAAACGAAAGCACTTTTGAAGCAGAAATTCGTTTTCGATCTCGAAAAGTGATCGGGGACTCCCCGTGGGCAACAAACTAAACCACTTTCGAAGCAGAAATTCGTTTTCGATCTCGAAAAGTGATCGGGGACTCCCCGTGGGCAAAAAAAAAACTAAAGCACTTTCGAAGCAGAAATTCGTTTTCGATCTCGAAAAATGATCGGGGACTCCCCGTGTGCATTGCAAGTGGTTGTCCGGAACCAGAATCACCAGGGCCTGGGATACATCAAGCGGAAGGGTTAGAGGCAAGTCGAAGAAGGCTGACCCCTCTACCGCCCCCTTTGTGGCAAGGGAGGAAGCGATGCTACAGAACTTGCTGTGGACTGTGGTGAACATTGGGTGTTGCGACTGCTGGATCAGAGTGTTCTTCATTGCAAGGCCCGCGGGCTCACTGGTGGCCCCTAGTGGCCATTAGTGAGGGCCCACCGACAATACGCAACGCGTGAACTCGCCCCCATCATCATCGTGCTGCTGCCAAACAATCCCAAAGGTTTCAAATGTGTGGGGGACTCTCTCACGCTGATGATGTCGCCTCGGCGACAGTGGGGCCCCCCACCCCACCTCTGAAAATGAGTGAAGAACACTGCGCTGGATGTCGTGAAATCTTGTGCTTGCTGGATGGTGTCGAGTCGCTGTGGTGTCTGGCATATTGTGCTGAACTGATGGTGCGGAGTTGCTGCCATCTGGTGGATTGTTGTGGTGTTGGAGGCCACGTCGAGTCTCTGGCGAAGAGGGGTTCTGGTCGGATAACAGTCGTGGATCCCTCGGGATCCACACCGATCTCCATAACCAAACAATGTAACGAAGACATTATGGGACCTCCCTTGCCAGTACCAAGGTATATATATAAAAAAAATAGGTTTTACCCTTTCTGGCTGTCTTTTTGCATGTTCACTAGTAAATGTGGTTAAGGCAGACATGATTCCTTGCAAAAGGTTTCAGTTTGGTGTTTTAACATCTTAACACAGCTGTTTTATTGCCAGAAAGGGTAAAACCCTTAACGTAACAAAGGATGGTGTAAAATCACGTGTGCGTGTGTGATGCGAGACCCCACCAGTGAAATTCTAATTAATTTGGCGGACGGTGCGGACTTCCTCCACATCCGGATGGCGATCCAAACCAGCCCTGGTGCCCATTGGTGGTTGAGGCAACGTTGCTTCAAAAGTACGAGTTCGGGAAGGTGCTAGGGTGTAGTTGGTACGAGTGTGAACTGGATATGCGTAAATGACACTTTAGTCACTGTGTGTTGAACTTCTTTCGCACCGTACGTAGCCAACCGTGCTCAGAGGTGCCGGGGGATAACAAACTAAAACTGCACGACTCGGCGAAAACTCTCGTGGTGCCCAGTCTTCACAAAATAAAGACAAAGTCACCATGAACCTAGTGTGGTCGCCAGTGAAATTGTCTCACACCAGTCGTAACACGCATAAAGTGACTGGGCTGGCCGAACACTGGAAACGCATCCTAAAGGTCACGCAAGATTTAGCCTGCAACTCGGACCCAACCACAACACGAGAAGACAAATTCACCTTTCTTTTATTGTTAAAACTTCTTAGACAGCAAATGCATTTTTGCCCTGCATGTAGTGATTACTGCCATAACCGACCGACTTGTGTTCAACGGTGAACAGGCTGCAGTGGTTTACAAGACGGGAGAGTGAAGAAGCCGATTGGGCCACGCAGACCCACACACAGCAGTCGCTCTCCTAAACGTTTACATTCAATGTAAAAGTCCTTCACTTAGCAAACGGAGAACTTTGCGAGGCACGGCTAACCTCTTTCACAAAGGGTAGCGAATAACCAAACTTTCAAATAGCTTCCTATTTTGTATTCATCTCACAGCCTTTTGCCAATCCCACTGTGCGAAGGGCCCCCCCCCCCCTTTTCCCCACCGCCGTGTCGACCGTGGGAATTTGTTTGACCATACTTCACCGCGCAGGTCAGTGCGGGGTGAAGCAGGGGCCCAGAAACGGTTCAGATATCACTGGCCACGGACATTCGAATAAGTTGCGCGATTTTTTTTCCATTTAAACTTGTAACGCGCGCACCCTCTGCTCGCGCTTGGAAAGAGCGCGAACGACTCGAGAGACGCGAGGAGCCGCAGTAGCGGGAAGGAGACCACGTGGAGAGCAGGCGCCAATGATTGCCCAAGCTCTGCGGGTCCTCTGTATGTTAAGGTGTTATTGGCGAATTAATGAGTGCTTTACATGTGGGAAGAAACCAGAGCGCTTGGAGAAAACCCACGCACGCGAAGGGGAAACGCTCTATCCCACACGGACTTAACCTGTGGAGTCCATATTTTTTTCTGTACCGCATTCTCCTGGCAAAGCCAAGGCATAGCAGCACCTCGACGTCCCCACTCCGGAGTTAGTGCGACCCCCCCACCAACCCTCACCTCAATATTAAAAGGCCACTAAAGCCTGGCTAATTGGTTGTGGCCAGGAATCAAACTTGGGGCATTTTACATTTTGATATGTAATTTTAGAGACCGTTGTCAACCCACTGCTGGATGAGGCCTTCCCCACGCCGTGTTGTTGGTCATTGCTTAAACGACCTCTACTTCATAATACTGGTGAGTGTGGACTGGGGTCAGATTGCATTCACCATCGAATTTCCAGGAAACGAACTCTGCTTGCCAGGCTTATAGTGATATGCACTAACCACTGCGCCAACGCTCTGCCCAAACGATGGGATTGGTGCCACGATAATGAAACACAACGGTATATTACTGGACTTACAAAAAGGCATCACATATTTAACATTCGCTCTGCCCCACCTGGTTTTGGCAACAACAACAAAAAAAAAGGTTTTCCAATGTCTTGGCTAATATTGAGTCGCAAAGGGAGTTGTGGTTTTCTTAACACAAACTCAATTACCTTCAGTCTGAAGATCACCGGTCATTCGTGCGACGTTGGTTAAGCAGCTCTTTTCGGGAGGCACTGTTTAGTGTTGTTCTTGTAAAAAGGACAATTCAACTACAAAACAAATAACGACACAATCACATTCTACGCACAATTCTCAAAACAAACCGTTTCTCCCCACTGCGGCTTTCTCTCCATGCCCTCCAACATGGCATCGAATAAAACCATGAAAGTGCGCTGCTCGCAGAAAAATCCTTGCAATGGCTCGCAGAAAAATCCTTGCAATGGTAAAAGTACAATTACTTGCCACGTTTCAAAACGATAAGTTAACGGGGGGGGGGGTGGAAAAATGCACGTCGCTGAGTAGCGTAGAAAGGCGCTTGAGAAGGGGGGGGTGCGCGCCGCAAGCCAGCACGATCTTTCGCGAGTCGCCGACCGTGATTGGCACGGGCCCTCCCACCCCGCTGCAACGAAATAAAATGTCTCTTCTACATAGCCCGGCGCCTAGGCGTCAGACTCGTCGACCCATGGGGCTGCACACAGTGGATAGCCCACGCCACACTCTCCCAAACCCTGCGCCACGCCCCGTCCCCCCACCCCCAGAACCAGACTCGACCGCCGACGCTCGCGTCGTCCACAGGTTCGTCCGCCCGTCGATTACGCCCACCACTTTCGCGTACACCCACCACGATCGCCGCACTTGCGAGCGCCCGCCAACCCGCCCGCCCGCCCGCCCGCCCGCTTTACATTTCACAAACCCCGCTGCAACAAATCCGCGCTTCGCAGTCCCATCGCGAAGACGTGGTGTACTGTAATGGGAGGGGAGAGGGGGTTTGGTATCATGGGCGATATTGGCCTCAGTGGGGAACGGGCGAGATGGGAAATGAGTCCTGACAAGGCTGACCACAACAATGCAAGTGCACACGCGTCTGTGCGTGCGTGTGCGTGCCAGATGTGTACGGGTGCACGGAGGAATGAGGGCGTCACATGAGCATGCAATGGCACTGCACGCTGGGAGTCCTCTCTCTCCGCCACTTCTCCCTCTTCTTGTTCTTCTTCTCTGGAACCTGCTCCCTGCAGAAGACAAACAAAACGACGATTCCCTCGAGCGAGTGCCAAGAGCCGAGAGGACCGACTGAGGCTGACACGGTGCGCTTGATCTCACGGGGCAACGCCGACGCCACGACCGGTAATGCGACTTGGGGGGAAAAAAAAAATTGGGTAGCGGAACGTCAACCGGTAAACTTTTTCGGTGGAGCGAATGCACCGATTGGCACACGCGAACCTGTAAACCGCACGGCGCTCTAAGTCCCCGTGTGGGGCATGCGCGCCTCGTTTCTAAGTGGCAAGGTAAAGGTGCAACCCTGCAACCGCTTGCTCATGGCACCGACGGCGAAAGAGCCTCTGCGAGAGATTGACATTAATACTTTACCCCACCAATACATCACGGAAATCAGCTAACCTTTCCGCTCTCCCATTCAGTTATCGGCAATGCACACAAAGAAAGATTTTAACGAGATCATTTAAAAAAAAAATTTTACACGATAACCACGCTGTCGCTTACCGGATGACCCGCACGAGCTCGTGGAAGGCCTGGTCGACGTTCAGCGGCGGGTCCTTGGCGCTCGTCTCGATGTACGGGATCTGCACGACAGAATTCTTACGCGTCATTTTGGAAACCCCCGGGGGTTTACGCTTTTCTACTGAAGGCAATAAATAGGACTCGCCTGCCACTACCCCAAGCAGTGCCATGGCTTTGTCTGTAAGGTACGTGATTAATTGGCCAACTCCCAACATGACCCAAAATGGATGCATTTTGGGCCTTCGCCTCCACCTGCCTACCCCTGTAAACATCGCTTCGATTGACGTTGTCACATACTTTCAGGAAACGCATCCCTGACGGAAACCGGGGTATTACTGCATATCCAATGAACCAAATAATGTATTATCTTGTGCCGTGGCGGAGGGGTGTGGGTAGGGTGGGTTGGTGGGACGGGTAAGCAACGTCGTTTCGGGGCGTTACGACCGCTGTCCTCACGTTGTACTTGGCCGCCATGTCGCGGCCCTGCTCGGACGAGATCTTGCGAAGGTGCAGCAGGTCCACCTTGTTAGCCACCAGCACCATGGGGAATGAGTCCCTGCGGGGGGCAGGAAAGAGGACAGGGCAGACGACAACGGCACCCAAACACACACAGGTCAAGTGCGTCAGAGGTGAGATGTTAACTCCCTAAAACTATTTTAAAAAATATTTCACCAGGTAAGGTCCGATTTTTCCCCTCCACAAAAAAAACACGTGTTTAGAGCATTTGGCTGCCATATATTTCCAGATAAGCCACTTCGTTGAGCTAACATTTGTGATGGCCAAGTTAACTATACAGTTCAGTGGGCCCTACCTGGTAAAATAAAAAATAGTTTAAATAGTAATAGTTTCGTGGCTGCTCTGATAGTTGGCGAATGGAGAGGGAGAGAGGGGGCGTGTGAATGGGTAGGCTTGATTTAACATGTAGGCTTTCGCGACCAATATTATTCATAATAAAGGTTTTTGGGTTAGAGCGCGTTATTCATAAATGTATCGCAACCCTCCACCACCCAACATGGCCAATCAGTAAAAAATGTGTCGCAATTTTTTAGTACTATGTTTAACTGGTAATTACATTCAGCATCATCGGGCAATTTGTAAATGTTGTGGATTCACTATTCAACGTACCACATTGTCAACGTACCACATTTTTTACCGATTGGCCGTGTTGGGTGGTGGAGGGTTGCGACACATTTATAAATAATGTGATCTAACCCAAAAAACCTTTATTGTGTATGGTAGGCTTGGTGTCTGCGATGCCCTCCGATTCACACGATCCTCTTTCCGTCTCTCAATGTAATTTCAAGCATGCAAGCAGCCCCCTACGCTTGTTGCGGAGGTTCAACTCACGCAGGACGCTCTCGTGTTATCACTGCGGGTGAAACGGTCCTGAAATAACGCTCCATCCGCTTCACAGTGGAAGTTAGAAGTTCCCCCCCGATGCCATTCGAAACGCGAAGGTCCACTTCCGCTAAATAAAAAAAAAATCACACCGCAAATTACTCTATTGGGATCACACACGGCAACGTCGACACCCACCACCCCTGCTGTAAAACTACCGACTACTTCTGTGAAGAAAAAAAAAAAAATCGCACCTTTCTCTGCGATAACCTCACACTGTAAGAATACGCGCGGATACCTAAACGTAGTAATAAACCATCGCTATTATTGACAGATCACGACGATCTATCGATAAGAGCGACGGGGGGCTGCCCGCACGCCGACACACTCACTTGTCCTTGACGCGCAGGATGAGCTGGTGGAACTTGTCGATGTGCTCGAAGCTGGTGCGGTCAGTGACGGAGTAGACGATGAGGAAGCCGTCGCCCGTGCGCATGTACTGCTCGCGCATGGCGCTGAACTCCTCCTGTCCGGCTGTGTCCAGCACTGCAGTGGCCACAAAGACAAAGATCCCCCCACGTATATAGCCTGTAACAGACTGTTGGGGCAAGCGCTTTTAGCGAGTAGTACCTACGAAGGCCGGCAAGGTACACCAAGGGGGCGGGTGGTTAATACCATGCCCGGCCGCCTTCGTCCAATGTTCATGCGCTGTACAGGGTATGCATTTAAGGCCGAGTCGACCTAGGGGATGCCCAGAACCGTCTAAAATAATTCGCCACCATTATTGGTTTCCAAGTTTGTTTTTTTATTGGTCTCCAAGTAAGCAAGTTGGAAAGTTGTCCATAGGGCAATTCCCGAATAGCAACACACCTTTTACACAAAAGTTGTGTTCACACTGGATGATTTTTTTAACGGGCGTTATCATAACCCCGCGTTACACAAAGCTAACGCGTTAACTCTTTCAATCCGTGTTAGAAAGCCTAAAAAGAGACGCGGGTTCCCCGTGTGCAGCCTTTACCAGACTATTGGAAGACAAGTGCTGTTAGCGAGAAACTATTGACGACCAGCGTGGTAACGTATGGTCAAAAAACCCCTACGACCCAACATGGCATTGGACATCACTCATTCAGCAGTTCCACGACAAGAGGGCTATAACACACGGACACGAAAGCCCATTGACATGTATGTTTGTTGAATTTCTTTCGCACCGCACGTACCCAACACAAAAACCAGTTCTAAAGAAATGTGTTTTCAATCTCGAGGATTTAAAAGTGCACAGCTCCAGTGGCTTCCTAATATATGAAGAAAAGAGCGTTCCAGACGGCCGAAGGAGCGCATCTGAAAGCGCCCGATGCGGTGACCATCTTTGACGCAACAGCAAAGGAATACCCAGTGTACCAACACAAATGTGAATCGGCAAGCGCATGCCTAAAGAACGGCTGACGATGAAGGCCGAGGATGAAGGCCAATGACGCGGTGTCGATGCAGCATTGGCATAGCGCCTTGCCCAAGACGGCAATGATTTTCCAAATCAGGACTAATAGAAACGACCTCGCAACCCCGGAGAAGCCATTAAGGGGCGACCACACCCAGCGCATTCGACATCTGCAGGGCGAGAACGCCCGCTTAATAAAGCGGGCGTCTGGCCCCGCGCGGCTACTCCATTAGAGCTTTTGTTCCACATTTTATTATTTATATTCCCTTGGCACACATCAAGCGACAGGGTTAATGGCGCCGTCAATTTCGTTGTCGTTGAGAATGGTGCAACTAAAAAACGACAAAAGAGATCTTATCGTGCAGATGCGTATCTAGGCCGTGCGTTCTCCGCAAGTTCCCGATCTGTCCGATACAAGCGTACGGCTTTCATAATGAGACAAACAGACTTAAAAAAAATTACAGCTGCGTGCGTGTGACGAGCACGTGGCTCCGAGGTCAACAGTTGCCGAGCCGACACCACCGAGATCCTCGGTTCGAATCCAGCCACACGTCGACTTGCAATTGAACCGCGTTCATGGTCACCACTGACGAAACGCCGGCTCAAATCCCCCCCCCCCCCACCCACGGGCTCCCGAGAACCGTGGTCTCTGGCCCAGGGGTGAGGTCAACGTCCGTCGATGTAAACGCCGCGTCGCTCGCAGCGCGGCGCATTTTATCACGGGTGGGCGGTCGCCGGCGATAAGAGCGGTGGGGGTGGCGGCGGCGGCGGCGGTTGTAAATATTTGGTCCACGTGCACTTGAGGACAATATAGAAATGCGGCACAGCACGCACTCGGAAAGCGAAGGCTATTGTTGTTTCACAGCATACGTAGAGAACGGTTTAAAATCGTGCCGCAAGGTCACGGCTCCTCCAACAAATGGGAGTGCCAGCCCCACGAGATCGATGCCGCTTCGGAAAAAAGAAAAATTTGACCTGCCGTGAAACGAAGGCGCCTGAATAATTCGCAATAGCGACTGCGCCGAACAAGGCGTTAATTATATTTTAACTGGAGCTACCCCGACCACGCCAAGACGACTCGACATGCAACAGAAGTGCGTGCCGATTTAAGACGCCACAAAGTTGGCACCGCTCTTCACGGAGACATGTTGACGTTGAAACGCACGCACGCACGGACGCACGGACGCACGGACGCACCACACCCCTCTGGAAGATCGTCGGTCACCGTGGGTGTCACGGTGTTGGCGCAGCGTTTCAACGCGCCGCACTATGGACCCGCCGAACTGGCCTTCGCCGCGCCATCTGAACAGGTCCCTGGGGGTACGCCCTTGAAACCAACCGGCACCAAATCAACGTGGCCAAGTGTGGACAAAACAACTCCCGCGACAAACACCTGCGCACAGAGACCGTCGTCCAGCAGTTGATTGATGAAGGGTTGTGGGCCCGTGTTTACGCAAACTGCACCTTTGTCAATACACCGTGATTAAGCGGTAACGGTAAGGGAGCGCTTTTGCATCGCACGAGCAAAAGTGGAAATATTATTGGTGGCTTGTGACTGGACAGGGAAGATTCAAGCCCGGATTCCAGCCCAGGACTGAAGCAGTCAGCTCGCAGCTACCCAGTCACCTCCAAAAACATCGGTCAAATTGCTTGCAGCCGATAAATATTAAGAGCGCCCTTTGCTTAGAATCGACGTTCGTAAGAAACAAATTAAAGCCCTGCAGAGATTTTCGCAGTTGCTCTGTAAATCTCACCGGTGATGTGCTTTCGTGTTGCAGTGCGCGCCTGAAAAATCTTCCGGCGCGTGGGGCAAAACTTCGGACACCAACGCGGAACAACACGGGCCAAAAAAACAAAACACATCCGACGGCTATTATTGAAAGCATGATAATGAAAGCTGAAACGGGTATCGTTTCATCGCGACCCTTGGTGGCTTTGAGTATTTTATTTATCTACCGTTTTCCAAGCCGTAGTTTCTCATTAAAAAAAAAGGCGACCCCCCAGGGCGACGGCCAATACCAACACCCACTAATTGTCACCAAGTGACGGTGACGTCACCATGGCGCCTGTGCCAGGCGCATTTTGAGGCCAGGTGACGTGTTGAAGGCTCGCTGACCAAACGCGGGGGTTGTGCACGCGCGGCGACGGCGGGCGGGCGTTCGAGAGCAGCGGAAAGTGTTTTGCGTGGGCAGTGGAGCCCGAGGCCACCAAAACAACTCTTACAGTGCGAACACTGAATACGCTCCGACGCGCTCGTATACGCTACGACGTGGATTTACGCAATCTCCGAGTGCGACAGCGTCTCAAACCTGCCGCACGGAAACGGTGGGTGTTGTAATTTTTTTCGACGGTCATACATCTCAACGAAAGTCTTATGGTTCTCTGTGGGTATATAAGCATCTACGCAAGTGTACACATGTTTTTTTTTTGTAAATATATGGGTCTATGCGAGGATATTTGTCTCTCAGGGAGTCTATGGGTCTCTGAAGGAGCATATGGATCCCTACGCGAGCATCGATGAGTCTCTGCTAGTCTCTGGGCGTCTGCGAGCCAATACAAAACGGACTTGCATAGCGCACAAGTAGAACGCCACCTCAGGACGTTGTCCGCAAAGTGGGCGTGTTTTTTTTTCATGAAATTTTTAGACAGCGAGGCAGTCGCATGCTCGTTTCAATTGGGTTGTTAAACGTCGACAGCCGGTAAACCGGTGCCCGCATTCAGATGTATTTCCCGGTCCTGAAATCGATTGCCGATTAAAGGCACAGGGTGCAAGCCCCTGCAAGTGCTTTCCTCAAGCCACCGCTGGCGGATGGGCCTCGTTCCACACCGGGCACACGTCTTGTAAGCGGTGAGAGCGGCCACTGTCAACGCCACCACCGCACGCGACCCGCCGATCGGCAAACTGTGTTGCACCCATCTACACCGTTGGGGTGGCCAGCGGCGGACAGCAGAGAAGACACGCCTCTTTAACACGTGGGCGGCTTTCTCCACACCAATGTCGTCCATGTTCAAGGTTTTTTTTCGGGGGGGGGGGGGGGGGTTAGATGGCATGAAAACCCACCGCCAATGGACACAGCCAATTAGTAAAGTTTTGTCCCGCACACAAAACAACCGCCAATTAGTTACTCTCCAACACACATTACTGATTGGCTGTGTCGGGCGGTGGTGGTGGGTTAACGACACATTTTTAGATTTACGCGATCCAACTTGCGCCACCGTTTCAACGGCCGTGCCGCGACATGGAATCGAACCGGTGACCCTGGATTGCGAGTCGAGTGTGCGGTGGCCAACCACATTACACACCACAAGTGGCAGCTGCCCTTTCTATATTTCAGTGGAAAACTAAAAGAAAAAGAGGTCAACGCGTTGCTTTTATTGCGCCGGGCGTTGCTATACGTGCGGGAAACCGGTCGACAATTTGTTTCAAGCGGTTCCAGGGAACGCAATTAATAACAATCCCAAGTTGCAACGGAAATGAAGAGCGGGGGAGAGAACAGAGGATGGGAGATGATAGAAGCCTAAGCCGCGCCGTTGAGGCGGAGCGCCTACCAAGAGGTCATTGCAATGCGTGCATCACGGGCAGGGCAATTGATTTGCAATCAATCAATGTTTACGTATTTACTCAACGCGCACGCACAAAAAAATGTACGATCAAGAGCTGGGGCGAGCTGCAATATTATTCAAACCCGAACACGTGCCACGAGCTTTTGTTTGCGCAGTCATTTGCTGACCACACCGAGGCAATAAACTAACCGCGGCTTGACAACATAATGTGATCCTGGACGAGTGCCCAGCATTAAAAAACCAAGAACCTCTGCAAGTGCTGGACCGTCGCCATTGGCACAGGCTCAGCTTTTAACAACCCTGAGTTACCCACGGCCCATCTCGCCCACGCTGCACTCCACGAGCTGAGAGGAGAGCAGCAACAGCACCACAGCGAAGAACGCCCCCCCCCACCCCCCTGCTTAGCCAGGCAAGCCCACAAAGGTCTTTTAGCCAGGCAAGCCTCACTGAGTAATTTTAGCCAGGCAAGCCTCACCGAGTTATTTTAGCCAGGCAAGCCTCACCGAGTTATTTTAGCCAGGCAAGCCTCACCGAGTTATTTTAGCCAGGCAAGCCTCACCGAGTTATTTTAGCCAGACAAGCCTCAACGAGTTATTTTAGCCAGACAAGCCTCACCGAGTTATTTTAGCCAGACAAGCCTCACCGAGTTATTTTAGCCAGACAAGCCTCAACGAGTTATTTTAGCCAGACAAGCCTCACCGAGTTATTTTAGCCAGACAATCCTCACCGAGTTATTTTAGCCAGACAAGCCTCACCGAGTTATTTTAGCCAGACAATCCTCATCGAGTTATTTTAGCCAGACAAGCCTCACCGAGTTATTTAGCCAGAGCTCACCGAGTAGTCGGTTAGCCAGGACAAGCCTCACGAGTTATTTAGCCAGGCAAGCCTCACCGAGTTCTTTTAGCCAGACAAGCCTCACCCGAGTTATTTTAGCCAGACAAGCCTCAACGAGTTATTTTAGCCAGACAAGCCTCACCGAGTTATTTTAGCCAGACAAGCCTCACCGAGTTATTTTAGCCAGACAATCCTCACCGAGTTATTTTAGCCAGACAAGCCTCACCGAGTTATTTTAGCCAGACAAGCCTCACCGAGTTATTTTAGCCAGATAAGCCTCACTGAGTTATTTTAGCCAGGCAAGCCTCACCGAGTTATTTTAGCCAAGCAAGCCTCACCGAGTTATTTTAGCCAGATAAGCCTCACCGAGTTATTTTAGCCAGGCAAGCCTCACCGAGTTATTTTAGCCAGGCAAGCCTCACTGAGTTATTCTAGCCAGGCAAGCCTCACCGAGTTATTTTAGCCAGACAAGCCTCACCGAGTTATTTTAGCCAGACAAGCCTCAACGAGTTATTTTAGCCAGACAAGCCTCACCGAGTTATTTTAGCCAGGCAAGCCTCACCGAGTTATTTTAGCCAGGCAAGCCTCACCGAGTTATTTTAGCCAGACAAGCCTCACCGAGTTATTTTAGCCAGACAAGCCTCACCGAGTTATTTTAGCCAGGCAAGCCTCACTGAGTTAGTTTAGCCAGGCAAGCCTCACCGAGTTATTTTAGCCAGGCAAGCCTCACCGAGTTATTTTAGCCAGGCAAGCCTCACCGAGTTATTTTAGCCAGGCAAGCCTCACCGAGTTATTTTATCCAGGCAAGCCTCACCAAGACTCTTTCCGGACGGTCATGCACTGGGATATTTGGCCAATTTTGAACATGTTGGGGTTTTATTCGTTTTATTTTCACGAGTGCCATTATAATGGAATGGACTGGAGCCCCTGCCGATGTGATTGTGACGTTTCGGGGGTCATGATTCAATTCGAGGATCGATCCATTGTCTTCAACTGTGGTGAACATTTGTGCCTTTGGGATCACGTGAACCTGTTTCATTTAATATATATAAAAAACAGGTGTACGAATTGAAAAATAATAATATAATGATCTAATCTGTCCGGGTGCGATTCTATACATGTACCATGAGCTATAGAAACTATGTTAAACAGATCAATTGATTTATTAATTTACATTTTTACATGGCGCAGCAGACCAAACGGAGAGCTTTCAGAGTGCAGTACAGAAAAAAACAATTGAATTTAATCCAACATATTACAGGAAATGAAAATGTTTTAGATTCTTCCTAATTGGGAGAGTCTCAGGTGCAGGTTCTTCACGCAGAGCGTTACAAAACTGAGGGCCAAGGACCGAAACATCCCGAGCTCCGAAGCGTTTTTTTCCCCATCGTTAGATTTGCATCGTAAATTGATCATACTCTGCTAAATCGTAGCGACAACGGCTGCGGTGCAACAGCGCCTTGCTTCAAAAGTGAATCAATTAATATCGCAAAAAAGCATACATTGAATCCACTGCGTTAAGAACTAACCATTTTTCGAATCACTCGCGTCGTACGCAATGGGTTCACGCAACGGCTTCTGCTACTGCAGACTTGCCCATGAACCTAAACCCTTTTTAAAAAATGTACTCCTGAATCAAACCGCAACACCAAATCGCGACGATTCACCGAATTGCCGGGAGGTGACGAATCTTTACACCTCCCTGCTGTAAGCTCAACTGTTGGGAAGCTCACAAGCTGCGTATTTAGAGTAATAGATCATCAACTAATGCTGCCTTAGAAAGGTAAATAGTAGTCATGTTGCCGGCAACTGCCCGGATATTTTTTGTCCATTATATACCGGTCGATATATATTTACGCGACAACTGCAGACACCAGCGGCCTCAATGTGAGTACATTCCCAAATCGAACCAAAATCCACGAATTCTGTCAATTCACCCAAACGCCGGAGAGGGGTTCAAAGGACGTCACCCGGCAGGAGCAGCGAGCGGTCGGTCATACCGTCAAGGATGGCCCACTGGCCGTCGATCTCCGTGTGCTTGAGGTACGAGTCCTCGATGGTCGGGTCGTAGTCAGCCACGAAGATCTTCTGGAAGAACTGGATGGTGAGGGCGCTCTTGCCCACGCCGCCGTCGCCCACCACCACCAGCTTGTACGTGGGGAGGTTCTCGTTGGGCACCGAGCCCGCCGCCATCATTGCTGGGAGCGGCGCCGCCCAGGGCTATCCTGCGGCGAAGCGCAGGGGAGGAGACGGTTAAGAAAAGTCAAGTTCGGTGGGGTGGCTCGGGGGTCAGGGCGGTGAGCGGGCGGCATCGAGATTCTGGGCTCCAATTCCCGTTTCTGCCACCGGCGATTAAAAGCGGATTCTCAAGTGGAGCGAGTTGGTCTCAGCCCGAGATCAACCAATGATTGCACAAAAATCCACGTCAAACATTTATATTTGTACCTGCACTTCATTTGCATGAATTACAGCTCTGAGAATTAAAATATCGGCTTGACAAACATTACTCTCTCTAGCAGGGTGAATGGGAAAATGTTTGGACAAACGGTCACTTTGAAGGTAGCTCAAAGGTATTTGCTCCCATAGGTCCACTCCCAAACACAAAGGATCGCACTGCTCAGTGAGAGATAAGAATGGCTACTTCGTCTCATAACACAACACCGACAGATCGGGATTGTCGCAAAGTCGACACGCTGAGCCCTCCCCCTTAAGGTTTGCCTTTACATTTCATGCCACCATATGTTCTCCAACCTCTGGGTGCCATGCCAATTGCCGTGTCTTGGTAACCTTCCCTCCTCCATACAAAACATGCACCCACCACATTACAACCTCTTTTACTAATTAGGTCCGATGCACTTTCTCGCTTTGTTCTTTCATTAACCTCCAAGTTGTTTACCCTATCCTTCGATCTTGTGCAGCCTTTTTTCAATCCGCTGCCGCATGAGGGCCTCCCAACACTGTGCGGGTCATGGGGGATTCTTTTGACCTTACTACACCGTGCTGGTCTGTGCAGGTTGGTGATGGCGGGGGTGCGTGGGTGAGAGAGCGATGCATTTTGAGCTCCAATGTCCTCTGCTACCCACCACATAGCTTCCGCAGCCTATAGCAGCAACCTTTTAGATTTTCTAAATTAACTAATTTGTTTAGAACCGCTTTTGTGTTTAGTTTGTAGTCCCCCCCACCTCCAATGAGCAGTTGGCTACATACAGCGCAAAAGAAGTTCAACATACAACCTGCTGTGCACGGTAGTCACCCATACAAGCAACTATCCACATCCAACGCCGTTTAGTGTTGGAAAGGTGACGAGTTTTGGGCTCGCCGCTGGTGATTTTTTTAAAATCAAAGGCTCATTACAGCAACGCAAGGTTAAAATACAGAGCTTCGAAATGCTACATCGTAAGTGGTGGGAAACAGGTCGTGAGAGAGAGCTAAAGCGGCAAATATGAGCAGGAGACGAGAGGGATTTTAAGCATGACGGACACAACACAAGATGGAGAGAATGGAATCATCGGTGTAAGGAGATGCAGGTTGACGTCGCTCCAAGTGTTGGGAGCTTCCGCGGCCCCTTGCCGCAGCGCATGGAGCGAAACGTCGGACACGAAGATGCTCTTGCAGACAGTAAATTACTTTAAATGTTTTCAAATTAAACGTGATCATATTCTAGACGTATCCAAATTCGACACATTGCATTTCCAGAATATTATACAGTTAAATATATTCACGTGTGTATACAATCAGTTCAATATGATGGTGGATATCTAGGTCAACTATTTTAATAGTATAGCTTCTAACGCATTTCATCATGCGCGTTTTACCTTAAAGAACAGGTCCTCTTTATAAATAAATCATAACTTGGTATCGGTGCCTAAAACAACAACAATTTACAAATCTATTTCCAATATGAATCAGTGTAAAGTACCGTACTGTACATTTTTCATTTCAGATGTTTTATGCAAACTGCCCCTTTGGGCCAATAGACGTACGACCTCAATATGCAAATAACTGTTGAACATACGTTTATATTGATGATGGTGATGAAGTTAGCCCGTTTGGTAAAGGACTTGGAGAAAAAACACTTTAAAACGACCTGCAAGTCTCCCTTGGACCAATCCCCGTTAACGCAACTGGGCTATCGGATCGATGGAGGAGCATAACGTTGTGAGTATTGCAACCTTTAAATATTTATTCATACCAGTCGTCCCCGAGTTACGATGGTCCGACTTACGATATTTCGATCTTACGATGGCGACAGCGATACGACAAAATCGCCATCAACAACCTAACATCGTTTATGCAGACGACGGACAGAATCTTGGTGAGTACAGTGCAATACGATACGTTACGATACGTTCAATGCATGTATGATACGTAGCTTTAGCGATTTCATTTTAGAATTACCACGATACGCATGTTAAAAGTTGTTTTATTGCAGATAGAATTGTTTCCTGAAAAAAACTTTCTATTAAATTGCAGTTCATAAATTAAGGCTAAGAATTTACCTTGTTTTTTTTACTTTACATTTTACTGTGCAATACAGTATTGTAATTAATAAATACATACAGTATATAGTTTATACAGTAGGGTACTGTAAATTGCTCTGTTATGCTAAATTATCACCATTCTTTAAGGCTCCTGGGTAGGCTAGGCCATCTTCGACTTACGATATTCTTGACTTACGATGGGGTCGTCGTAACGCATCTCCATCGTAAGTAGAGGACTACCTGTACTATTCATACTGTCACTGTGAGTTCAACACGTAGTAGGATTTCGCAACAAATATTATATCCGTAGCAGAGTTTTTTTGGGTTAAGATCGCGTAAATATGCGTCGTTAAACCCGCCACAACTCTGGCTGTCCCGCCTGATGATGCTGGTTGTAATTACCGGCGAAACGTCACAGTAGTCCAATTGTACTTGTTAGTAGTGGGTTTACTCTCCGACACACTGCTGTTGCTGTACCAGTAACGAATTGTAAATGTTTGTAGTGGGTTTACTCTCCCGACACACTGCTGTTGCTGTACCAGTAACGAATTGTAAATGTTTGTAGTGGGTTTACTCTCCGACACACTGCTGTTGCTGTACCAGTAACGAATTGTAAATGTTTGTAGTGGGTTTACTCTCCGACACACTGCTGTTGCTGTACCAGTAACGAATTGTAAATGTTTGTAGTGGGTTTACTCTCCGACACACTGGTGTTGCTGTACCAGTAACGAATTGTAAATGTTTGTAGTGGGTTTACTCTCCGACACACTGCTGTTGCTGTACCAGTAACGAATTGTAAATGTTTGTAGTGGGTTTACTCTCCGACACACCGCTGTTGCTGTACCAGTAACGAATTGTAAATGTTTGTAGTGGGTTTACTCTCCGACACACCGCTGTTGCTGTACCAGTAACGAATTGTAAATGTTTGTAGTGGGTTTACTCTCCCGACACACTGCTGTTGCTGTACCAGTAACGAATTGTAAATGCTTGTAGTGGGTTTACTCTCCGACACACTGCTGTTGCTGTACCAGTAACGAATTGTACTTGTTTGTAGTGGGTTTACTCTCCGACACACTGCTGTTGCTGTACCAGTAACGAATTGTAAATGTTTGTAGTGGGTTTACTCTCCGACACACCGCTGTTGCTGTACCAGTAACGAATTGTAAATGTTAGTAGTGGGTTTACTCTCCGACACACCGCTGTTGCTGTACCAGTAACGAATTGTAAATGTTTGTAGTGGGTTTACTCTCCGACACACCGCTGTTGCTGTACCAGTAACGAATTGTAAATGTTTGTAGTGGGTTTACTCTCCGACACACCGCTGTTGCTGTACCAGTAACGAATTGTAAATGTTTGTAGTGGGTTTACTCTCCGACACACCGCTGTTGCTGTACCAGTAACGAATTGTAAATGTTTGTAGTGGGTTTACTCTCCGACACACCGCTGTTGCTGTACCAGTAACGAATTGTAAATGCTTGTAGTGGGTTTACTCTCCCGACACACTGCTGTTGCTGTACCAGTAACGAATTGTAAATGCTTGTAGTGGGTTTACTCTCCGACACACCGCTGTTGCTGTACCAGTAACGAATTGGCACCTTTTGTTTACGCGACAAGCCCCGACTAATCGGCTGTGTCGGGTGGTGGCGGGCTTAACGACACATTTATATATGTACGCTACCTAACCCAAAACACCTCTAGAGTGCACTTGATAATGATGATGCTGCTGCTTGTGAGAAAGATGAACACACGTCGTAAACGATGTCGACATTCACTTGTGTGTCATACCGACGATGAACCAACGCGCGTTCACACCCGGCTCAGACAGATTACGCTGCCTACCCATTGGGAGTAACAACGTGCACGTGAACATTATTTTACCTTACTCCACTTGCCACACACGTAAAAACACACACATTGCTTGCCTGTCCCACCTCGCTGTGCCTTGCACTACGCACAAGGAGTGACGCTGCGAGGGAGGCTGCATTCAAAACCACGTCCTTGTTTTGCTATGCTCTACACGACTATGATCCCCAATTGATCCAACCCGCACGGGGACCAGCGTGGTGAAGTATGGTCAAACTACCCCACGACCCATACGGGGGGGGTAGAGGCTCTCATCAGCAGTGATCAGACAAAGCCACACTGTACGTGCACGTACTGTACACGAAAGAGAAATCACGGCGCTCATTGGCGTTGCCGTCCACACGATTTACACTTTAATAAACACGACTTATTATAGGTTTAAAAAAAAAACTTTTATTAAACCCGGTCACAGTTAAGCCCCGCTCACTACATTATGAATGTTTACCAACAAGTGGGCGGGTGGGTGAATAATCTAGACGAACCCTCTATTGGTTAATCGAGTCTTACAATGTATCGGCTCGCCAGTTGAATTAACAAATACACCACAATGCACAACAACACCACCGCCGCCACCAGTAACCATAACAATATGAATAAATATTAATTAATCACCGCCGTCATCATCCACAAACAAACCTTGACAGCACTCGGGCGCGACCGCGGACCGCCACCCACCGCGGCCTATTAATCCTCGCCGTGTATCCCTCACCTCTCCCGGTAGTGGCTTCTAGGCGACGACGGCGAATACGGTGAGGTATGAAAAATCTCGGTTGGAAGAAAGCGATAACGGAGACTGGCTCCGAGGTTCTGCTTCACTCCACCGTTGCGCTCGATAAGTCCACTGTCCAAATACGAAGACTATCTTTATTATTTATGCGACTATCTTTATTATTTATGTGACTACCTTTATTCCAGCAACTGAGTTCAGTCGCGAGTAGAACATCGGCCACTCACCACCCTTTATAAAGGCGAGCCGGTGCAGCTAAAAATAGCCTTAACCTTAGGGGGGAGGCGTTGCTCAATAATACCTTATGTCAACAAAATATTGCTTCGGGTCAATAACTATTATTATTTTATATCTTTAACCAATATTACCGCACGCAAAATTGCGTAACTATTGGGCGTCTCCATGGTTTTAGCTTGCGATAGTTGCTTTGTCTGCTTCTTACTTCCCTTCCGCGTATGCCAGAAATGGTTTGCTCCAAAGGTAAGCTCCACATTCAATGGACCGAGGGAATTACTAAATGCCGCACTCTAATTGGAGGATCGCTGCTGTGACGTCACCGGCACTCCGACCTTATCGTTGACGTCATTTTCGTCGTTCAAATGTCACCAAATCGCGCGGAGCTCATGGGACGAGGAATAAATTGGGGAATGACGAATGAATGTTGATATAAAAAAACTAATGAATAAATTCGAGGATTGTATTACTTGTTTGATGCATGATCAATGTGTTCATCTATCCGTTAATTTGTTCGCCATGTGTCTTTGTTTTCAGCCTTCCGTGTTATTTTGAAAACTTCATCAATGCACCATAAATTCGTCAAGAACACCTCCATCGAGTCTCAAGACCCTTGTTTCCAGGAGGATCCTGCCGAATTGGCATTTTTTGGTCATGGATTCCATTATTAACGAGAGTTCGGCTTCGTGTGGGATTCAAGCGGAGATCTAAACTAGACGATTTAAAACAAATGTATTTTATCAGGTCAGGCCCAATGGGCTATATGACGATTTTTCCGTAGCTACCTGGCTATCACAAATGATAGCTCAATGAAGTGGATGATGTGTGAATGTATAACGGCAGTCAAATACTCTAAACATACGTTGATTCTAAGCGTGGAGGAAAAAATCCGGAGGACCTGGAAGAAAAAATCCACGCGACCACGGGGAGAGAGAGAGACACGCAAACTTGAAATATATTAAGCAGGCGTCGGGATCGAACCCACGGACCTCCTGTATATCAGGCGAGGTAGTTAACATCTCCTAGCCACCGTGATCGATCATCCCAGATCGCCGGAGGAAAGACATCACCACGCAGACGACGGGGGTGACACACAAAGCGACCGTACAGTGATTAATGGGCAAAGCCATTGTGTCCATCCACTGCTGGATGAGGGCCTCACCATCCCGGTTAACATTCGACGTTGCGCCAACAACGTTGTGGGTCAATCGTGGCCCAGCGTTCCGTGTTTTCCAGAACGCCGTGCGGATCGGGACGGTTTTGTCGTTGTTAAACCAACAATGCTGCCGAAATTACGGGCTCCCGGAATAGCGTGTTTCTGATGAAATGCTTAAAAACCCCCATGTTATGCGGAAGGGCATATGTAAAGCATTGCAATTTTTACCACGCAGTTCGTGGCGTGTACGCCAGAGGGCGCACTAAGCCTACAAATCATCAACAGCTGCTCACGAAAGGGACTCGTGACACCAGCGAGTGAGAGAATTCTCAAATACTCCCTCTTCCCCTTGGTCCTCAACCGTTGTGGTTTTTGGTGGATCTCCAATCACGGCTACCGGCCCTGCCCCAGACCACCACCGGCGAGGAGATGTGAACCTGGTAGGCAGGAGGTCGTTGGATTCGATCCCGATCTCGACGATGCCTGCTGTATATTTGGAGTTGAACTTTCTCTCCGTGGCCGCGTGGACTTTTCTCGAGGTCCTCCGGTTTTTTTTTATCTCCACATTTCCGCACGCACGATAAGCCACTTCCCTTGATTATTATTATTTGTGATGGCCAGGGGTGGCTTCTGAAAAATAGCTCTGTGGCTCAGTGGGCGCCTTACCCGGTAAAATAAAAGAGATAGATCGATGCATTCCCACCCCCACACATCTCTATTGAGGTGCACGAGGTGCCCCACACGCATCGTGCCTCACGGTCGTGGTGAAAATTCTCCCGAGCCTTCCTGCCCGCCTTTCGCTCCCGCCGCATGGAAGGAGTTTGCACGTGGGGGACGCGGGGGGGGGGGTTAACACCCTACCTTCCTAAATTGGTTTTCCCGTAGTTTGCAATTAAGATTTAAAATAAATTAGTTATATACTCCCGAGATTCGTAATGTGTGGGACAAGGCGAACCCCCCCCCCCTCCCCCCACAAATACAGGGTGCTTCAAGAAAATGTTAACACTTCAGAGAATTTGCAACAACGCCACATGACATGTGCTGCTGCCTCCGGGCTCTGGAGACCACGTGGAGAAGATTCCAGGCCACGTGTTGACAACGATGGCGAACACTTGGGAGACTCTTTGAAGCTATTAACTTACATTTGTTATCATGTTACAGTGTTATTTTTCCGTTAAAAACAATAGTCCCCCCTAAGTGTTAACATGTTTTTGAAGCACGCTATATAGGGTGCTTCCGCCGATGCCCGCCGGCCGTCATGTCCTCGAGCCATGACGTATGACCTCACCAAGCCCACTTTTATCATCGTTCAATATTCGGATAGGGTTAGGGGGGCTGGAGGCCCCACGTGGGATAAAATACCCCTTTTGTTTGTCCTGGCGCCGACAGTAATGATGTATGTACAGAAATCCCTCGCCAACTGCGGGGGTTAGGTTCCTGAACCCACCCCCCACACACCGTGGTTGGCAAGGGATGGCTACATGTTGAACTTCTTTCGCACCGTACGTAGCCAAGCAGCCACAGTCAGGTTGGGGTGCAGATCGACCATCTCCTCCGGAGGCTCTTCCTGCTGCTGGTTTGAAGCTCAACAGACAAAACCAACAAGAAAGCCGCCTCCTATAAACAACCATTTAATGGCCACTCTTGCAGATTAATTTAAAATACCATCTAATCGTTCTTGGAAAGTAGCTGGTACACTTTTGGAAGGAGGCACCTCTCTTTATCTCTCTCTGTGTGCCAATTATAGCCCTGGAGGAAGTTTTGGCCAAGGGCCAAAACCCCATCGTAGATTAGCAGTTAAACTAGCGGCAGCGGCTGCTTGCAGGCGTCATTGGGAAATCTAGAAGTGATATCACACACACAGTAGCATCACTGGTTTGCATATATAACTTCACGTGTTGCGATGTCCCTTGAATCAATTCCACATGTGCCTCAATCTTGATCGAGTCGAGGATGTTAGAGCGGTGACACGCCATTAGCCTACTTGAGCCTCCGCTTATTAAACTTTTCGTTCATTTAGTGAAATTATTTTGAAAATATATTTATATTATTTTTATGCTGAGTGTCTGCTGCTGCTGTGTCCTGTACAGCGCTTTCCATCCTTCATGAAAAGCGCTTTATAAATGTAGTAATTATTATTAAGTAACTTCTCCTACACGGTATTCACGCCGCAGCCTGCGACTATCAAACCCGAGGGAAGTGGCGATGCGTGGATGGCACAATGGGCCGTGTTGCAGGGAATTAATATGTCCCCTATTCAATTCTAATCCGCCATCTCCATAGCCCAGCGCATGAACCCCTCCAGCCCATGCGGTCCCTGTCCCTACACTCGATAGCTACTCGGCACCGTGCAGGCGACATTGGGTTTAACATATGGTGGCAGCAGCAGCAGCAACAGACATCGATGACTGTACTGGTGAATCCTAACAAGAACGGAAACTAGTCTACAAGTTTGCATCGTTTCTTCACTGTTGCCCGCCGTGTTGGGGTGGTCACATTTTAAGTCAATAGTTTATATATATATTTTTTATATTGAAAAAAAGTGGCCAAACGTTCAGTTCTGTTGAGATGGTGGCCTGTATAAGGCCGTGAGGTTTCGTACATGCGACGCTGCGCTCCATCTGTGGTGTGTGTGGATAACGAGGGACACACAGCAAGGACATGGACTCAGACGGAGGTCGGCGGCGTACGACTGGACAACCACAGCGCCCCGCGGTACACTTTTAATCACGCAATTCCACCTCACCCCCCTCCACCACCCCCAAATTACGTCGATTAAACACACGGACAGCGACAAACGCCACACACCACACCGTTATTGTTAATGTTGTCATCATCACCACCACCACCACCACCGTTACCAATTACAGTAATAATATTACAATATTATTAAACACTTTTTTGTTGTTTAATTATATACAGCGGGTTACAGCACACAACACACTGCCCGGGTTATGGGCAACTGTAAACTACACCTGTCGGCGCTAGGACAAAGAAGGTTTGACACCGAAGGCTTCATTTCAGTCGGGAGCTGTCGGGGGCCTTAGCTCCGGAAAACGTTTCCCCCGATTCCCCTGCGCTCCCTCGCCACTGTCGAATGAGTGTGGGGGAGTGGAGATTTCGAAAAATATACCTTGTCAAATTAAGCTCTGGTAGCGATTAACTTTTGGGAAAAAATTGGAAGGGACCATGTTGTCTGTATCGTAGATACTTGGGCTAGAGGAAACTTATATGAAAATAAATAAATAAATATGCTTTAAAAACTAAACTCTTTTTTTACTTTTACCAGGTTTTACCAGGTTTCTTATTTTTTATTCAGAAGATACCTGGCCATCGCAAATGATGGCTCAATAAAGTGGCTTAATCACGTGGAAATTAATAGCAGATAAATACTCTCTATGTGTTTCTAAATTTGGAGAAAAATCCACGTGACCACGGAGTGAACATTCAAACTCCAAATATACAGCAGGCATCAGGGTCGGAATCTAACCCACGACCTCCTGCATACCAAGCGAGGGAGTTAACATCTCGCCACCGCGACGCCCATTATGAAAGTCGTGAAAGCCACACGCGAGTCTCGAGACTTAAAAAAAAATCCTGGAAGGTCCCGATACACTGGAATGTTTGGCAAAATCATTGTTTCGACGAAGAAGGGCTTTGCTTAATATGTGTGAGGATACTTGAGTACCCGGAGAAAACCCACCACATCTCCGACGGATATAACACCGAAGAGTCCGCATAGATGAGTTCGTGAACTCGTTTGTTGTTGTACGGCCACCTCACGGTCACCTCCGGGGGACATCGCCGCGCTGATCTCCGCGCGATCCACGAAACCACGCGCATCGCCGCCTGCCATTTGGCCAAACGGCTACCGCTTTCCTGGCCTCACAATCAGCCCGCGCGATAGCTCTCCACTGCTGGATGAAGGCCTCGTCGTCAAGGCGCCTCCATCCCTCACGGTCCCGCGATGCAAAAATTCCATCGACCGCCTGCACACGTGCCGATTCCGACGGTCCATCTCCCTCTCGAGGGATGGATGACCCATTCGCGATGGGGGTTCTCTTCCCTTTGGCTGCCAATCCATCATCAGGCTCGACCACCGGCCATCATACTTTTCAGATTTGAACATTCCCTGACCAGGCCTACTACTTACTTTGCTAACAATTAAATGTTTGAAACATCCCTTAACGACCACTGCCCCAGCTTTAAAGAAGACACCGTTCAATTTATTTAGAGAACTGCTTTTTGCGTTTAGTTTGCTGTCCTTCCCTCGCACCTCCGATTAGCGCGGTTGGCTACGTACGGTGCAAAAGAAGTTCAACGTACATACACACGTTTAACAATTCTTGGAATATAGCTGTTAACTTTTTGTAAGGAGGCACCTGTGTAGGTGTGTGTGGTGTCTCTGTATCTCTCTCTCTCTGTGCAAGATATTGCCTGGAGGGACCTTTATTTTTTTGGCCAAAAAGCCAAACAAAACCCATCGTAGGCAAACGCTGAGAACCGGCGAAAGCTGCTGCGTCCACTGTTGTCAAAACGATGCCCCCCCCCCAACCTGCTGCGTACGTTCCCTACTCAAAGTGTCATCCCCGACTGTCGCAGGATTCTCAAATTCTGACCGCACGGTTCAGACTTTGATCAAAACCATTTCACCCTAACCCCCCCCCCCCTCCTCCCCACGCTTCCTCACACACACAAAAGCCACATCAATGCCACATTAAAGCATCGATGACGAGGACGATGATTGGACTTGTTTAACCGTTCTGTAAACTGTCGCTAACAAGGTAACAAAAACAAAACGCACGTGCGTACGTCGGTGAGTTTAAACCCCTAGATTTGGCACTCGGAAATTGGAATTATTTTTAAATGTTTTCTTTTAAATCGGTTGTGGTCTAGCTACCGCACTCTGGGGTCGGGTTTAGAACACGAGCCACGCTTCACTCACCCAGGAATGCCTCCCTGAGCCTCGATACTCCTCGGTGTTTTTTTGTCCTTTCCTCAACAAGGGCAACTGAGAAGAAATCCCTTCCTCGCTTCTTGTCGCTATCTCTTGCGCATGGAAGGAAACCGCAGCGGTTCGACAGACCGCGCACACGGACGAGAACGGAACCGTTCAACAGCTGCTGCTGCTACTGCTGCAGCACAGATGACACCGGGTAAACCTACTTGCTGTACTGCCTACCGCGGGCGCAATTGCGTCATCGCCTCTGGCCGAGGGGGCAACGCGACTTTGGCTCCCGCCTCGGTCCGTGCCGTGCATCGCTCCGGTGCATGTTGCCCCGGGGTCGTACCGAGCGCTCCCTGCGAAGCGACGTCCGACGTTTCGCTCCGCGCGCTTCCGGGAGTGGAAAACAAAATAACAACCGAATCGGCTCCCGATCTCGATTAGGTAGTTCCTGGAGCGAAACGTCGGCCGTCGTGCCGACCCGAACGCGCGTCGGAGAGAACTTAAGACCCTTCGTCCTTCATCTGTTTTTGCAAGCTGTGCGGTTTGGTTTGTGCCACGCGCGTGCACACACGCGCACGCGCGCGCCACTGATGTGGAAAATGACGATGAACCGACGACAGCCCGGTAACCGGTAATGCCCCAAGCGAGAATGAATCGCTACGAACACAGCAACAAAATGGGCTTTAATGGCTGTGCCAGAAAACCATCTCAGCTCGCAACTCTCCCCGACTTCCCTCTCCGTGGACACGGTCAGCCGGGAATTCAGGTATAAAAATAAGTAAATACGTCGAGAAGTAGATAAATAGGTAACTAAATACATCGCGTGAAAAAAGTAAAAAAGCAATCTCGTCCTATTTCAGCAAAGTCGCAGAGAGTCAAACGACCCTGCTGCCCGCCACCTGGAAGATGGTCAGAGATTCCTGGAGCTACTCCTAGATTCCTGGGACAGGCCTCGGGATACCTCGGGCTACCCCAAGATTCCTGGGGCTACTACCGAGTTTCTTGAGGCTACCACCGAGATTCCTGAGGCTACCACCGAGATTCCTGGGGCTACCACCGAGATTCCTGAGGCTACCACCGAGATTCCTGGGGCTACCACCGATATTCCTGGGGCTACCACCGAGATTCCTGGGGCTACCACCGAGATTCCTAGGGCTACCCCGAGATTCCTGGGGCTACCACCGAGATTCCTGGGGCTACCACCGAAATTCCTGAGGCTACCACCGATATTCCTGGCGCTACCACTGAGATTTCCGGGGCTACCACCAAGATTCCTGGGGCTACTACCGAGATTCCTGGGGCTTCCACCAAGATTCCTGGGGCTTCCACCGATATTCCTGGGGCTTCCACCGAGATTCGTGGGGCTACCCTGATATTCCTGGGGCTACACCGAGATTCATGGGGCTACCGCCCAGATTCCTGGGGCTACCACCGAGATTCCTGGGGCTACCACCGGGATTCCTGGGGCTACCACCGGGATTCCTGGGGCTACCACCGGGATTCCTGGGGCTACCCTGAGATTCCTGGGGCTACCACCGAGATTCCTGGGGCTACCACCGGGATTTCTGGGGCTACCACCAAGATTCCTGGGGCTACTACCGAGATTCCTGGGGCTACCACCGAGATTCCTGGGGCTACCACCGAGATTCCTGGGGCTACCACCGAGATTCCTGGGGCTACCCCGAGATTCCTGGGGCTACCACCGAGATTCCTGGGGCTACCACCGAGATTCCTGGAGCTACCACCGAGATTCCTGGGGCTACCCCGAGATTTCTGGGGATACCCCAAGATTCCTGGGGCTACCGCCCAGATTCCTGGGGCTACCACTAAGATTCCTGGGGCTACCGCCCAGATTCCTGGGGCTACCCCGAGATTCCTGGGGCTACCCCAAGATTCCTGGGGCTACCACAGAGATCCCTGGGGCTTCCACCGAGATTCCTGGGGCTACCGCCCAGATTCCTGGGGCAGGCCCCGGGAATCCTGGGGCAGGCCCCGGGTTGCAATTCTTTTCCCAATGTTGACGATGACGACGGAGCCCAACGTGTTCCACCATCCGTTGTGGGGCCCCGCTTTTACACGCGACGCCTGGGGTGAATCCCCCCACCTGAGTCCCTCACCTCCCCTTTGGCCATCCCTGGTGCCACCCCAACCTCCCCCCCCCCCCCCCCCCCCCCCCCCCCCAAGGTACATTTTGCCCAACAACAGAAAAATTGGGAACAAATTTGGAGGGGCGGGGTTGTTGGGAGGGGTGGGGGATTTCGCCACCGTTTAACGTAACTGAAACGTTGTGTAATGAAGTAACGGAAACGTTGTGTAATGACGTAACGTAAACATTGTGTAATAGTGTAACGGAAACGTTGTGTAATGACGTAACGGAACCGTGTAATGACGTAACGGAAACGTTGTGTAATGACGTAACGGAAACGTTGTGTAATGACGTAACGGAAACGTGTAATGGCGTAACGTAAACATTGTGTAATAGCGTAACGGAAACGTTGTGTAATGACGTAACCGTTGTGTAATAACGTTACGTAAACGTGCAATAACGTAACGTGCACGTACAATAACGTAAAGTAAACGTTGTGTAATAACGTAACGGAAACGTGCAATAACGTAACCGTTGTGTAATAACGTAAACGTTGCGTAATAATATAACGTAAACGTTGCGTAATGACGTAACGGAAACGTGAACGAACGTAACCATTGTGTAATCACGTAACGTAAACGTGTAATAACGTAACGTAAACATTGCGTAATAACGTAACGTTGTAATAACGTAACGTAAACATGTTATAACGTTACGTAAACGTGTAATAACGTAACGTAAACGTGTAATAACGTAACGCCCCCCTCATTGCGTACAAAAGTGGCATCTCCTAATGCTGCGTGACGCCACGTGTCCTCTTTTGCGGGGGGGGGGGGGATGAAAGTGACATTGTGATGCGATAGATTTACATTGGTGCGTCCAAGTTAATCGATTACATTGGTGCGTCTTAGTCGATTGATTACATTGGTGGGTCCAAGTTGATGGATGGCATTGGTGCGTCTTAGTTGATTAACTGTATTGGTAAGTTCAAGTTGATAGATGACATTGGTGAGTCTTCGTTGATTGACTACATTTGTGCATCTTAGTTGATGGATTACATTGGTGCATCAAAGTCGATAGATTGCATTGGTGCGTCGAAATTGACAGATTTATATTGGTGCATCAAACTCGATAGATTGCATTGGTGCGTCCTAGTTGGGATCGGTGCACGGTGCACAGTTAACAACAGAAAAAAAACCTCACGTTCATGTTTTACATCGTTTCCGACAACGCAACATTTTTTTTCTCGGATCAATCCGAACGAGAAAATAGACGAAAAAAAAAACATTCGTTCCAATTCTACAAAACATCATTGTAGTGGGGGGTCCAAATGTTCCCGAACGCGAGAACGCTCGCCAATAATTGGTGTCAGGCGAGCGTCGCACGTTCAAGGTGGGAGCCTCGCCGAGCCTCAAGACTCAATTATCGCGAGGGGTCCTGCCGAGGTTGAGATGTTTGGCCAATTCCATTTAAATTCGTTTTTTTTTCTTCTTCACCACGTGGGAGCGAAAGCCGCAGGACCCGGAGAAAACCCGCGCGTGTACGCGGTGGTAACGACTCAAACAGCCGCACGGACAGGCGGTAACCCACCGCCGCCCTCACCAGCCGCTACGCGCACCACCAACCATCTCTTGGCCGCTTGTAATTGTTTACGAAACGTATACTTTGTACAAAAGGAAACCCTTTCCGGTGCGTCGTTTTAACATTATTATTATCGTTCATGACGCTTGTGTTGCCCGCTTAATGGCTCGCCGAGTCTGGAATTTATCGTGAGGGTCCTGCCACAGGCTTTTGACAGTCGGCGGGTTTTTGCGTAGCGATGCCACCGCTGTAATCCGAATTGACGACCAAAAACATTTTATTCGCGGGCGATTTTTCAGCATCGGGATTATGTTTGGCCAACACCCAGTTAAGATTGCGATGTTTCTTTTGTGTCCCCTTCTTTTCTGTAGCCACGGGAGAGAACCCGGAGGGGACCCGTGGGGAAACACGCGGAGAAGCCACAAACCCACGCACGGAAAACCACGCGAGATTTGGGGAATCGAACCCAGGCGCTTGTTTGCTGCGAGGCGCCAGCGTGACCACCACCGCCACCGTGGCGCCACCCAACACAGCATTTAACGTTCTTTGTATTTTTTTGGTTGTTCCGAGGTGGGAATATGCAACCCTCTCTCAGGAGTACACCGTGCGTCTATGATTCGTAATTGTTTGGGTTAGCTCCTTGTCGGTATCGTGTCAAATCAGAACAATTTATATATATTTAATATGTTTCTCGTATATTGTTTAAAAACATGACACGCTGCTGATCCGTCTCCCCTCCCTTCCCCGACTTCTCCCAATGTCTAAAAAAAAAAAATGATCGCGAACCAACCCCCTCCCCCCAACAACCCCCCCCCCACCCCGGATATAGGGGGAGGGGACGGAGGAAAGGGGGTGGGGCAGGAGATGGCGCCCTCATATGAACCACTCCTTCTTGCTCTCCTCGATGGGCTCCGAGAAGGCCGGGTCGTGGTCCATGATGGCCGAGTCGACGTGGTCGGCCGTGTCGGAGCCCTTCACCTCGTGCGTGTGGTACGTGCCCTTGTGCCGCAGCAGGCACCGCGCCAGCAGCGCCAGCGACGCCAGCAGCGCGAAGCACACCGCAGCGATGACCCCTGCGCGCGGTGAAAACGGAAGGATCGTCAGCGCCAGCAGCAGGAGCAGCAGCGCCAGCAGCAGCAGCAGCAGCGCCAGCAGCAGCAGCGATGAGAGGCGACGACACCACGATCACCCCTTGCCGTATAGATGTTCCTGTTTTAAGGCGGCGTTAATGACAAAAGTGTGCGTGTTAGATATTATTTATTTATTCGCGATGTTCCATGTCGCAACGCGGGCGCTTCGTTCAGGTCACCGTGGAATTGTACGACGTGTAAATTGTCGATAAGTCGCACGTTTGGAATCCCCCGGATACAACGCTACTGCTGCATCGGTAAACAACTCCTGGTTCCAGGGTTTGTGTCGGAAAACAACTCCTGGCTCCTGGTTTTGCGTCGGAAAACAACTCCTGGCTTCAGGTTTTTGCGTCGGAAAACAACTCCTGGCTCCTGGTTTTGCGTCGGAAAACAATTCCTGGCTCCTGGATTTGCGTCGGAAAACAACTCCTGGCTCCTGGTTTTGCGTCGGAAAACAATTCCTGGCTCCTGGATTTGCGTCGGAAAACAACTCCTGGCTCCTGGATTTGCGTCGGAAAACAATTCCTGGCTCCTGGATTTGCGTCGGAAAACAATTCCTGGCTCCAGGTTTTGCGTCGGAAAACAACTCCTGGCCCCAGGTTGAATGAACTGATCCACCCACACCACCCTTAACACTACTGACTTAGGGCAGTGCCAAGTTTGCTACAAAGATAAAGACGCCCACCCTTTTAACAGACTCGTGGGGCAAGTGCTGTTAGCGGAGCACCGATTAATTACGGTCGGCACGGCACACGAGCGGTTGGGTGGCAGACACCACGTCCCGACCAACTTTGCCTCCCCAGAGTAACCAAGAGTAACCCAGAGTAACCCAGGGTAACCCAGAGTAACCCAGAGTAACCCAGGGTAACCCAGAGTAACCCAGGGTAACCCAGAGTAACCCAGGGTAACCCAGTGTAACCCAGAGTAACCCAGGGTAACCCAGAGTAACCCAGAGCCACGCTGCTCTGGGTTACTAATTTGAGGCTGAGTCGACCTTACGGGAGGCCCGGGACCGGTTCAGATAATCATAACTGCCGATGTTGGCCATGAGCGGGACTCGGACTCGCGTCTCAGCCGGGTTCGCAACGTAGCGTAGCGCTAGTCGCTACACTACCGCTGCCCAGAGACAAAGACAAAGGCCACCCGTATAGCCTTAACAGACTGTAGGGGCAAGTGCTGTTAGCGAGCACCTATGAAGGCCGGTAACGGTACACGAGGGGGTGGGTGGCCAGCACCACGCCCGACCGCCTTTGTCTCCCTAGTGGCAATGTTTACACACCGCACCAGGTACTCATTTGAGGCTGAGTCGACCTAGGGGAGGCCCGGGACCGGTTCAGATAATCGTCACTGGTGTTGGCCGCGAGCTGGAATCGAACTCGGGTGGCCAGGTTCCTAGCGCAGCGCAGCGTAGCGCTAACCGTTACACTACCGCTCCCCAGAGACACACACACACACACACTGAGACATACACACACACACTTTACCCAAACCAAGCAGGGAAACCTATCAAACGCGCACACACCGCTCCTCTACCCACACTCTTTCAAGAGCGACTCCTCCCACCCTCCCCCACTCTGCTCCCCACTCGCCTTCTCCCTGCAAGCGCACCACTCTCCTCCTCCTGATCCTCGTCTCTCCCCTCGTTTCACACTCTTCCATCCCTGGGGCCAACGCAATCAAACGCGTGGATCATTCCCGGGGAGGCGCAGCTGAGAGTGAATCATTCGCGAATTACCGCGCGCGCTGCGGAGAGCGGAGCGCACTCCACCGCCAGACACCGCCCCTCCCCCCGCCCCACCACACACACTCACACCCCCTCTCGAATCACCGGAGCCACGTGGCGTCTACTCCGTTAATTCCCCCGTGGGGGGGGGGGGGGATCAAACCCGGGGCTCTCTAATGAGACCGGACGGGGGGCGGAGGAAGCGGCTGAGAGGTAACGAAGAGAACCGACGAGGCGGGGAGAGGAGAGCTGGCACTTAGTGGCGAATGGCGGTTGTTGTTGCTGTTGTGAGAGTGAATGTGAGAGCGAGTGTGTGAATGTATGAGTGTGAGTGAGTGTAAGTCTGTGAGTGTGAGAGAGTGAGTGAGTGAGAGAGTGAGTGTGTGTGAGTGTATGAGTGTGAGTGAGTGTATTGTGGGGAGCGATAGTGTAGCGGATAGTGTAGCGGTTAGCGCGCTGCGCCATGAACCTGGCGACCCGGGTTCGATTCCCGCTCACGGCCAACATCGGTCCCGGGCCTCTCCTAGGTCGACTCAGCCTCAAATGAGTACCTGGTGCGGTGTGTAAACATTGCCACTAGGGAGACAAAGGTGGTCGGGCGTGGTGCTGGCCACCCACCCCATCGTGTACCGTTCCGGCCTTCATAGGTGCTCGCTAACAACACTTGCCCCTACAGTCTGTTAAGGCTATATGGGGGATCTTTGTGTGAGTGTGTATGAGTGTGAGAGTGTATGAGAGTGTATGAGAGTGTGTGAGAGTGGGTGTGTGTGTAAGTGAGTGTGAAAGATCTGGGCAAGGTCCCATCGGTGAGCTCCGGCAAGCAAGGCTGCGTTGGCTGGGTCATGTAGCCCGCATGCCCAGCCGAAACAGCTTTTGTTCGGCCGGATCGAGGGGGCTAAACGGGCGCGGCACGGGCTAGAGAAGAGATGGAGTGATGTGGTACAGGAGGACGTGGAGCTGAGTGGACTTGCCGATGACTGGTACCAGCGGTGTCAAAATCGGCCTCTGTGGAGGAGGCTCGTGAAGGACGCTGCTGGGCAGTTGGAGGCAGTCGCCCTCCAACAACAACGGAGGGCGGAGGAGCGACGCTCACAACAACGAGCAGAGCGCCGGGTGGCTAAAGCACAGCAGGTTGGCACAGTAGGGGGCACAGGTGGTGCATCAGCCAGTCATCTCAGTCAGTCGACCCGTGCCACCTGCTGGGTCTGCCCCGTGACCTCCTGCCAGCGGGCGTTCGACACTTCACGTGGCCTCAAGGTGCACATGGCCTGGCACAAGCGTCGTGGTGACGTTACGGCCACTTAGTGGCGAATGGCGGTTGTTGTGAGTGTGTGAGTGTATGAGTGTGAGTGAGTGTGTGTGAGAGTGAGTGTGTGTGAGAGTGGGGGCGTGGGAGCGTGGCGGTGAGGTGTGGGAAGCTGTAAGCCCCAGGCTACTTTGGGCTCGCCTTCCCATCAACCGGAGGCGAGGAATGGTGGTCGTGGTTACTTATGCCCCCACCGAAGATGAACATCCGTGGAGGGATGCAGGCAAAGCCGATGAGTCAGATGCCTTCTATGACCTCCTGTCACAGGTGCTGGCTAAAGTGGCCCCTCGGGATAGAGTCATCATGTTGGGTGACTTCAATGCCCGAGTTGGTCATGATACTGGCACCTGGTCTGGAGTGATTGGAGGGCATGGGCCAGATCAGCTCAATAACAACGGTAGGAGGCTGCTAGATTTTTGTGCAGCCCATGGGCTTGTAATTACCAACACGCTGTACCGGCATCGGCGCATCCACACAACATCATGGATGCATGCCGGGTCCAAGCAAGAACATCTGCTGGACTACATAGTGACGGACCAGCGAATGCGAGCCCATGTCCTTGACACCAGGACCTACCGTGGAGCTGATCTGCCCTCTGACCATCGACTAGTCATCTGTAAGATGCGCCTGCCATTCTTCCACTCCGGTGGTGGGTGTACACCCAGGACCCCATTCCAACATAAAGTGGCCTGGTCTCAATTATCTGATGAAAGTTGCAAGCGAGAATTTCATCATCGCTTGCGGCTGGGATTGGCATCGTCCCCGACTCCTCCTGATGTCGAGGGTAAATGGGCGAGGTTTAGGACTGTGACTCATGCAGCTGCAATGGCTGCAAAGGTACGCGGTCCAGACCTCCCCAGAGACCCTGGCTGACAGAGGAGGTGTTCAGGATGGTTGAGAAAAAGCGACAGGCCCACTGTCATCGGCTACAGAATCCCACGTCAGAGAATGAGGAGGCTTACCGCAGCCTTCGCTCGGAGGTTCGGAGAGCCGTGATGCGCTGCAAGGATGGGTGGTGGTCGCGGGTTGCTGAGGAGATGGAGTCTGCCTCAGTGGCCCGTGATCACAAATCTCTATTTAACTCCATCAAAAAAGTAACCTGCAGCGCCACACCTATTACCATCATTAGGGGAAAAAACGGTGATCCAATCTCCGACCCCCAGGAACAGGTTCGCAGATTTGCTGAGCATTTCTGTGAGGTCCTGGGGGAGGGAAAATCCCACAGCCAGGAAAACATCGTGGCACAAGGTGAGGATGACCCTGCTGAGGCTGCGGTGCCTCAAATATTGGAAGAAGTCACCCCCTGTGAGTGGCTGGCTGAGGTGCCATCTGCTGAGGAAGTATTGAAGGCGATCCGGAGTCTGAGACCAGGAAAGGCAGCGGGCAGAGATGATCTCCCAAGCGAAATGCTGAGAGAGGGGGGCGTTTGTGCACAGACTGCCCTATATGACATCATAACAACAGTCTGGACCACTGGACGGGTTCCGCAGGATTGGAAGGATGCCCTGGTGGTCCCCCTTTTTAAGAAGGGGGACCGCACAGACTGTAACAACTACAGGGGCATCTCACTCCTCAGTGTGCCGGGAAAGGTCCTGGCAAGGATTATTCAACATCGCCTTGCCAGGCACGCTGAGGAGAGGCTTGCGGAGCCCCAATGCGGTTTCAGGAAAGGGCGGTCCTGCACAGATGCCATATTTTCTGTCCGTCTGCTACAGCAGAGGTGTAGGGAATTCCAGCAAGACCTACATCTCTGCTTTATTGACCTGGTCAAAGCCTATGATACTATCAGTAGGCCTGGGCTCTGGGTCGTTCTTCGTGCTTTTGGAGTACCTGACCCTCTGCTCACAATCATTAAGGACCTTCATGATGGTGAGCGGGCCCGGGTAAAACTACGTGGCCGGGAGTCAGAGCCATTCCCTGTACACCTTGGGGTGCGACAGGGATGTCCTCTGGCTCCCACATTATTCAACATCTATTTTGACCACGTAGTTCGTGAAGCCTTCAATAGCTGTACCGGGGGAATCTCCATATGGTACAGATATAATGGGAGGCTAATCGATGCCCGGGTGCGGTCAAGGGATGGCTCCCTATTGCTCAACCACGTTATGTATGCTGATGATTTGGTAATAGCTGCTCAGTCAGAGGAGGAGTTGGAGATGCTGCTGCTGAGACTGGAGCGTGCCACTAAGAGGTGGGGCCTTACCATCAGCCCCACCAAAACTAAGCACCTGCCTGGGTATTTTGTACCATCGGACACTCCACCCCCACAACTCCCAATCGGTGATGGGGCAGTTGTGGAGAGAGTGGAGAGTTTCCCATACCTGGGCAGTGTGCTTATGACTGGCTCCAGTTTAACAGCAGAGGTCTCACTCCGAATCAGTCGAGCGGCAATATCTTTTCATCGGTTGCGTAACGCTGTGTGGAAGCTACCTGGTCTGTCGCTCCGCACTAAGCTTCAGGTCTTCTCGGCCACGGTCATTCCCTCCCTTCTCTACGCTTGCGAAACGTGGACCCCCCTAATGGAACATCTTCGCCGGTTAGAAACATTTAGGCTGGCCTGCCTACGATCCATCCTGGGTTTAACCAGACTGGATTGTGTGAGGAGCTCACAAATCCTTGAAAGATCTGGGCAGGGTCCCATCGGTGAGCTCCTCCGGCAGGCAAGGCTGCGATGGCTGGGTCATGTAGCCCGCATGCCCAGCCACCGCATGCCGAAGCAGCTTTTGTTTGGCCGGATTGAGGGGGCTAAGCGGGCGCGGCACGGGCTAGAGAGGAGATGGAGTGATGTGGTACAGGAGGACGTGGAGCTGAGTGGACTTGCCGATGACTGGTACCAGCGGTGTCAAGATCGGCCTCTGTGGAGGAGGCTCGTGAAGGACGCTACTGGGCAGTTGGAGGCAGTCGCCCTCCAACAACAACGGAGGGCGGAGGAGCGACGCTCACAACAACGAGCGGAGCGCTGGGTGGCTAAAGCACAGCAGGTTGGCACAGTAGGGGGCACAGGTGGTGCATCAGCCAGTCATCTCAGTCAGTCGACCCGTGGCACCTGGGTCTGCCCCGTGACCTCCTGCCAGCGGGCGTTCGACACTTCACGTGGCCTCACGGTGCACATAGCCTGGCACAAGCGTCGTGGTGACGTCACCGCCACTTAGTGGCGAATGGCGGTTGTTGTTGTTGTTGTGAGAGTGAGTGTGTGAGTGTATGAATGTGAGTAAGTGTCTGTGGTGCAGTGAGTGACTCACCCCCGATAATCGCCGATCTCGTGCTGTTCCCCTTCGACACGCGCTCCCCATCGCCCGCTCCGTTGATTCCATCTGCAACAGCAACAGCAGATGGAAGGATGCACAGGCGCTGTTCACGAGCACCTATTAAGGCCGTCTCGTCGGCACCGACCTTCGCGATCGCACCGCGCCAGGTACTTTTTTTTTAGACCGAGTCGACCTACGGGAGGTCCTGGACAAGTTCATATAGTTCGTCACCGATATCAGTCGTGACTGGGAATCGAACTTAGGTGGCTGGCTTCGTAAATTACATTTACGACCGCCCCCCCCCCCACCCCCCCTGTTGCACACACACACAGACACACACTCAGAATCAAAGTATAAAGATCCCCCGTATAGTATTAGGTTTTACCCTTTTAACTGGCACAAAAACTGACACCTTTATTCAAGGCATCATGTTTGCAATAACCACAACACAAGCAGTCAAAATGCAAACAAAAGAGACAACTCTGATAATAATATGCACTGTCCTTGAATTTGATTGGTCCACACCCGAGACGGCTTTTCTCAGAGCCTAGTCTCCCCCGTATAGCCCTAACAAACTGTTGGGTCAAGTGCTGTTAGCGAGCACCTATGACGGCCGGCACGGCACACGAGGGGGTGGGTGCCCAACACACTCAGACACACACTCAGACACACACTCATACACACATGACATTTAGCAACGCGGCACGGTGCGAACAAGGCAACCAGCAACAACAACAAAAACAACCAAACACAATATACCGTAGGCGATTTCCGAATCGAATTGCAAGCTGGATTCACAGCGCGTTCACCCAATAATGCCGAAGTGTCATTTCGGAGCTCGGGATATCTGGGGGCCTCAGACTTGGGGCACTCTCTGTCTCTCTCTCTCGCTGCCTGAAGAACCTGGGGCCTGGCCGCTGAGATTCTCCCATTTCGAAAGAAACAAAAAACATTCTTACTTCCTCGGATATGCCCCATAAACTCGAGATGTTCTGTTTCCCTTTCCTTTTCTGGACGGCGCTCTGAAGCCCTCCGTTGGGTCTGCTGCACATTATGAAAACGTAACTCGTAACAATAATATTCCATGATAGGTTTTTTTTGGGTTCGATCACGTAAATATTTATGGCTGATATTGGTCGAGAAAGCCTACGTGTTAAACCAAACAAAATACTGTAATTATAATAATAACAAATGCGTAAAAGAGGGGACTGCATTGCACTTCGTCAGAAAGTGCTGAATGGTTTCTTAACATTACGGCTGTGTATTCTTGGTCATTTCGGTCAAGTCACGTAACTTTACCGAAAGAACCAAGAATATGAATCCCTGCAGTCACGAAAGCTTTAAATCAAAATTACGGCTGTGGTTTTTTTTTTTTACAAATCCGTGCGTCTTGCGTGAAACTGAATTCATATCACGCACTCCTCCGACCGTGACGCCTGCTGCTGTATATTTGGGAGTTTGCGGTGTCTCTGCCCCGTGGTCGCGTGGATTTTTCTCCGGGTCCTCCGGTTTCCCCCCTCTGCATTCAGAATCGACGTCACGCGTTCCGAGTATTCGGCCGCTCGAAATTGCCACGCGGTGATGATAAGCCGCACTTCGTGGAGAGCTCTAATTTGTGATGGCCAGGTCGCTTCTGAAAAAGAGCTCCACACAGCTTCGCGGGCCTTCCTTACCTGGTCAAATAAAAAAATATATAGTTAAGTGGTCGCTTTGATATCCTCTCCTCCGAGCCACGCGTTCCCCTTCCTGCCTCCCAATGGAATCCCCCGCCGCGCTTCGTTCACCGGCAGCTCGACGCCGCGAGCCTCCCGCCGACTCACCGAGGCCGTGCGCCCACGGCTGGGTGCTGCTGGAGGCCGGCGGCACGGTGAGGGGCACGGCGCCGCAGCCCGACTGCAGGAGGCGCCCCCTCACGGTGACCCAGGGCGGCGGGGTGGCGCGCAGGGCCGCCTTGAGCGGCGCCGCGCCGTTGAACTCGACGCGCGACAGGCACCCGCTGAACCCCGGCGCGTTCGCGCGCAGCACCTCCGCGTCCACGTCGCCGGAGTCTGGCGGCACGCAGACGGACGGATAGACGGATGAACGGACAGATGAACGGACAGATGAACGGACAGATGAACGGACAGACGGACGGATGGATGTAAGGTTATATGGACAGATGAACGGACGGACGGATGGATGGATGGAAGGTTATATGGACAGATGAGCGGACAGACGGACGGATAGACGGATGAACGGACAGATGAACGGATAGACGGATGAACGGACAGATGAACGGACAGACGGACGGATAGACGGATGAACGGACAGATGAACGGACAGACGGACGGATAGACGGATGAACGGACACATGAACGGACAGACGGACGGATAGACGGATGAACGGACAGATGAACGGATAGACGGATGAACGGACAGATGAACGGACAGTCGGACGGATGGATGGAAGGTTATATGGACAGATGAACGGACAGACGGATGGATGGATGAAAGGTTATATGGACAGATGAACGGACAGACGGATGGATGGATGGATGGAAGGTTATATGGACAGATGAACGGACAGACGGACGGATGGATGGATGGAAGGTTGTATGGACAGATGAACGGACGGACGGATGGATGGATAGAAGGTTAGATGGACAGATGAACGGACAGACGGACGGATGGATGGAAGGTTAGATGGACAGATGAACCGATGGATGGATGGACGAATAGATGGACAGACGAACAGACGGATGGACGGACGGACAGATAGACAGACGAATTAGAATATGCATTTATACTGGAGGAATCCTATGAGCTATAAAGCTCTTTTTCACCGATGTCCAGTACGATGGACGGATCGTCAAATCAACAGATACGTAGACAAACAGACGGATGAACGGACGGGCAGACAAATTGAAAGAAGACAGTCGCCCAACGCTCACTTGTGCATGGGGACGACTTTCATTTGGGGGCTGGTGGCTCCCATCGGAAATCTAGCCGTGAACAAAACGACTAGGTGGCAGCACCACCACCACCACCGCCACCACCACCGCCCCCGCCACAACCACCGCAACCACCGCGACGATCCGGCTCGCATGACTCCAGGCTCATCAAAGCTCTCATCATCTGAGCGATCAGACCACCACCGCAGCGACCGCAGCGTCGGTGAACGTGTGGGAGAGGACACGGAAACACCCAGGAGGTGGATCCTCGACAACTTCCACACACAACAAAAACACCGACAGGGCGCGCTCGGAGAGAAAAAAAAAATCTCGGCGCGCGAATTCCACGCCAGGCTCAGAAGGACGCCGCGCTAGAGCAATGAGCTGTCCGCCGTCAGGGTCAAAGAGCGACTCGCTGGGGCCCTCGCTTCAGCAGGGGCTGCCCTGGGTGCCACCCGGCACACCCACGAGCAGTATCTACGACTAGCCACGTGACACCGACTCCGCTCTGCCAGCGGCCAGGGTAATGTTGTACGCAGAGCTCAAGCCCCGCGCACGCGCGCGTTCAATTTGCTTCCCTCGCAAGAGCGTCGCTCAGCCGTGCGCCGACGTCTCCCATCGCCGACTGCGCGGCGTGATGTGGTGCTATGTGGTGCGATGTGGCGCTATGCGGCGCTATGCGGTGCGATGTGATGCTATGTGGTGCTATGTGGCGCTATGTGGTGCTATGTGGCGCTATGTGGTGCGATGTAGCGCTATGTGGCGCTATGTGGTACTATATGGTGCGGCCTTCAGGCCGTGCGGACCCGCTGGGGGGACAAGCGGTGTCGGCGAGCGCCTCTTGAAGGCGCCGCACGGCGCACACCGAGAGAGGGCGATGTGGCCAGCACGACGCTCAGCCTCTGTCTCGACTTCAATTGCGTGCGGAAAAACACAAAAGGGAACAAAGATCCCCCCCGTGTAGCCTTTCATTAACACAGACTGTTGGGGAAAGGGGTGTTAGCGAGCGCCTATTAAGGCCGGCACGGCACACGGGGGGGGGGGGGGGTAGTGGTGGCGGCGAAGCCAGCGGCTTGTCACACCGCAGCAGGGCCCTCGGAATTGTAGGCTGAGAGGACCTACAGGCAGGCCAGGCCAGGTTCCACTTGAGACACTAATTGCCACCGATGACAGTGTATTTAGGGATAATTATGCCGTTCTAAAAGTGAAGCTAAGGCAAATGAAATGTGCTATTTTAGTAAACATTTGATAAATGGTTTGGATGAGTGCACGTGTGCCTACGCGCGTGTAGGTGACCGGGGGAGCGGTGGCACAGCGGTTAGCGCACTCCGCTACTCATCCGGCCATCTGATTTCGATTCCCACCCACGCCTATCATGGGTGGCGATTATCCGAATCGGTCGCGGGTCTTCCCCTAGGTCGACTCGGCCTCAAATAGGTCCCCTTTACACTGTGCGCAAACATCGGCACCCACCCCGCCATCGTGTGCCATGGCGGCCTTCATAAGTGGCGGCTACTCGCTGTCGGCAATTTCCCCCAAACAGAACTACTAAAGGCTTACACGGGGGTGGTGGGAGAGGAAGTGTGTGTGTGTGTATAAAATACTGTGCATGTCTCTAATGGGCATGAGATTTGCGCGAGTGGCCAAGGATGCTGATGAGTCTTCTGGTGTAAAAAAAAACAACTCCGACAAACGATTAGCGCGAAAAGAAAGAAGAACCCCTGGCATCGTGGTACAATTGTATAGCCCGTGTGTGTAAGACATTCGCGGCGCTCTCGTCTCTCTCCTCAACGCTCTCGTTCTCCTGCCGAGTGCTTGGGCCGAAGCCCACATCTCTCTCTCTCTCATCTAACCGCGGGATCCAAGCAGCAATTTTCATTTCCCCCAGAACACAAAAACAAACATGATTTCAAGGGCCGTTTAATTGTCCGTCGCTAATTAACAGAACGCTTCCACGCCCGGGCGAGAGAGAGAGAAGGGCGATGGAGATAATGTTTGAGAGAGTGCGAAAGTGAGAGAGGAGGGGGGGGGGGGAGATATCACACATCAATTTACGCGCTCCACTCTTCTCCGCACTGCTCTCTCAGCAACACATGCCACTCACCACTCACACACTCCACAGTTGCTCCCTCTCCTCCCTCCTCTCTCTCTCCACTCCTCCCCACACTCCCCCCCACCCCCCACACACTCTACCGTCCCACAACGAGCCATGTTCAACTCTAAATGAGGGCGTTAAGAGCCCCGAACCTAACAGCCCCTGCGAGACCAATTTGTGATCTTGTCGATGTGAGAGGGGGCTCGGGGAGACATCTCGGTCGTGGCATGGCCAGATGGAGGAGTGGAGGGGAGGAGGAGTGGAGGGGAGTGGAGGGGAGGTGGAGTGGAGGAGGAGTGGAGGGGAGGAGGAGTGGAGGGGAGGAGGAGGGGAGGAGAAGTGGAAGGGAGGAGTGTAGGATTGGGGGGGAGGAGTGGAGTGGAGGAGTGGAGGGGAGGAGGAGTGGAGGGGAGGAGTGGAGGAGGGGTGGAGGAGTGGAGGAGGAGTGGAGGGGTGGAGGAGTGGAGGAGGAGTGGAGGGGAGTGGAGTGGAGGGGAGGAGTGGAGGGGAGGGGACGATACTGATATTGAGCACTTCTTACCCGCCGCGTCACGCCGAAGCCCTCAGATTAGTTCTCCGATCTTTTACTTTCGGGCTTCCGATTGTTTTTGTTGCGGCGCTTTTATCGACGCGTCTGATGAAGGCTCCTGCGGTGAAACGTCGGGCGACCCCGAAATGCCGCGCCGAGGAGGCGTGCGGGCGAACATCGCCGGCGGATCGCCGCGCAGAATTTCCTGCCGAGTGTTTGTCGCTGATCGCGAGACACCGCGAGAGGCTCTCTCTCTCTTTGTTGGGTCGGATCGCGCAGAGATTTTTTTTTGCATCCCTCTTCATTCGAGACGGAAACAGGGGGGAGGATTTCTTCACCACTCTGTGGAAGTCCGCCTGACGACGCCGGCCTGTTTTAAGTACCGGCGAAACGTCACGGTGATCGACCTGTAAATGTTTCAGTGGGTTTACTCTCCCAACACACCCGCTGTGCGCTGTACCAGGAGCAAAATTAGCCACGTTTTGTTTAAGCGACAAAACACCTCACTATACTCATTGGTTCTTTCGGTAAAGTCACGTAGTTAGAAATAAAATCAAACAAAGTACGACGTTTCGATCGCAACACAAGCGGTCGTCATCAGGCGATCGAAACGTCGTGATTTGTTTTATTTTATTTCTACCCACGTGACTTTACCGAAAGATCCAAAGAGTATGGATTCCTGCAGTCAGGAAAGCTTCAAATCAAGATTGAACCCCTTACTAGTTAGCTGTGTCGGGTGGTGGCGGGTTCAACGGCACAACATTCGTCATTTAACATTGGCCTGCGAAAGCCGACTACTACTGCTCCTTGTTAAACTGGAGACACCGCAACACTCGTGACAAGATCCGCAGACGCGATAATTGCACTCGTGGTGTCGCGGTTCACGCGCGCTGGACCTTGTTTTGGATCCTCCCGGGAGACTCAGGTCTCTTTGCCGGGAGGGTCCTGCCAAGTGTTTTTTCGCAGCAAGGGGGTCGATGATGATGCGGCTGCCGCTGCTGCCGCTGCTGTGCGTGATCCCAATCGAGTGATTTGCAGGCACTTTCTGTTTTATATTTATAGCACTGTGGATGTGTGTGTGGTTTGTTTCTGTTTAGCTATGGGGAGGTAATCGGAGAGCCAGGAGGAAGCCCACGCAGAGCAGGAGGTGGAGACAGAGAGAGAGAACGCACAAACTCCACACAGAGAGGCACCCGTGTCACGAGTCGAACACAGGCACCCTTCTCGCTGCGCGGTGCGAGTGTCACCACAGAATCAGAATCTTTATTTAGACCGGAGGAGGAATCCGATGAGCTATGAAGCTCTTTCTTCACACGTGTCTGGGATGGGTGGCTGGGGGGGTCAGCGAGTGTCAACCACCGTGCCCGCACCGCCCTGCCCGCTGAATAACTTGCCGGGGTGTTGTTGTTGTTGTTGCTGCCATAGACGGGGGCGCACTCCGCAACCCGCGACCCCACGTGGTCGATTCAATCTCCCTGCGTGGCAGGCGATGAAGCCAACGGTGCGAGATTCTTCAATTACCCCCCCCCACCAATCCCACCCGCCCCCACCCAACCCCGCCCACCAACCCCCCCCCCATCCACCCCAAACATCCCCCCCCACCCGCACCCCCCCACCCGCACCCCCCCCACCCGCCCCCACCCCACCCCCCCCACCAACCCCCACCCACCCCACACCGCGCCCGCCGCCTTCTCTCCGCAAGCGGCTAGTTCTGGTTCGTCTACCGGCAGATGGTGCTCGGTGGGGTAAAGTGTGGGTAAACAACAACAACAACAACAATAAACAACAAACACATTCATTCACGAGGCTTCCCAACGCCTTGGGGCGACACTCCCAAGACGTTTGGCCAGCGAGCCCGAGAGTTGGTGGCCAAAGTGATCTCTCCCTGGGGGTGGAGGTGGCGGGGGGGGTCTCTGGGGGGGTCTCTGGGGGGTCCCTAGGGGCTCCCCTCCCTCCTCCCCGCAAGCGCAAGAGGAGGGAGGCGACGTGGGCCCATGTGGGTGACGACCTGGGCCCATGTGGGTGACGACCCGGGCCACGATCTGCCGACTCACCTTGGACGCGCCCGAGGTAGAGCTCGCGGGGAGAGGTCATCTGGATCGGCGCGACGACGGCCAGGACGTGTCTCACCGCAGGGTAGTGGTCCAACTTGGACACACGCACGCACGCGTACACACAGAAGAGACAAAGATCAAAGATCCCCACCCCCCACCACTCTCCCCCGTGTAGTCTTACTTAGCAGACTGTTGGGGCAGTCTAGGTTTGCCTGGCTTTGTGCGGGAATGGTAGATGCGTTTTGAAAAGACAAAAAATAGAACCGCGCAAAGCGAAACCGCACGAGGAGACAGCTGCCTGGCGAGTAGTGTACACAGTGTACACACACAGTACGTGTGCAACACACAGTACACACACAGTACACACGCAGTTCACACACACAGTTCACACACAAAGTACACACACAGAGTACACATACGCAGTACGCACATCGAGTACACAAACATAGTACACACACAATACACACAGTACACATACAGAGTACACATACAGAGAACACACAGAATACACAGAGTACTCTCACAATACACACAGAGTACACACAGTACACACAGCGTTCACACACAGAGTACATACAGTACACAGAGTACACACAGAGTACACACACTACACACGAGCAGTGTTGTCCTACGTCCGACCACACAGCCGCGTCCGAGTGACCAACAAACACAAACCACATCCGAGCGAGGTTCCTCCACATTCAATGATGAACTTTTCTTTCGACACTTTCCCATCAAGCGCCAGGGCTCGCTGGCAAGGAGGTGACGGGACAGAGCCAGCGTGCCGTGTGGTCTGAGCGCGGTTAGCTACGTACGGTGCGAAAGAAGCTCAACACACGCGCACACGCGCACGCGCGCACGGGTTGACTGCCTGAGGCGTCTGGGGGCTCCCTGCCACCACGTGCACGCGCGCGCCCGCGCGTGTGAAATGCATCACAATGTTAAAACACGAGTACCATTCTGCTCAACGTCGCTCTCCAAGGGCACGTGCACGTCTCGCGACACAACAGCAGCAGCAGCATCCTCATCATCGACGACGAGAAGAAGAAGATGAAGAAATGGAACATTAAACGAATTTCACCACAACGGGGCTCCACGGGTCAGTGCTGGATTATCCTAGTGGCACAAGTAGCAGCTGCGTGTGTAGCAGCTACATATGTAGCCCGTAGTATGTGTAGCAGCTACATATGTAGCTGCTACACATACTACGGGCCCCGCACTTTCAAGGGCCCCGCGCTAAACGCTTTCAAGCTATCAATTCCGGTTCAGTGATTCTGCACTTGCTCTATTACTATAGTACTACACCGCCTTCTACTTTTACGGACGACTGGGCGTTTAAGGTTTGTCGTATTATCTGGTTGTATGGCGAATGAAAAAATACAATTACTTTCCTGTGCAAGTAAAAAATGTGTGTTTTAATATTTACGTGTTTTTTCAACCTAATTGACAGCCCGTCGAGTAGTGGTGCCTACTCACGTCTCACAGCCACGAAGCCCTGGGTTCAAATCCCCACTGGGGTTTCTATGTTTCCTCTCCACCCCTGTTACGCATGGGTTTCCTCCGTGCTCTCCGCCAAACGCCACCCCAATGCTGAACAACTTTGCCGGCATGTTTACTCGAATGAGATTATTAGACGCAGCAGCGGCGGCGGCATCATAGCCCCCCCCCCCCCCCCCCACGACTGCGTAAAACTCATGAACAAAAAGTGTTCAGCACGGTTCATTCACGTGGGTTGATGAAGGGAGGGAGGTGAGAGGAGGGCGGGGAGTGAGGGAGGGGATGGGGATGGGGCGGGGAGGGGAGGGAAGAGGAGGAGAGGGAGGAGAGGGAGGGGAGGGAGGAGAGGGAGGGGAGGGAGGAGAGGGAGGGGAGGGAGGAGAGGGAGGGGAGGGAGGAGAGGGAGGGGAGGGAGGAGAGGGAGGAGAGGGAGGGGAGGGAGGGGAGGGAGGAGAGGGAGGGGAGGGAGGAGAGGGAGGGGAAGGAGAGGGAGGGGAGGGAGAGCAGCCTCGCAGCATTTCAGATACCACTCTCCACTGCCGCTAAACACGGCCAGGAACAGCACAGCTACCAGCTGTGCCACTCTCTAGCGCATAATAAGAACAATTACAATAATGTTCAGGTAAATTATCTCCTTGAGAAGGGGGGGGGGGGGCTTCCATTGCTCAAGCTCAACTTCACTTCGCTCTCCCCCACACCCGGCTCGCATCACCACCACACTCCCACGCGAGGGCTTCGAAGCCTGCCAGGAGCTGGTGGCCTCTTTTGTGGCCTCTCTTTGCTTCTGGTGGCCTCTCTTTGCCCCCTCCCCACGTCCCCTCAACTCCCTCCATGCTTCCGTCAGCAGCGTCTTTCCAGCCGACACCACCATCATCGCAACGCATCGTCAAAGCACAATAACGACACCACGACCACCAAAGCGTTTGCCCCTCCACAATGAACCCCTTTGGTGGTGGTGATGGTGGTGGTGATGCTGCCGCCGCTGCTGCCGCCGCTGTGGTGACGCCACGGCGGTTCGTTTAACGTAAACATTCTGACGGGTCAGAAGCAGCTCACGAGTTCGCCTTCAACTCTCGGCGTGCCTGAGACGAGACACAATGGGAATGTCGGGTGTCGGTGTGGGGGGGGAGCGGGCAGCAGCGGAGCGTGATGAGCGCAAATGAAGTGTGTTTAATGCAGCGCTTTCTCCTAATGACGCCGCGCAAATGCCACGGAATCACCCAACGGCGTTTCGCTTAACGGTGGAGAGCGCCCCACGGAACCCGCAGCATCGTCACCGTCACCGGGTCTTGATCAATCCACTGCTGGATGACTATTACATTATCATTGGCGTCGATGGTTGCAGAAGAAGAAGAAGAAGACGACGACGACGTGACGCGTGAGCAGGCAACGTCTCCTCCTCCATTCCCCTCCATCGATCCGTCTGGCCACTCATCCCATGAGCCGCACGGCCTTCTGGGAGCGCGTCATCTCAGCGCCGTTGATTCAGAACGAGCGAACTCCGGACCGGTTTTGACGCGCAAGTGTCTCATCGGTAGGGGTCAGGGACGCCTCAATCGATGCTGGCGAAACTGTCGATCTTACAGACGAGGGTCCTCTCTATCTACGCTAGTTTGCTGTACAACTTTTGGGTTGTCAGAAGGAGCAACATCATCAGCAGCAGCAGCAACATCACCAGCAACAGCAGTAGCAGCGTTGCCCTCCTTCCCGCAAAAAAACTTTTGTCAGGACCCTCCTGAAAATGTTCCGTGAGACTCGGTGAGGCGTAAGGGGTGCCACGGTGGCTAGGAAATGTTAACTCCGTCGCCTGGTATACAGGAGGTCGTGGGTTCGATCCCGACCCTGACGCCTCCTGTATATTTGGAGTGTGTGTTTCTCTCTCTCTCTCTCCCCGTGGTCACGTGGATTTTTCTCCAGGTCCTCCGGTTTTCACATTGAGAAACATGCATCTAAAAGACTATTTGGCTGCTATAAACGTCCACGTGATAAGCCACTTCGTTGAGCTATCATTTGTGGCCAGCCCTGAAAGAGAGCTACACAGCTCAGTGGGGGCCTTACCTGGTAAAATTTAAATAAAAACAGTCTAAGTGTTTCGTATAAATACACAATGCACCGCTCTAAATAATAATAATCGTTCGCACGTCCTCTCTCATCATCCTGAGCTCCCTTTTTCGCATTGGCCTCGATTGCAATCCCCCCCCCCCCCCCCCCGGTCTCTCTAGCACACTCCGTCTGCAGCTATTTGACAAACGCGGAGAAAGTATGAATAAAACCTCGGAGCAAGCGGATTGCCGGGCGGAATGAGGGTGGAGGAATCGACGTCAGGACCGTGGCAGGGTGAACAAAGCAGGGTAGAGAGAGAGAGAGTGAGAGCGAGGGCCTTTAAGGGAAAAAAAAAAACATTTTTTGTAAACGAAAGGGCGGCGCACGACTGTGTATGAATGTACGTCGAACTTCTTTCGCACCGTACGTAGCCAACCGTGCTAATCGGGGGGGGAGGGGGGGGGAGGGGGGGGGGAGGGGGGCTCAGGGGGGGGGGAGGGGGTCTCCGAGAGGCAGGACGCGGAGGACGCTGACAAACGAGCCGCGTTTATCCAGACACTGCCACGGCGCAGCCTTCGCGACGTGATCCAATCTGCGCTCGCCCAACAACAACAACAACATATAAAAGCGTCTCGAAATGCGAGCGGCCCTTCTAAAGAAGCCCCAACGACGTAAATTGGCTGACGCGAGAACATTAAGGAGGAGGGGAGGAGGGAGGAGGTGAGGAGGAAGGGGGGGGCGACACGACCCAGCCGTAGCGCGCGTCGCGGCTTGTCACAGCGGGTTCGCGGCTCGAACCCCGCGCGGCCGCCCTGGTTAACACTTGCGGGTGTGCCGACCGGTGACGAGTGCCACTCTGCTTCACGGCGGACGTTCAAGGTCTGGCGCGGTTGCCCGAATAAGAGCAAGCCGTTGTGCGCGGCAGTGTCACGGGGGTGAAACTAAAAAAAAACTATCGCCAGGCTCCGAAATTACATTTGAAGATTCTCCGTGGCAAACCGTCACCCTCCGTCGGCAGACCGATGCCTCGGGGGTCACTCGGAGGCTCTGCCCTGGCCTCGTGGGCTCCCACCTGGCTAAACTATATAAACCTGAGACTTGGCCGGTAACGATGAGAACGAGAGCTCCCGCACACGCGGCTGATTCCACCGGCCCGTGTCGTCGTTGGCGGGCGCCCACAGGATTAGCGCCTCTGCAGGGCGGACTGCGAGGGAGTCCCACACAGTTGGGGGCAGCTGCCAAGGAGGAGCGACCTCACGGGCGGCGGGGACCTTGAGCAGAGGCGGGTGTCGCGCAGATCGCGGAGGCGGCGAGTGGTGAGCGGTGAGTGGTGAGCGGTGAGCAGTGAGTGGTGAGTGGCGATCGGTGAGTGGCGAGCGGTGAGCGGCGATCGGTGAGTGGCGAGTGGTGAGTGGCGATCAGTGAGTGGCGAATGGTGAGTGGCGATCGGTGAGTGGCAAGTGGTGAGTGGCGATCGGTGAGTGGCGAATGGTGAGTGGCGAGTGGCGATCGGTGAGTTGCGATCGGTGAGTGGCGATCGGTGAGTGGCGAGTGGTGAGTGGCGATCGGTGAGTGGCGCGTGGTGAGCGGTGAGCAGTGAGTGGCGAATGGTGAGTGGCGATCGGTGAGTGGCGAGCGGCGATCTGTGAGTGGCGATCGGTGAGTGGCGATCGGTGAGTGGTGAGTGGCGAGTGGTGAGTGGTGAGTGGTGAGCGGCGAGTGGTGAGCGGTGAGTGGTGAGCGGTGAGTGGCGAGTGGTGAGCGGTGAGCGGCGAGTGGTGAGTGGTGAATGGTGAGCGGCGAGTGGCGAGTGGTGAGTGGCGAGCGGCGAGTGGTGAGTGGCGAGTGGTGAGTGGCAAGTGGTGAGCGGCGAGTGGTGAGTGGTGAGTGGCGCGTGGCGAGTGGTGAGTGGCGAGTGGTGAGCGGTGAGTGGTGAGTGGTGAGTGGCGAAGTGGTGAGCGGTGAGTGGCGAGTGGTGAGCGGCGCGTGGTGAGCGGTGAGTGGCGAGTGGTGAGTGGCGAGTGGCGAGTGGTGAGCGGCGCGTGGTGAGCGGTGAGTGGTGAGTGATGAGTGGCGAGTGGTGAGTGGTGAGCGGTGAGTGGCGCGTGGTGAGTGGCGAGTGGCGAGTGGTGAGCGGTGAGTGGCGCGTGGTGAGTGGCGAGTGGCGAGTGGTGAGTGGCGAGTGGTGAGTGGTGAGCGGTGAGTGGTGAGTGGCGAGTGGTGAGTGGTGAGCGGTGAGTGGCGAGTGGTGAGTGGTGAGCGGTGAGTGGCGAGTGCGCGCGCCCGCAGAAGTGACCAATGTCTTCTTCGCGCATGTCATCGCTGCCAGAACAACGGCTGCATCACACCCCCCACTCTCCCCCCCAAACTCCATCCCCCTCCTCCCCCCCCCCCCCCCCCCAAACTCCATCTCCCCTCCCGTCCTCCCCCCATCTTGGCGAGCTCGCAGCTCGCGTGGTGCGGTCCCAAATCAGAGCCAGGACATATCCCGCACGCACCACAGCAGCAGCAGCAGCATCACACAGCGGCCACAACACGGCAATAGCCCCAACAGAGACAAAGACAAAGATCCCCGGTACAGCCTTAACAGACTGCTGGGGCAAGTACTGTTAGCGAGTAGCACCTGTGAAGGTCGACACAGCACACGAGGGAGTGGGCGGCCAGAACCACACCCGGCCGCCTTTGTTTCCCCAGTGGCGATGTTTACACACCGCAAACAGGTACTAATTTGAGGCTGAGTCGACCTAGTGGAGGTAAAAAAAAAAACTGGTTCATATCATCGTCACCGATGTTGGCCGTGAGCGGGAATCCAACTCGGGCCGCCAGGTTCGTAGCGCAGGGCTCTAGCCGCTACACCGCCTCTAGCCACAACACACACAGCCAGCCACAACACACACAGCCAGCCACAACACACACAGTCAGCCACAACACACACAGCCAGCCACAACACACACAGCCATCCACAACACACACAGCTAGCCACAACACACACAGCTAGCCACAACACACACAGCCAGCCACAACACACACAGCTAACCACAACACACACAGCTAGCCACAACACACACAGCTAACCACAACACACACAGCTAGCCACAACACACACAGATATCCACAATACACACAGCTAACCACAACACACACAGCTAGCCACAACACACACAGCTAGCCACAACACACACAGCCAGCCACAACACACACAGCTAGCCACAACACACACAGCTAGCCACAACACACACAGCCAGCCACAACACACACAGCTAGCCACAACACACACATCCAGCCACAACACACACAGCTAGCCACAACACACACATCCAGCCACAACACACACAGCTAACCACAACACACACAGCTAGCCACAACACACACAGTTAGCCACAACACACACAGCTAGCCACAACACACACAGCTAGCCACAACACACACAGCTAGCCACAACACACACAGCTAGCCACAACACACACAACTAGCCACAACACACACAGCTAACCACAATACACACAGGCAGCCACAACACACACAGCTAACCACAACACACACAGCTAACCACAACACACACAGCTAGCCACAACACACACAGCTAACCACAACACACACAGCTCTGCACCCTCCCGCCACAACACAGTTCATCGACAACACGGACCGGTCATAACACAGCTGTCGCTACAACACCGTTTTTTAGGCCACAACCCAGCCGGCCACAATTCAGGCGGCCACAACGCTATAAAGCGAAACACAGGCCCCGGCACAACACAGAGGCCACGTGGTGCCGTCCTCCCGCGCGTCTTCTTTGGGATCCGCACCGAGTCACACGTGACGAGTAACACGACTCTAATTGGCATTTCTCAAAAAAGCCGCATTAATTATCCCCGCTCCTATCAACACCACCCATCAACACCTGCGCCACCACCCCCCCCCCCCACTTCCACCCACCATACACAAGAGCTGTTGCAAATCCACGTTCACCCAAAAATCTAATAAAAATAACCCACGTGCTCTGATGCATCGTTTCCCCCACCCCCCTCCCCTTCCTTTGCCTGCCGTTCCATCGCCAGTCTCGACCATCGGCCGCCGTTCCTTGCGGCCACGGCGCGTCCTGCCCGCGAGCTTTGCTCGCTCTCGTCAGTGGCCGGTGTCGACCTCTGTGATCCGCGCGTGCGTGCATCCTGTTTCTTTCGGTGTGATAACTCTCTCAGCGTGGGCGGGTTGGAGGGTTGGCGAGCGGCTGGGTTGGTTGGTGGGTGGGTGGGCAGGTTGGTCGGTGGGCGAGCGGGCGGGCGGGCGGGTTGGTGGGTGGGTGTGTTGGCTGGGTGGGTGGGTGTGTCGGCTGGGTGGCTGGGTGGGTAGGTGAGCGGGTGTGTGCGCGTCCTCCCGGCCGTGCGCGTTACCTGCACGTAGAGGTCGGCTCCGAGGCGCGTCACGTTGAGGAGGTGGGGCTGCCCGTTGGCCAGGTTGCGCACGTCCACCGCCACGGAGGTCGTTGACTCCTCCGTGGTCCCGAAACCCAGACGCACGTGTAAGCTCCCTGACGCAGGGCCGTCACGCAAAGGCAAAGATCCCCTTCCCCGCCGCCCATCGAGTAGCCTCTAACAGGCGGCTGGGCCACGTGCCGTCAGCGAGCACCTGTGAAGGCCGGAACGGCGCACGAGGGGGTGGGTGGCCAGCACCACGCCCGGCCGCCTTTGTCTCGCCAGTGGCGATGTTTGCTACACACCGCAACCAGGTACTAATTTGAAGCCGAGTCGACCTAGGCTGAAGCCCAGGACCGGTTCAGATAATCGCGACCGGTGTTTGTGGGCGTGAGCGGGAATCAAACTCGGGGCGCCGGGGTTTGTCGCGCGGCGCTTACCGCTCCGCTGCGACACGCGCACAGAGAGGCGCGTAAACCAACGCTCCCGACCCTCGACGGGCGAGGCGGAGCGGAGCCCTCACCGTCGCGATGCAGGAGAACGGCGAGGAACTCGTCGGGGGCGGACGAGCTCACGTGGAGGAGCACGGCGGGCGCGTGCGTCGTGCTGAACCCAAAGCGCACGCGGTCCCCCCGGCTCCACGCCGAGCCCCGCTCCGGGCCAGCTCCCCTCGCCCGGCTCCCCCGGCAGTTCCCCGCCGGACAGGGGAGGGGGCGGCTGCTGCGGCTGATGCCACCCCAGGGGGTCTGCGGCGAGGCCGGGCTCCGGGAAGGAGTAGCGCACCTGGGTGCCCATCTCGAAGAACGCGCCCACCTCTGCACACCGAAGACAAAAGGGGTCCACCCCACCGTGTAGCCTCCTCCGTATGTTGGGGCAAGTGCAGTGTTACCCCCTCTCCCAGTTGCCCCCACCCCTCAACCAGTGCCAGATTAAGCTAGTGCGGGGCCTGTAGCATATGTTATAAAGAGGCCCGAAATTTTTTTTAAAAACGTCAATATTATAAGGCATTTTTTACAAGCATAGTAAAGTAATTGAATGCATTCGTTGGCAAATACAGCCAGATAATACGACAAATCGCTAACCTTAAACACACAGTCGTTCGTAAAAGTAGAAGGCGGTATAGTACTATAGTAATAGAGCAAGTGCAGAATCATTGAACCGGAATTGATAGCTTGAAAGTATTTAGTGCGGGGCCCTTGAAAGTGCGGGGCCCGTAGCTACTACACGTGTAGCTACTACACGTGTAGCTACTACACATGCAGCTACTACACATGTAGCTACTACACGTGTAGCTACTACACATGCAGCTACTACACATGTAGCTACTACATACTACATGTGCAGTAGCTCCTACAGACTACATGTGCAGTAGCTACTACATACCACATGTGCAGTAGCTACTACATACTACATGTGCAGTAGCTACTACAGACTGCATGTGCAGTAGCTACTACATACCACATGTGCAGTAGCTACTACATACGACATGTGCAGTAGCTACTACAGACTGCATGTGCAGTAGCTACTACATACCACATGTGCAGTAGCTACTACATACTACATGTGTAGTAGCTACTACATACTACATGTGCAGTAGCTACTACATACTACATGTGTAGTAGCTACTACATACTACATGTGTAGTAGCTACTACATACTACATGTGTAGTAGCTACTACATACTACATGTGTAGTAGCTACTACATACTACATGTGTAGTAGCTACTACATACTACATGTGCAGTAGCTACTACATACTACATGTGCAGTAGCTACTACATACTACATGTGCAGTAGCTACTACATACTACATGTGCAGTAGCTACTACATACTACATGTGTAGTAGCTACTACATACTACATGTGTAGTAGCTACTACATACTACATGTGTAGTAGCTACTACATACTACATGTGCAGTAGCTACTACATACTACACGTGTAGTAGCTACTACATACTACATGTGCAGTAGCTACTACATACTACATGTGTAGTAGCTACTACATACTACATGTGTAGTAGCTACTACATACTACACGTGTAGTAGCTACTACATACTACATGTGTAGTAGCTACTACATACTACAAGTGTAGTAGCTACTACATACTACATATGTAGTAGCTACTACATACTACATGTGCAGTAGCTACTACAGACTACACGTGTAGTAGCTACTACATACTACATATGTAGTAGCTACTACATACTACATGTGCAGTAGCTACTACAGACTACACGTGTAGTAGCTACTACATACTACACGTGTAGTAGCTACTACATACTACATGTGTAGTAGCTACTACATACTACATGTGCAGTAGCTACTACATACTACATGTGTAGTAGCTACTACATACTACATGTGTAGTAGCTACTACATACTACATGTGTAGTAGCTACTACAGGCTACATGTGCAGTAGCTACTACAGACTACATATGTAGTAGCTACTACATACTACATGTGCAGTAGCTACTACATACTACATGTGCAGTAGCTACTACATACTACATGTGTAGTAGCTACTACATACTACATGTGTAGTAGCTACTACATACTACATGTGCAGTAGCTACTACATACTACATGTGTAGTAGCTACTACATACTACATGTGCAGTAGCTACTACATACTACATGTGCAGTAGCTACTACATACTACATGTGTAGTAGCTACTACATACTACATGTGTAGTAGCTACTACATACTACATGTGTAGTAGCTACTACATTTACATGTGTAGTAGCGACTACATACTACATGTGTAGTAGCTACTACATACTACATGTGTAGTAGCTACTACATATTACATGTGTAGTAGCTACTACATACTACATGTGTATTAGCTACTACATACTACATGTGTAGTAGCTACTACATACTACACGTGTAGTAGCTACTACATACTACACGTGCAGTAGCTACTACATACTACATGTGTAGTAGCTACTACATACTACATGTGTAGTAGCTACTACATATGTAGTATGTAGTAGCTACTACATACTACATGTGTAGTAGCTACTACATACTACATGTGTAGTAGCTACTACATACTACATATGTAGTAGCTACTACATACTACATATGTAGTAGCTACTACATACTACATATGTAGTAGCTACTACATACTACACGTGTAGTAGCTACTACATACTACATGTGCAGTAGCTACTACATACTACACGTGTAGTAGCTACTACATACTACATGTGCAGTAGCTACTTCATACTACATGTGTAGTAGCTACTACATACTACATGTGCAGTAGCTACTTGTGCCACGAGGATAATCCGGCACTCCCCACCCCCACTGATTTCCTCCCGCTGCGCGAAGCCCAACACGCGCCTTGACGGTGCTGGTCAAATGTCGAGATGGCAGGACTCTCTTGACAAAAGGAGGAGTCTTGAGCCTCATTGAAGCTTTGCTGGACTAATGAATGGTCGCTGCATCATCGTCGTTATTGTCACAACCGCGGGTTGTGCACAGCAACACGCACGCACACCGTGCACAGGCAACGTGACAAGCACATCATGGCATGCAACAAAGACAAAGATCCCCCGTGTAGCCTTAACAGACTGGTGGGGCAAGTGCCGTCAGCGAGCACCTATGAAGGCCTGAACGGCGCACGAGGGGGTGGGTGACCAACACCACGCCCGGCCGCCTTTGTCTCCCCAGTGCGATGTTTACACACAACTCCTCACAAACAACAACTCACATACAACAACTCACACGACAACAACTCACACACAACTCCTCACAAACAACAATTCACATACAACAACTCACACGACAACTCCTCACACACAACAACTCACACAACAATTCCTCACAACAACTCCTCACACACAAGAACTCACACACAACTCCTCACACACAACAACTCATCACACACAACTCATCACACACAACTCCCACACAACAACTCACACACAACAACTCACACACAACAACTCACACACAACTCCTCACACACAACAACTCACACACAACTCCTCACACACAACAACTCACACAACAACTCCTCACACACGACAACACTTGGCGCGCGTGGGGTCTTCACGCCTTTCCCTGCGGGCTTGCTGTGCCCCAGGTGACCCGTGCAGTTCCCATAAACAGAACAGCTTCCGCGCAATCGGTGATTTATGAACAAACACTGCGCGCGCCACGCTGGCTGCACACAGCACACAGCACGCTGCCTGCACACGCCACACAGCATGCACACTGCACACACACAGCGCGCACACACAGCATGCACACTGCACACACACAGCGCGCACACACAGCATGCACACTGCACACACACAGCGCGCACACACAGCATGCACACTGCACCACAGCATGCACACTGCACACACAGCGCGCACACTGCACACAGCGTGCACACACAGCATGCACACTGCACACACACAGCATGCAAACTGCACACACATACATACATAGCACACACATACATAGCACACACTCTTGCTCCAGGCTGCGCTTGCCTTTCCCATTAACACAGCAACATCGCTGTGCGATCGCCGATTCGCGTTTGTGATCTTGCAGAGTGGACCCGTCAGCCGGGTACGAGGAGACGATTCACGTCAAAGACAAAGATCCCCCGTATAGCCTTAGCAGACTTTTGGGACAAGCGCTGTTTGCGAGCAGCTCATAGGGAAGGCCGGCAAGGCACACGAGGGGGGTGGGTGGCCAGAACTACGCCCGACCGCCTTTGTCTCACCCAGCGGCGATGTTTACACACCACGCACCGGGCTACTCATTTGAGGCTGAGTCGACCTAGGGGGAGACCCGCGACCTATGGAGAAGGGCCATTGCCCAAAACGTCGCCTGTCATTTATATTTGTTTCTTTTAAGGCCACACCCAACGGAGTGTTATTCACGAATGTGCTGAGATGCTGCGCTAAGTGTGCGGCTTGAGCGCCTCTGTTCTATCGTGACGACAGCACCATCATCATCACATAGCTCGCTTCGTCCAGATCAGAATGAGAATATTTATTCATACTGGAGGAATCCGATGAGCTATGAAGCTCTTTTCCACAGATGTCCAGTAGGGGCACGGGGTCAGAACGTCACAACAACAAACACAATACAACAACAAACACAATACAACAACAGACACAATACAACAACAGACACAATACAACAACAGACACAATACAACAACAGACACAATACAACAACACGATCGGAGTACCAAGTACAGGACAAGTAAACAAACACACAAACACACAGACACACACACAGACACACACAAACACACAAACACACACACACAAACACACACACAAAAACACACACACACAAACACACACGCAAACACACACACACACACAAACACACACAAACACACGCAAACACACACACAAACACACACGAAGAAAACACACACAAACACACACACACAAACACACACGAAGAAACACACACAAACACACACACACACAAACACACATGCAAACACACACACAGACAAACACACACACGAACAAACACACACGAACACACACGAACAAACACACACACAAAAACACACACAAACAAACACACACACAAACACACACAAACACACACACAAACACACACGAACAAACACACACGAACAAACAAGACTAAACTATCCCCATCCCCTACCAGGCAAAGCCCCGCTGCAGCAATAACAAATTTTTCACAAGCGACCTGGCCACACCATAAATGATAGCTCGACAAAGTGGCTTATCATTTGGACATTTACAGCACCGAAAATCATCTGAACAATCTCAGCAGACAAAGTGTATCCACAGTGCCGGTTATTCGGTCCGGCGGAGCTTCGTGGATTAGTAGACACACAGCCAGCTAGACAAATGAATGGATTAAATGGACAGAGATATCTTTTTGAAACGTCGTGAGACCTGAGTGAGACGCTTTAACCCTTCCTTGGCAGAGGAAACCGTGAGAGACCGAGCAGGAAAGAAATGGCCCATAACCGCTTCATATTTCGCTCAGCCTCTTTGGTTAGCCGTGGCCAGGAATCAAACTCAGTTGGACGGGTTGATGGCCCGTTGCGCTCGCCTCTTCGCCCCTCGCTTTCACCATGTCAGGGTTAAAACCCGGTAAAATGCGGAATAAATGGTAAACAAATGTAAATTATACACAATGTGATTGGAGCAAAAAACAGCACCGGAGTGTGAATATATGGAAGCATGCGCGGTAATGGAGAATATAAGACACGCACACTGACACATGAAGTACAGTACATTACTATGGATGTGTATTGGAATCGAGTGAGTGAACGAATGAGTGAGCGAGCGATCCTAGCGAATGAATGAATGAAATTGCCTGGCTCCCCGGTGAGCCCATTAGTGGAGGCTGCCTGATTGATGAGCGTTGCCCCGGCAACAAGCGAGCGCGAGAGTGACATCACATCCCGGGGTAAAGCACCACTCGCCCGCTCGCTCTGCCCGCTCGCTCTGCTCTCTCGCTCGCTCTCTCTCGCTCTCTCTCGCTCTCTCGCTCATTCAGTCACTCGCTCTCTCTCTCGCTCCACTTCTCCATCCCCCCTGCCCCTCTCGTGCCAGAGACTCCTCTCTAGCCCCCCCCCGCTCCCTCGAAAACGCGTCCATTCCCTGTTCCCTTCGCATCCATTCCATCCTTGCACCTCTTTTAACCCTCTCATACCTGCACCATCCCATACCCTCCAGTTCGCTCCCATACAGCACCATCCCATACCCTCCTGTTTCCTTCCATACAGCACCATCCCATACCCCCCTGTTCCCTCCCTACTGCACCATACCCCCCTGTTTCCTCCCATACAGCACCATCCCATACCCCCCTGTTCGCTCCCATACAGCACCATCCCATACCCCCCTGTTCGCTCCCATACAGCACCATCCCATACCCTCCTGTTCCCTCCCATACAGCACCATCCCATACCCCCTGTTCGCTCCCATACAGCACCAGCCCATACCCCCCTGTTCGCTCCCATACAGCACCATCCCATACCCCCCTGTTCCCTCCCATACAGCACCATCCCAGACCCCCCTGTTCCCTCCCATACAGCACCATCCCATACCCTCCTGTTCGCTCCCATACAGCACCATCCCGGTCTCACCCCATACCCTTCCATCCCATCTCTCTCCACATCCCTTCCCATCCTTCCGTCTCGTTCCCTCCACCGCTCTCCCACCCCTACTCCCTTCACATCCCCCCTCTCTTCACACCCCTCGCATCCCTTCTTCCTCATTCCGCTCTCCGTCTCCGCTGTTCCCTCTGCATCGCTCTCATTTCCACTGCTTCCGCATCCTCTAAACCGTTAATTTATAATATATGTTAATTAATCAACCTGTCGGCCTTCGGGACCAATCTTGTCGAGCAGCAACGTGAGTTTAAGCAGAACACTCCCGGATTGGTTTTGATTCCTCTGAGGCTCACGAGCAGGGGTTGCAGGATGTCAACAAAACAAGTGCCGCTTGGTCTGCCCGAGGTCGAGGACACTTCACGTGAACCGTCGGACCCGTTCGGTGCGGTGCAGAAAAACGGTGCAAAAACGATTTTCTTTAGATGCTAATAATTACGAAATAAACAGGCAAGGCTCTGTTTCGTGAGCAGAGCGTAATATAAAATCACACCTATTGACCTTCTGTGATATTCACCACTCGTTGATTAATGCTGCTGAATAATTGTACTGATTACTGGGGGGGAGGGTGAGGGAGACGGAGATGGTGGGGGGTTGGGTTGACACGTGGCGCCTTCAGACGCGCTTCTGCGGCCGTCTGGAACGCTCTTTCCTTCCGATATTAGGAAGCCACATTGGGAGCTATAAGCACTTTGGGTGGGGGGGTGGGTGGGGGGGTGGGTGGGGGGGTGGGTGGTGGGGTGGGGGGGTGGGTGGGTGGGGGGGGGGGGGGGTGGGTGGGGGGGTGTGGGGGTGGGGGGGTGGGGGGGGTGGGGGGTGGGGGTGGGGGGGGGGGGGGAGTGTGATGGCAAAGAGTCGCTGGTCGCGCTCAGAGACGTGGAGGCGTAACGGAGGGGGAAGGGGGGCTCCACATCAACTGAAAAAACACACAGGAAAAAAACTCAACGCGTTCATCAATAACACCGTGCGGCCAGCGAAAGAAGTTCAGAATGCATAAAAACTGCAACTAAACTAAAACTAACCTTTTTTTTTATTTTACAAGGTTATGGCCTGCTGAGCTAGCTCTTCTTTCAGAAGCGACCTGGCCACAAACGACAGCTCAAAGAAGTGGCTTATCATCACGTGGACATTTGTAGCAGCCAAAATAATCTACAAAGCACGCCGATTCTAAACGCGGAGAGGAAAATCCCTTTGGACCCGGAGGAAAAAAATCCACGCGACCACGGTGACAGAGAGAGAGAGGACACAGAAACTACCAAACACGAACGCACGACCTCCCGCATACCAGGCGAGGGAGTCAACATCTTGCCGCCTCCGCCGCCACCATCATCATCCTCCTCACCTTGCTTGCAGAAGGGTCCGTGGAAGGGCGTGTGGGTGCAGTCACAGCTGTAGCCGTTGTAGCGCTCGACGCAGCGTCCCCGGTTTCGGCACAGCACCCCGTAGCTGCTGCAGTGGCCCGTGCAGCCGGGCTCCACGCCCTCGGTGACGCGCGCCCGCTCCTCGAGCGCCAGCGCGACGCCGTTCATGTGCAGCGCACGCAGGCAGCCCAGGAAGCCGCGCTGGCCCGAAGCCGAGGCCCCTGCGACCCGGCGGAAGGAGGCTCGGTCGGTTGGTGGGTTGGTGGGTGGGTCGGTGGGTGGGTCGGTCGGTGGGTCGGTGGATGGGTGGGTGGCTCGGTCGGTCGGTGGGTGGGTGAGTCGGTGGGTGGGTCGGTCGGTCGGTGGGTAAGTCGGTGGGTGGGTGGGTGAGTCGGTGGGTGGGTGGGTAAGTCGGTGGGTGGGTGGGGGGGGTGTCGGTGGGTGGGTCGGTCGGTGGGTGGGTCGGTCGGTCGGTGGGTGGGTCGGTGAGTGGGTAGGTTGGTGGGGTCGGCGGGTGGGTCGGATGGACAGTCGGTTTATTGGTCACCACCGGAAATTGCGGTACCAGGCTAGGTCCTGCCAATCCACACGCACCCAGCCACCCACCCAGCCACCCACAAACCCAGCCGCCGTACACCCACCCACCACCAACCCGCCCACTAAACCACACCCCCACCGCAAACCCACCCAGGCACCCACCCACTACGCACACCACCCACTACGCGCCTACCCACCCACCCACCCACTACGTGCCTACCCACACACGCCACGAACGCACCCACGAACAGCTTGCTGTTGAGCAGCAGGCGCGTGTGGCCGTGCGCCGGCGCCTGGAAGGAGCGCGCGGGCAGCGCGTCCACCTGCAGCGAGGCCTGCTTGACGCTGCGCTCGGCGCGCACGCCGTGCCACTGGTTGTCGTTGAGGGGCCGCGGGCTGGAGGCCGTCACCTCCACGGGGCCGTCGCCCACATCAAACGCGAAGCTCACCTCCTGGGGGGCTGCGGGAGGGGGGTGGTGGAGAAGTGGGGGAAGGGGGGCACGTGGGGAGCAGGGCGCGGGAAGGAGGCGGGGTGAGTGGCGGTGGTTGTGGTGGTGATGTTCGCTGAACTTCTTTCGCGCCGTACGTAGCCAGCCGGACCCAATCGGAGGTGTGCTTCTGCGGCCGTCTGGAACGCGGATCCAGTGAGCTGGGGGTTCAAGGACACGTGTGCTGCAGGCGCTGACGTTCTCATAGCGGCAGGCCGATCACGTAAGTATGTACTGTATTTTATTTAGGTCTTTTGGTAAAGCCACGTAGATAGATAAAATAATAAAAAATATTTAAAAAATTGTTAATATTATTTTTATTTATCTACGTGGCTTTACCGAAAGACCCAAAGAATATGAATTCCTGCAGTCACGAAAGCTTTAAGTCAAGATATATGTACTGTATGTTGAACCTCTTTCGCACCGTACGTAGCCAACCGATGCTAATTGGAGGTGCAGGGGAAGGACAAACTACTCAACACGAAAAGCAATTTCTAAAGAAATGCGTTTTCAATCCAAATTTAAAAATGAATAGCTTCAGTAGCTTCCTAATACCTATGCAGGTGAATAGATAAGTACCATAGTAGTAGTATTATTCTTCTTCTCATAAATGCCACTGCCTTTCACTCCACCACCTCCACTCACTCACTTAATGGCAACGGACCATCACTCGCCACCACCTTGACCTCCTCACTGAAACCACCACCACCACCGCCGCCGCCACGGTGGGTGCTGAGTGTGTGGTAGTGGGCGAGTTTCGTCGGGGTATTATTGACCCGGCGCGGTGGTGGCGGTGATCATGAATGGGGTGGCGGCGGGTATGTGATGGTGGGAGAGAACGTGCGGTGCTTGTGGCGATTGTGGGCCAGTGGATGGCGGTGTAAGGCGGTGGGGGCGGAGGTAAGTGGGGTGGTCAGTGAGTAGGTCACGGTGGTGGTGGTGGTAAGTGACGGTCATTTGGCATTGAGTGATGGTAGTAGTGCTTGCGTGCGAGGCAGTGGCATTGGTAATACATATTAATAACAAGGAAGAAAAACCGTGCGTGGCTTCTTTAACACTAGCCAACGCTCGTTTGTCCTTGTTTTTAATTATCACCACCACCGTGACCTTCCCCCATCAGTTTGTACCGTATCGTCCGCTCCACATTGTTTGTCCCATAAGCCTCGAGGCACATCAGCATTTCAGCTGTGCCCTCCAAGACATGATTGACTGTGTGAACGCAACATTAAATAATCAAACTAGGATGACGATTATTATTTGATGCATGTCTAGCGAGAGAACACACTGCGGTTGATTGATGATTTCCCGTCCCCTTGTGTTTTCCGCCACGCAAATTTGATTCCAGTCGCGCTGTCGGCGTCACGTCGCGAGAGGCACGCCCGCCCGTGCGCTGCATCCGCGATCCTCGCAGAGCCGCACAGAACGGCCCGTGGAAGGAGGCGTCGCGGAACTAGTTCTGACGTGCCCTCAAGGTGACCTCTGATCCGCACGCAAGGCCCGCGCACTTTTGCCGCGCGCCCCCGCTGCGGAGATGTTCTCTGCGCGCCAATGAACCATTTCCCCCACTCCGAGACGTCTGCAAGCCGCGCGGCCACCACTCTGAATTTTTAAACAGAATACAATTAACGAATCGTTAACACACACACACGCACGCGCGCACGCGCACGCGCGCACGCGGGGCTTAATTGAGCTCTCCGAACAACATTACCCTGGCCGCTGGCGGAGCAGAGTCGGTGGCACGTGGCCAGTCGTAGATACTGCTCGTGGATTGTGCCGGGTGGCACCCAGGGCAGCCTCTGCCGTCACGTTTACATTCCTGTGCGCACTACAAGCCGGCCGAAACGACGGGGGCTGGTGCCAACGTCGACGACCTGCGCGTGGCGCGCACCTGCGGCGGTGAAGCGATTCGAGCGCCGAGGCACGAACCACCGGCGGCCCGAGTTCGATTCCCGCTCGTGGCCAACGTCGGTGACGATTACAATCTGTGCCTCTCTTGGGCCTTGCCTCGATCGACTCAGCCCCGGCTGGGCACCTGGCGCAGCGTGGAGACATCAGCACCGGGGAGACAAAGGCAGCCGGGGCCACGCCACGCCCTCGTGTGACGTGAATAACAGCTGCTCCGCTCACATCGCTTGCCCCCGGCAAGTCAATGCGGGGGGCGGGGGGGGGTTACTCCACGTCTGTATTTGTGAGCGCGACGCAGATCGGCCACCTACACTTGAGCTGGATGCGCATGAAGTGCTGCAGGCCCAGGTTCTCGAGGAAGATCCCGTGCGACGCCGACGTCTTGAAGAAGAAGGAGATGTCGGCGTTCGTCTCCCCGCGGAAAGTGGGGAAGAGCAGGTAGGCCGACTGGCTGGTGAACAGAGCCGCGTTCCAGAGGCCCTCTGCACAAAGACAGAGAGCGGTGGCGTGGCAGCGGTTGGCGCTACGCCGCGTTGCGAACCCCCGCGACCCGAGTTCGATTCCCGCTCGCGGCCGACGATTTTCTGAACCGGTGGTGGGACTCCCCCTAGGATCGACTCAGCCTCAAATGAGTACCTGGTGCGGTGTGTAAACATCGCCACTAGGGAGACAAAGGCGGCCGGTCGTGGTGCTGGCCACCCCACCCCCTCGTGTGCTGTTCTGGCCTTCATAGGTGCTCGCTAACAGCACTTGCCTCAACAGTCTGTTAAGGCTATATGGGGGATCTTTGTTTTATGTACGCACACGCACACATAAGACAAAGGTCTCCCCCGTGTGTTGGGGCAAGTGCTGTTTTTAGCGAGTGGCACCGATGAAATGCCGCTGGCTTGGCGCACGATGGGGGTGGGTGGCCATCACCACGCCCGGCCGCCTTTGTCTCCCCAGTGGCGATGTTTACACACCGCTACAGGTACTCATTTGAGGTTGAGTCGACCTCGGGGAGGTCCAGGACCGGTTCAAATTTTCACCACTGCCCGTGAGCGGCAATCGAACCCGGGTCGCCAGGTTCGTAGCCGCTGCACTACTGCTCCCCATTACAAAGACAAAGACCCCCCCGTATAGCCTCAACAGGCTGTTGGGACAAGTGCTGTCAGCGAGCACCAATTAAGGCCCGCACGGTGCACGATGGGGTGGTGTGGCCGTGACCACACCCAGTGGCGGTGAAATGGAATTAGATTTACACACCGCACCAGGCACTCACTTAAGGCTGAGTCGACCTACGGGAGGCCCGGCACCAACACGGGTCGCCACGATAACGCACCCGCTCGCAGCTTCAATCAAACTCTGGGCGACCGCCTCGCTTCCGCGAAATTGGAGTGGCGTAAATGTTCCGCGTGCCGAGACGCGGTCGTGGACAAGCGAGGGTGAGGAAGAGCCGGAGAGAGAGAGAGAGAGGAGGGAAGCCTGTTTCACAAACCACACATGCAGCCGTGCCCCCCCCCCCCCCTCTCTCTCTCTCTCACAAATTCTACGTGAATGTCTGTTGGGGCCGACTTGGGGTACAATGGCACGCCCAGGCGGTTCGGCGGGGCTCAGCGAGCGTCCTCGCAAGCGGGAGGCTGCGAGTTCAAGTCCAAGGTTGTGGGATGGACTCAGGCCATCAGCCCTCCCCCCCCCCCCCCGTGGTTCATAAAATGGGGACGGCTTTGTGGGTAAGTCAACAGCGGTCGTCCCGTGTAGTCCACCACCAACCACCCTCATGCCCCCCCGTTACCCCCCCCCCGCCCGCCTCCCCCGCCATAGGAACGTTCAGGGCTGTAAACAGGTGATGAGCACCAACACCTCAATGCTCAGCTGATGGTGAATATGAATATTTTACTTTTGATGTTTAATTTACAAAATGAAGTTAGGTAAACTACCCTGATTAAACTACTCCTAACCCTAAGATCTAAACGCCCCCCACCCCCATCCTAAAAAAAAAACCTCAAAGCTGCGTTAATAAAAAAAAAGACATGTTTGTATGTTCCGGTAATATGAATCGTTTTGTATCAGAGGCATTTAGAGAGAGGAAGTGAATTCGCATTGTCACCGGGGGGTGGGTGCTGGGCTGGGCGGTCCGTGGAAATGTTTGCATCGGCTGAGTTGGTTCCGCGGGCCATAAAAAGTTCGAGACGCGCCTCCTCTGTCCCGCACAGAAAGGGCCCCGGTGTGATGTGAGCCAGGCCACAATTTGGGCTGGTCCATGGGGAGGAACTCACTGTCGCCGTGGCAACGCAGAGGGCCCACGCGGTAGGAGGCGGCGGAGTTGGTGCGGTTCGTGTCCGCGATGACGAGCTGCTGCAGCGGCAGGTGCTCCTTGTAGGTGAGGAGACCCGAGTCCCGTTGCCTGGGCAACCGAGAGAGGGTGAGAGAGAGAGAGAGAGGTGAGAGAGCCAGAGAGAGAGAGAGAGGGAGAGAGCGACATGGAGTAGGGAGAGAGAGGGAGGGTGAGAGAGAGAGAGAGAGGTGAGAGAGAGAGAGGGTGCGAGAGAGAGAGGGAGAGAGTGACATGGAGTAGGGAGAGAGAGGGAGGGTGAGAGAGAGGTGAGAGAGAGAGAGGTGAGAGAGAGAGGGTGAGAGAGAGAGAGAGCGAGAGGGAGAGAGCGACATGGAGTAGGAAGAGAGGGGGTAGAGAGAGAGAGGGTGAGAGAGAGAGAGAGAGCGACATGGAGTAGGAAGAGAGGGGGTAGAGAGAGGGGGGGGGGGGGCAGAGAGGAGGGTAGAGAGAGAGGGAAGGGGTAAGGAGAGCAGAGCGAGAAATGATGAACGAAGCAAAGTGCCGACTACACCGAGCATCTTCTTGTTTCCTCTGATCGTAAAAAAAGAGAGAGGGAGTGGGAGAGAGTGAGAGGGTTTGGGAGAGAGAGAATGTGAGAGAGAGCAATGGGTTAGAGATGGTGGAGTGTAGAGAGACATACGATGTAGGATGAGAGAGAAGGTGAGAGATAAGAGAGTCAGGTGACAGATAAGAGAGTGAGGTGAGAGATAAGAGAGTCAGGTGAGAGATAAGAGAGTGAGTTGAGAGATAAGAGAGTGAGTTAAGAGATAAGAGAGTCAGGTGAGAGATAAGAGAGTCAGGTGAGAGATAAGAGTGAGTTGAGAGATAAGAGAGTCAGTTGAGAGATAAGAGAGTGAGTTGAGAGATAAGAGAGTCAGGTGAGAGATAAGAGAGTGAGTTGAGAGATAAGAGAGTGAGTTGAGAGATAAGAGAGTCAGGTGAGAGATAAGAGAGTCAGGTGAGAGATAAGAGTGAGTTGAGAGATAAGAGAGTCAGTTGAGAGATAAGAGAGTGAGTTGAGAGATAAGAGAGTCAGATGAGAGATAAGAGAGTCAGGTGAGAGATAAGAGAGTGAGTTGAGAGATAAGAGAGTGAGTTGAGAGATAAGAGAGTCAGATGAGAGATAAGAGAGTCAGGTGAGAGATAAGAGTCAGGTGACAGATAAGAGAGTCAGGTGAGAGATAAGAGAGTCAGGTGACAGATAAGAGAGTGAGGTGAGAGATAAGAGAGCCAGGTGAGAGATAAGAGAGTGAGTTGAGAGATAAGAGTCAGGTGAGAGATAAGAGAGTCAGTTGAGAGATAAGAGAGTGAGTTGAGAGATAAGAGAGTCAGATGAGAGATAAGCGAGTCAGTTGAGAGATAAGAGAGTGAGGTGAGAGATAAGAGAGTCAGGTGAGAGATAAGAGAGTGAAGTGAGAGATAAGAGAGTCAGGTGAGAGATAAGAGAGTCAGGTGAGAGATAAGAGAGTCAGGTGAGAGATAAGAGAGTCAGGTAAGAGATAAGAGAGTGAGTTGAGTGATAAGAGAGTGAGTTGAGAGATAAGAGAGTCAGGTGAGAGATAAGAGAGTCAGGTTAGAGATAAGAGAGTCAGGTGAGAGATAAGAGAGTCAGGTTAGAGATAAGAGAGTCAGGTGAGAGATAAGAGAGTCAGGTGAGAGATAAGAGAGTCAGGTGAGAGATAAGAGAGTCAGGTTAGAGATAAGAGAGTGAGGTGACAGATAAGAGAGTGAGTTGAGAGATAAGAGAGTCAGGTTAGAGATAAGAGAGTGAGTTGAGAGATAAGAGAGTCAGGTGAGAGATAAGAGAGTCAGGTTAGAGATAAGAGAGTCAGGTGAGAGATAAGAGAGTCAGGTGAGAGATAAGAGAGTCAGGTGAGAGATAAGAGAGTCAGGTTAGAGATAAGAGAGTCAGGTGAGAGATAAGAGAGTCAGGTGAGAGATAAGAGAGTGAAAGGCCGTTTGACTGTGGGAAGGGCTGCGTGCAGGTGCAGCACTTGTCGTAGTTATAAAAAAGAGAGAGAGAGAGAGAGAGTGAGCGAGAGAGAGCGAAATGGAGTAGGAAGAGAGGGGGCAGAGAGAGAGAGGGGGGGGCAGAGAGGGGGTAGAGAGAGAGGGGGGCAGAGAGGGGGGTAGAGAGAGAGGAGGGGCAGAGAGGGGGGTAGAGAGAGAGGGAAGGGGTAAGGAGAGCAGAACAAAATATTTTGTTGGGTCTTTCATTTAAAAGGGGAGTGGGGGGGGGTTACATAAAGCAAAGCATAAAAAACGAAATGATGAACGGAGCAAAGTGCCGACTACACCGAGCAGCTTCTTGTTTCCTCTGATCGTAAAAAAAAGATAAAAAAGAGAGATAAGAGAGTCAGGTGAGAGATAAAAGAGTCAGATGACAGAGAGTAAGAGAGGAATGGGTAAGAGGATTCGTGAGAAGGGAGAGCGAGGTGACAGGTGGGTGGGTGAGAGGATGGGGGAGCGAGGTGTTAAGGGATAGAGAGAGAGAGAAAGGGTGGATGTGAGATTTAGAGAGGAAATGAGCTGTCGCGTGACGAGTGTGAAATTCGGCACCGATATCGACTCCGCTCAACGCAATCTTACTCGGGAGCGCAGCCACGCCACAAACCCTCACGAGCCTCGGTTGGACTCCTCTCGGCCGTGGCGAACAACAGCGGCCGACCGATAAATATCTGTGCCGGTCCTGCACCTTCCCCCCACCCCGGTAATATGAAATGATGACAGTGTCTGCTTGTTTTTGTTGTTGTTGTTGCGTAACAGTAGTCAATGAACGAGCGCAGAGATCCGAAACGTCTCAGTGTGTGTGTGTGGGGGGCTGCTTCTGAAGCGCTCCCTCGTCACCGTGGCGTGCGCGATGACCACCACCACCACCACCCCCACCACCACCTCCACCCCCACCACCACCCCCACCACCACCACGTGACTTTTATTTCGTGTTGCGCGCGGTGCATTTAGCGCCACAGCGCGTGGATGTAGAGCGTTTGTTTAATTGTGTTGCTGGTGACTTTGTGTGTTCCGTATCGGAATCGCCTGCAGTGCTGTTGCTGCTGGCGGCAGTAAAAGTTGTTTACAAGTCAGACAAAGTCTCTTCACGTGGCTACACAGTAAAAGTTGTTTACAAGTCAACAGTCTCTTCACGTGGCTACACAGTAAAAGTTGTTTACAAGTCAGACAAAGTCTCTTCACGTGGCTACACAGCGGGGGGGGGGGGGGGGTTGTAAATTTCTCCACGCGGCGACGTGCATTAGTGGGGGGGGGGGCGATGTGGGGGGGGGGGAGGTGAGGGGCAGGGGGGGGGGCGGGGGGAGGGGCGGGGGGAGGTGAAGTTGTGGGGGGGGGGGGTGCGAGCCGACAACTCCGTGGATGGAGCAGGGCCGCATCGAGTGGGCGCTGAACAAACTTGAGGCCGAAAGACTCCGAAGCGGAGGGAGCGAGACGCGAATCAGAGGAGCAAAGGCGAAAACCAAAACACAAATACTTACAAGTTACAAAAGAAACGCCGTGATAAAAACAACACCTATGGAGTCGAGAAATACATCGCAGAGGGAGGGGGAGGGGAATGAGCCGAGCGAGAGGCGAACTTGGAGCGAGGCCAAAGAACGGAGAGAGGAGGAGGGGGGAGGAGGAGGGGGGAGGAGGAGGGGGAAGGGGGGAGGAGGAGGGGGAAGGGGGGAGGAGGAGGAGGGGGGAGGAGGAGGAGGGGGGAGGAGGAGGGGGGAGGAGGAGGGGGGAGGAGGAGGGGGGAGGGGGGAGGAGGAGGGGGGAGGGGGGAGGAGGAGGGGGAAGGGGGGAGGAGGAGGGGGAAGGGGGGAGAAGGAGGGGGGAGGAGGAGGAGGGGGGAGGAGGAGGGGGGAGGGGGGGAGGAGGAGGGGGGAGGAGGAGGGGGAGGGGGGAGGAGGAGGGGGGAGGAGGAGGAGGGGGGAGGAGGAGGAGGGGGGAGGAGGAGGGAGGAGGAGGAGGGGGAGGAGGAGGGGGGAGGAGGAGGGAGGAGGAGGGGGGAGGAGGAGGAGGGGGAGGGAGGAGGAGGAGGGGGAAGGAGGAGGAGGGGGGAGGAGGAGGGCGGAGGAGGAGGGGGGAGGAGGAGGGGGGGAGATGTGGCCATGAGATAAGGAGCGGAGAGACTACAATTGCGTCAGTGCCTGACCAGCGTTCAAGTCAAATCAGCCGAGCAATAACGGCAGCTGTCAAACTTTTATTTGATTATCAGAAGCGATTTTCCCAACTCTGTTCCCCAACCCCCACTAACGCCCCCCCCCCCCCCCCCCCCCCCGATACAATGGAGAGGCAATAAACGCCTCGCAATTCCCCCAAGAGCGAACGGGCGGGCAGGCGAGGCATGGCACTGCGAAACGGCAAATCATGTTTGCCAGACAAAGAGTATTTGGTGGGGTGCTGGGGGGGCGGCTGACTTATGGGATAACGAGTGGAGGAGGAGGGGGAGAGTGAAAGTGTCGAGTGAGCCCAGCGAGCGAGACGCTCGCTCCCGACGTCGTGAGCGCTCTCACGCGACCGGTCGGTGCTGCCAACTCTTCGGGGCAGCACGGAACGCACGTGGAGTCCCAACAACGATCGCCACCCCCACGTGGAGTCCCAACAACGATCGCCACCCCCCCTCCACGTGGAGTCTACGAACTCGTTCACCTTCTTGTCCACTAGCGGACGAGAGGGCCTCCCGACGGCTGTGTGGGGTCGTGGGGGATTATTTTGACCTCACTTCGCCGTGCTGGTCCGTGCGGGTCGGTGATGGCGGGGTGCGTGGGTGAGAGAGCGATGTATTTTGCGCCAATGCTCTCTGCTGCTCACCACATAGCCTCCCGCAGCCTATAATAATAATTACAATGTTTAATTAATTAATAATAATTACAATGTTTAATTGCGCATTCCATCCGAGGATCCCAATGCGCGATGCACGAAAGGCAGGAGGCAAAAACAGAGCCAGGGGCAACCGAACGAACGATGGAGCGAAGGCAACTTTAAAGAAATTGGGTTTTTCAAAATAGACTTAAATGTTTATCAACCTTTTCAATTCTCTAAACTTAAAAAAAACACGTTTCTTTAGAACTGCTGCTTTTTGGGATTAGTACGGTGGGTTACGTACGGTGCCAAAGAAGTTCAACGTACACACACACACAAGGGCTTGTTCTCCCACACCTCTACGTACACACACACGGGACTTGTTCCCCCACACCTCTACGTACACACACACACACACGGGACTTGCTCTCCCCACCTCTACGTACACACACACACACACATGGGACTTGTTCCCCCACACCTCTACGTACACACACACACACACATGGGACTTGCTGTCCCACACCTCTACGTACACACACACACACGGGACTTGCTCTCCCACACCTCTACGTACACACACACACATGGGACTTGCTCTCCCCACCTCTACGTACACACACACACACGGGACTTGTTCTCCCACACCTCTACGTACACACACACACACATGGGACTTGCTCTCCCACACCTCTACGTACACACACACACGGACTTGCTCTCCCACACCTCTACGTACACACACACGGGACTTGTTCTCCCACACCTCTACGTACACACACACACACACGGGACTTGTTCTCCCACACCTCTACGTACACACACACATGGGACTTGCTCTCCCACACCTCTACGTACACACACACACGGGACTTGTTCTCCCACACCTCTACGTACACACACACACACGGGACTTGTTCTCCCACACCTCTACGTACACACACACACATGGGACTTGCTCTCCCACACCTCTACGTACACACACACACACACAAGGACTTGTTCTCCCACACCTCTACGTACACACACACACACACATGGAACTTGCTCTCCCACACCTCTACGTACACACACACACACATGGGACTTGCTCTCCCACACCTCTACGTACACACACACACACACGGGACTTGCTCTCCCACACCTCTACGTACACACACACACACGGGACTTGTTCTCCCACACCTCTACATACACACACACACACGGGACTTGTTCTCCCACACCTCTACGTACACACACACACACACATGGACTTGCTCTCCCACACCTCTACGTACACACACACACACACGGGACTTGTTCTCCCCACCTCTACGTACACACACACACACGGGACTTGTTCTCCCCACCTCTACGTACACACACACACACGGGACTTGTTCTCCCCACCTCTACGTACACACACACACACGGGACTTGCTCTCCCACACCTCTACATACACACACACACACATGGGACTTGCTCTCCCACACCTCTACGTACACACACACACACATGGGATTTGCTCTCCCACACCTCTACGTACACACACACACACACGGGACTTGTTCTCCCACACCTCTACATACACACACACACACACGGGACTTGCTCTCCCACACCTCTACGTACACACACACACACACACGGGACTTGCTCCCCCACACCTCTACGTACACACACACACACATGGGACTTGCTCTCCCACACCTCTACGTACACACACACGGGACTTGCTCTCCCACACCTCTACGTACACACACACACACACACGGGACTTGCTCTCCCACACCTCTACGTACACACACACACACACGGGACTTGCTCTCCCACACCTCTACGTACACACACACACACACGGGACTTGCTCTCCCACACCTCTACGTACACACACACACACACACGGGACTTGTTCTCCCACACCTCTACATACACACACACACACGGGACTTGTTCTCCCACACCTCTACGTACACACACACACACACATGGACTTGCTCTCCCACACCTCAACGTACACACACACACACACGGGACTTGTTCTCCCCACCTCTACGTACACACACACACACGGGACTTGTTCTCCCCACCTCTACGTACACACACACACACGGGACTTGTTCTCCCCACCTCTACGTACACACACACACACGGGACTTGCTCTCCCACACCTCTACATACACACACACACACATGGGACTTGCTCTCCCACACCTCTACGTACACACACACACACATGGGATTTGCTCTCCCACACCTCTACGTACACACACACACACACGGGACTTGTTCTCCCACACCTCTACATACACACACACACACACGGGACTTGCTCTCCCACACCTCTACGTACACACACACACACACACGGGACTTGCTCCCCCACACCTCTACGTACACACACACACACACACATGGGACTTGCTCTCCCACACCTCTACGTACACACACACGGGACTTGCTCTCCCACACCTCTACGTACACACACACACACACACGGGACTTGCTCCCCCACACCTCTACGTACACACACACACACACGGGACTTGCTCTCCCACACCTCTACATACACACACACACACACACGGGACTTGCTCTCCCACACCTCTACATACACACACACACACGGGACTTGCTCTCCCACACCTCTACGTACACACACACACGGGACTTGCTCTCCCACACCTCTACATACACACACACACACACACGGGACTTGCTCTCCCACACCTCTACATACACACACACACACGGGACTTGCTCTCCCACACCTCTACGTACACACACACACGGGACTTGTTCTCCCCCACCTCTACATACACACACACACACACACGGGACTTGCTCTCCCACACCTCTACATATACACACACACACACACGGGACTTGCTCTCCCACACCTCTACATACACACACACACACACGGGATTTGCTCTCCCACACCTCTACAATACACACACACACACGGGACTTGCTCTCCCACACCTCTACATACACACACACACGGGACTTGTTCTCCCACACCTCTACATACACACACACACACGGGACTTGCTCTCCCACACCTCTACATACACACACACACGGAACTTGCTCTCCCACACCTCTACATACACACACACACACACGGAACTTGCTCTCCCACACCTCTACATACACACACACACACACGGAACTTGCTCTCCCACACCTCTACATACACACACACACACGGAACTTGCTCTCCCACACCTCTACATACACACACACGGAACTTGCTCTCCCACACCTCTACATACACACACACACACACGGAACTTGCTCTCCCACACCTCTCCGCGACATTGCCACATGGTCCCAACACGACGCGTCGATCCCAGAACCACGGCCGGAATCTAGAAAATGTTGATGATGATTATGATGACGGTGATGATAATGATATTATGATTGCAACTACGAGGCCTTCATCCATATAAGCCTCACCGAGTACCATGACTCCTGTTCGGGACGATTCTGCCAAAATTTTGTTGTTGCAGCTAGACGGATCAATGCTGCTGCTTGTGATGCCCCCACCCCCCCCCCCCCCCCCCCCCCCCCCCCCCCCCCCCCCCCCCCCCATTGAATGATTTGCAGATCGTTTTTCCGCATTGGGATGTGCTACGTCAATCCCGGATACGCTCTTGTGAAGCTATTATTCTGAGCTATGGGAGGTAAAACCAGGGGCGCTCTGGAGAGAGAACGGAGATATTCAGAAGCAGAAAGGCGCCCGAGCAGGGAATGGAACCCAGGCGCTTCTCGCTGCGAGGCACAAGCCGCCACACCCCCGCGCCACCCAAAGCATCCGGGCTCAAGGGTGCAACGTCCAAAGCACCCTCCACCCCACACCCCGTGCGAGCGTTCGTTCGTGCGCTCGTGCGTGCGCTACGAACCCGGCGACCCGAAGTTCGATTCCTGCTCACGGCGGCCAACACCAGTGACGATTATCAGAACCGTTTGTGGGTTTCTCCCCGAGGTCGAATCAGCCTCAAAATGAGCACCTGCTGCGGTGTGTAAACATCGCCACTCGGGGTGGGGCGGGAGACAAGGGCGGCCGGGCGGTAGCGGCGCCGACCGGCCACCACCGGCTACCACCTTTACCGGCCTCCACACGTGCCGCGACTCCGCCAGCGGCTGCTGCCCCGGCAATCTCTTCAGAGGCTATACGGGAGAGGCGCTGGGGGGGTGGCACCTTTGTCTCTGCGAGCGCACGTACCAGACGGGCAGGTCCGCGTCGCAGTTGCAGTGGACGCGGGGCTGCGTGCAGTTGCGCTCGATGCCGCACGCGCACTTGTGGACCCCGGGGCTTGAGCCGCCCCAGTAGGACTGCCGCTCGCCGCTTCGAGCGACCCACCACACCATGGGGGGGCCCTCTGCCCCGCGGGGGGGGGGGGGGAGGGGGGGCGGGGGAGGGGAGAGCGGCGCAAACGCCACGCATCATCGTCGTCGTCGTCGTCATCATCATCGCCAACCAACAGCACGCGTGCGTGCGAACAGATCGAATTGACAAAAATAATATTTTTTTTGTTAAATTTGCAACGCGCGTCGCAGCTGGTTGCCGTTCGCTCTGACGCGGAGGCGGAGCGCGAGTCGGAGGCGCGCGACACCACGGACAAGCGGGAGGGAGCAGCCGGAACCGGCGCCGACAATTGCCCAAGCTCTGCGGTCCTACAGCGGGCGTGTTTGGTCAACTCCGTTCAGCAGCAGCGCAACAAAGCGAAGACACGACCCCTGCCGTGCCTTGCGTGAATGTGACGTGGACCACCAGGCAGCATTGCACGTGCAACGCATGCAACCACATGATGATGATGATGAAAGAAATGACGACGATGATGATGGTGATGATGAAGGAAATGACTACGACAATGATGACAAGAATGGCGATGACAGCCGTATGGTGATAATGATGACGACGACGATCGGCCACGTACACGCGGACGCTGACGCGCACCTGGCGAGTTGAGGAGTCGCGAGCGTCGGCAGGAGTAGTCCACCTGCTGCTCGCAGCTCTCGGCCTGCGCGGCCACGGCCGCCAGCTGCTCGGCCGTGGCGTTGTAAGAGAAGCGCGCCACGTGCGGCCGCTCGGGGCTCGAGCCCGAGACGGTGACTGCCGCTGCCGCCACCGCGGCCGCCTCGGCGGCCGCGGTGGCGCCCCGCGGTGTCGCGGGCAGCGTCGTCCACACAGCGTCCTCTACACGCGCGCGGACGGACACACACACATGGATGATCGGACACACGCATGGATGATCGGACACACGCACGGACGGACACACGCACGGACGGACACACGCACGTGGGGATTTGGGGACGCACGCATCTCCCACCCACCTCCATCTCTCGCCCCCCTGCAGCCCCCCCCACCTGTGATGTTGCAGAAGACTCGCACGGGCCCCAAGGGGCCGCTGCCATCCGTGTCGATGGAGTAGAGGCCGGAGGAGCGGCCCAGCTGCTTGTAGGCCTCGCACGATCGCTCGTGCACCGCTACGCAGGGGTGCGGCACGCGCGGCACACGCGAGGGGGGTCGGTAAAGAGCGAGCGCCGGTAAACCGAAGCGGTTACCGGTTTAATCCGGTTAAAACCGGTTAAAACCGGTAACGGTTTGCAGAAACGATCACCACTGTGCGAAGGTCAGGAACTTGGCTACACCGTCACCCGGTGGAATGTCAGCGACGGACGCGCCGGTTAGGCACGCGTGAACGTACAAACCGCACAGCGGTCAAAGTCACCGCGTGGTCCGAACTATTTTTTATTTTACCACTGAGCTGTGTAGTTATTTTGCTTTTAAGAAGTGACCTGGCCAGCACAAACGATCGCTCAGCGACGCGGCTTATCACCTGGAAAATTATAGCAGCCAAATACTCTAAACGTGTGACGTTCATTCTAAATATCGAGGGAATAAAAATCCACGCGCAATTTTACCCATGCGTCTGAGTTCAAAGGTCAAGGCGCAGCCCTGCAAGTGCTTGCCCACGTCACTGCGGGTGGATGGTCCTCTACCAGAGGGAGCTCTCGACGGTAATTGGTCTACCCTTCCCTCCGCGCTAACCAAAAGTCTTGGAAGAGGTGGAAGTACCCACACATCCCGCCCACCCCTCCTCTGCCCCCCCCTGCCTCCTGCTCCCCGGCGTGGACTCACAGCGGTGGCAGGTGGTGCCGGTGTATCCCGTGCCCTCGCACTGGCACGAGAACGAGTCCCACGTCTGGGCACAGCGGCCACCGTGCTCGCAGTGGTCGGGGAGGCACCTGCACGCGACACGTGGCACGCGTGTGTGACACTCAACACACACACACACGCGCAACACGCGACGCACGCATTCAACACGAGGCACGCACTTATGTCACAGACGCACACATGTGTAAGGTAAACATATGTGTAAGGTAAATATACTTAACACACATACATTTAATGTGCACATATAAGCCATAACAGTACGTTAGACACAAACAGTAAGTTACACACAAAGACAAAGATCCCTGCGTAAAGCCTTAAACATATTATCGGAGCGAATTCTGTTAGAGAGCACCTATGAAGACCGGCACGGCACACGAGGGGTTGGGTGGCCAGCACCACGCCCGGCCACCTTTGTCTCCCGAGTGTCGATGTTTACACACCGCACCAGGTACTCATTTGAGGCCGAGTCGACCTAAGAGATGCCCAGGACCGGTTCAGATAATCGTGACTGGGTGTTTGGCCGTAAGCAGGAATCGAACTCGGGTCACCAGGTTCGTAGCGCGGCGCACTGACTGCTACACCAGCTCGAACACGCACTAACACACACACACACCTAACACACACACACACACACACCTAACACATACACACACCTAACACACACACACACACCTAACACACACACACACACACCTAACACACACACACACCTAACACACACACACACCTAACACACACACACACACACCTAACACACACACACACACCTAACACACACACACCTAACACACACACACCTAACACACACACACACACCTAACACACACACACCTAACACACACACACACTAACACACACACACCTAATACACACACCTACCTAACACACACACCTACCTAACACACACACCTACCTAACACACACACACACCTACCTAACACACACACACACCTACCTAACACACACACCTAACACATACACACACCTAACACACACACCTAACACACACACCTAACACACACACCTAACGCACACACACATACCTAACGCACACACACACACCTAACACACACACACACACCTAACACACAGATACACCTAACACACACACACCTAACACACACACACACACACCTAACACACACACGCCTAACACACACACACCTAACACACACACACACCTAACATACATACACACACACCTAACACACACACACCCAACACACACACCTACCTAATACACACACACACACCTACCTAACACACACACCTACCTAACACACACACACCTAACACATACACACACCTAACACTCACACACCTAACACACAACAACAACAACAACCGCCATTCGCCACTAAGTGGCGGTGACGTCACCACGACGCTTGTGCCAGGCTATGTGCACCCCGAGGCCACGTGAAGTATCGAACGCCCGCTGGCAGGAGGTCACGGGGCAGACCCATGTGCCACGGGCCGACTGACTGAGATGACTGGCTGATGCACCACCTGTGCCCCCTACTGTGCCAACCTGCTGTGCTTTAGCCACCCGGCGCTCGTTGTTGTGAGCGTTGCTCCTCCGCCCTCCGTTGTTGTTGGAGGGCGACTGTCTCCAACTGCCCAGTAGCGTCCTTCACGAGCCTCCTCCACAGAGGCCGATCTTGACACCACTGGTACCAGTCATCGGCAAGTCCACTCAGCTCCACGTCCTCCTGTACCACATCACTCCATCTCTTCTCTAGCCCGTGCCGCGCCCGCTTTGCCCCCTCAATCCGGCCGAACAAAAGCTGTTTCGGCATGCGGTGGCTGGGCATGCGGGCTACATGACCCAACCTAACACACACACACCTAACACACACACACATACACCTAACACACACCTAACACACACACACCTAACACACACACACCTAACACACACGCCCCCCCACCTGTCCAGGATCCCACAGGTGTCCACCTGCAGGTGCGAGTGATTGCCCAGGACGCCGCGCTCCAGGAGGCGGAGGTCGACTTCCCGCTGGTGGACAACGATGGACCGCACGCAGCCCAGGAAGGAGGGCGGCAGGGTGGCGACAGGGCACGAGGTCGCGTCTGGGCAGCCTGGCCGAGGGGGGTGGTGAACGGAGTTGACCGAACAACATCCAACTGGAGGACCGCAGAGCTGAGGCAATTCTTGGCGCCAGCTCTGGCTGCCTTTCCTCGTTCTCGTAAAGTTTCCCGCACGTCTAAAATCATTCTCAACCATTCGCTCTGCGCGTGTGAGCGTCGTTATTGATATCCCGGTGTTCCGGTTTCCTCCCGCGTGCACAAACAACTCAATCATTGGCCGAAAACATCTTAATATATTTTTGGAAAAGTATACAATGCAGGTCCTTGCTGAAGAAAGAGTCGTGAGGACTCAGCGTGACCTCCGCGGTAAACAAGTACTTTATTGTCATCTTGTTCATCAAACGTCACGAACACAACAAGAAAAAAAAATCAGAAGACTATTCAACTATCTTCTATTTTACCAGTTGAGGCCCACTGAGCGATGTAGCTCTTTTCTCAGGAGGGACCTGGCCACACGTGACAGCTCTCATCGAAGCGTCTTACCATCACGTGGACATCTACAGCAGCAGCCAAACGCTCTAAACGCGCGACGTCTATTTTAAATGTGGATGGTAAAAACCACAGGACCCGGAGAAAAATCCACGCGACCGCGGGGAGAGAGAACCCACGGACCTCCTGTACACCAGGCGAGGCAGTTAACGTCTCGAAACCACAATAAGCAGGACGCAAATCGAAGGGCGAGAGGAAGCGGTAACGTCGCGAATTTGACGACGCCACAATGGGTCCAATCAACACCGCCGATTAGAGGGGACAGAAAAGATGAAAATTGACTTTACTATTGAATCTAGCGGGTTAGAGAGGGGGGGGGGGTGGTGGGGGGGTAGTAAATGGTTTCTTAGAAGACTCTCCAGGTGCGGTTTGTGTTTTTCTCCGGAGATCCCCCTCGGGTAGAGGAGTCCCAGATGTTCTTCCGACGCTGTCATCCTCGCCTATTCATCTTGGGGGCGAATGATGCCAAACATTTTCTCTCTCCTGCGCCTCGCTCTCGGGAGCGTAAAATTATTTTACTTCGCGACAATTACGCGCTTTTTTGAAAAATGGAATTAAACCGACAACGCTCGCGATGATAATTACGTTAGTAACAAAAAAAATTAAATCTTTACGATGATTACATCGTTACGGTGATCACGTCGTTACGATGATCACGTCGTTACGATGATTACGTCGCTACGATGATTACATCGCTACGATGATTACATCATTACGATGATTACGCCGTTACAATGATTACATCGTTACGATGATTACGTCGCTACGATGATTACGCCGCTACGATGATTACGCCGCTACAATGATACGTCGCAACGATGATTACATCATTACGATGATTACATCGTTACGATGATTACGTCGTTACAATGATTACGTCGCTACGATGATTACGTCGTTAAGATGATTACATCGCTACGATGATTACATCGTTACAGTGATTACGCCGTTACGATGATTACATCGTTACGATGATTACATCGTTACGGCGATCGCGTCGTTAGATTATTTTTCCGGGCGAATTGTAATTATAAGCCTCGTAAACATTCCGATTCATAATTGCTTTTTGGGGTTAGGCTACGTAATGGGTCTGACCAAATCTGTGCCGTAAAGACCCTCCACCACACGACATGGCCAAACACATTACATTGTCATTAGATACGCGACGCTTCACTCGAAACTGCGTCAGGCATGTTCAGGACACAACCGTCGGGTGGTGGAGTCTCTTACGACACAAACCTGGCCAGACAACTTACGTGGCTTAACACGAGTGTCAATTCCCAACTATACGCTCGCTTTGTTGATTACGACATCATTTCAGTAATAGCACGTGTGGCTTTCTCGACAACTATTCCCAATAATAAAGGTGCTGTTTAATATATTTATATTTGGCACGTCTGCTTTACGTGACAAACCTGACTAATCGGATGTTTCGGTTGGTGCGCGGCTTCAACGATTAGCACGGCTAGTCACGTGCGGTGCAAAAGAAGCCTCAACATACAGACATTTAAACGTATGCGACCTTAGCCCAAACCCCCCCTCCTCCTCTAGTATGTATATCTTCACCCTCTGACCTATTTGACCTCACCTCCCAGGTAGCAGTGGTCGCCCGTGAGGATGTCGAGCTGGCTGTTGGAGTGCATGGCCGTCGAGGGCTCTCCGTCGAGAACGAGCGAGAGGAAGTTGCGGCGAGCCTCCACCAGCACCAAGTGCCACTGCCCGTCGTTCACGGCCGACCCTGCCGCAACAACAACAACAAGAATAGCGACAGCACCAACAGAATCGTCATCATCAGCAGCAACAACACTAGTGACATCAGTAGCACCAACAGAATCAGTTGCAGCAACAGCAGCAGCAGCAGCGACATCAGCAGCTACACCAACAACATCATCAGCAGCAGGGACATCAGCAGCTGCAGAAACAGAATCATCATCAGCAGCAGCACCAACAGAACACGTCATCATCAGCAGAGGTAACAATAGAATAATCATGAGCAGGCAGAAAAACAACAGCAGTGACATCAGCAGCAACAGCAACAGAATCAGCAGCATTAGTAGCAACAGCAGCAGCGACGACATGAGCAGCTGCATCAGCAGCAGCACCAACAGAATCATCATCAGCAGCGACATCAGCAGCAACAGCAACAGAATCATCATCATCAGCAGCAGTAACAACAGCAGCAGCAACAACAGCAGCAGCCACATCAGCAGCAGCACCAACAGAATCATCATCAGCAACAGTAGAAACAACAGCAGCAGCAGCACCAGGAGCAAGAGAATTAACAATAGCAACAACAACAACAACATCAGCAGCAGCATCAACTCTACAAGGGGTGACCGATGGAGTTCAGTGACCCCGCCCTTTCCCTCCCACCGTTCGTCCACCAGCAGTGGCGTGGGCGAGAAATTGCAGGGCCCTCAAGCTCTCAAACCAACAATCTCCCACCTCGGCGGGGCGCGCCGAATCACCTGCGGTGATGTGGACGTTGGTCCGGCGTGCCTGTCGCACCGACACGCTGACCTGCCCGTCGGCCAGCACGACGGACAGGGAGCCCCCCCCCGCGGCCCCCCCGCCACCCGCCCCCGCCGTGCCCCCCAGGGGGAGGTGAAGGAGGAGGGCGCGCTCCTGCCACGTGCGCAGCTCCAGGGAGAAGGAGAGGGAGGCGAGGCCCGGGGGAGCGTCGAGACGGAGCCAGGAGCCAGGGCGTGGGAAGGTCACGGCGGTCGAGCCGGGGTCAAGGCAGCGTGACGTCACGTTGCCCTGTAGCGGGGGGGGGGGGGGGGGGGGAGAAAGTGTTGAATGTAAGAGGGGGGAAATTATGGATTAGTGGCACATGCAAAATATATAATATCCATAATAGAGGTTTTGGGTTAGATCGCGTAAATATATAAATGTGTCGTTTAAAACCCGCCACCACCGAACACAGCCAACTAGTAAGGGTTGTCACGTCAACAGAACGTGGCCAATTCGTCACTAGTACAGCACACCGGTGTGTTGGAGAGCCAAGCCACCACATCTACAATCTGAGTTCGACGTTTCGCCAGTAATGACAACGAGCTTCATCAGGCGACAGCCAGATTTGTGGAGAAGTCTTACTGTTCGGTCCTTATATAGAGGCGTCTGCGCTCTTACACAATGTGGGGGGAGGGGATTACTGAGTCAACGTATATTATGGATGTTCATTATGTGAGCCCTTTGAACTTGTCTTTCCTGCCTATTGTGTTTATTCAAATAGCCCCACCAACGGTAATCCCTATTGAAGTACGCTGCCATTTGTAGGCATGCATTTAAACAATGTATTATTTGAATATTTGCTTCCACGCAGCACTAAGGCGGTAGCTATCCGAACGGTTAAAGTTATTTAGATTTCTTTCAATTTCGATAGATTCTCTAATTAGTCTTGGCCAGTAGTAGCTAGTTTTGCACAAAACGTCAACATTATCAAAATCAATTGAGTGTCCTTGTTGACACGCGTGTTCTGCTACTGCTGACAGTTGTTTTTGGGATAATTTAATATTTCTCTGATGTTCTTTCAGTCTCGTGCTGATTTTTCATCCTGTTTGCACAACATAACATTTACCACAAGTGCAGGTAATCCTGTACACACCTTCTGTTGATAGCTTCGGTAATACATCTTTTGTACCAGATATTAAATTCTGTATTTTATGTACCGTGCCAAATCTTACTCTGTTGCTTTGTTTTTCCCAACATCTGGCTAGTTTATCAGTTACTCCCGCAATGTACGGTATTTTGATCGTTTTAATTACTTGGGCAGTTTCAATGCTCTTGCTATTTGATTTGGTTTTGGTATTCAATGTGCTGTTGATTTGTGCATCATTGTAACCGTTCATTTGTAGCGCTTTTTTAACATGTTGAATTTCACTTCTCAGAATGTCGTACTCAGATTGTAAATGTTGTGGCTTGGCTCTCCAACACACCAGTGTGCTGTACAAGTGACAAATGGCATGTTCTGTTTACGTGACAACCCTTATTAGTTGGCTATGTCGGGTGGTGGCGGGTTTGAATGACACATTTATATACAGGGAATGGCTCCGACTCCTGGCCACGTAGTTTCACCCGGGCCCGCTCATCATCATGAAGGTCCTTAATGATCGTGAACAGCAGGTCAGGGACTCCAAAAGCACGAAGAACATCCCGCCAAAGCCTACTGATGGTATCATAGGCTTTGGCCAGGTCAATAAAGCAGAGATGTAGGTCTTGTTGGAATTCCCTACACCTCTGCTGTAGCAGACGGACAGAAAATATGGCATCTGTGCAGGACCGCCCTTTCCTGAAACTGCATTGGGGCTCCGCAAGCCTCTCATCAGCGTGCCTGGCAAGGCAATGATGAATAATCCTTGCCAGGACCTTTCCTGGCACACTGAAGAGTGAGATACCCCTGTAGTTGTTACAGTCTGTGCGGCCCCCCTTCTTCAAGAGGGGGACCACCACGGCATACTTCCAATCCTGCGGAACCCGTCCAGCGGTCCAGAATGTTCTTCGTAGGGCAGTCTGTGCACAAACGCCACCCTCCCTCAGCATATCGCTTGGGAGATCATCTCTGCCCGGTGCCTTTCCTGGTCTCAGCCTCTGGATCGCCTTCATTACTTCCTCAACAGATGGCACCTCAGCCAGCCACTCACAGGGGGTGACTTCTTCTTCTTCTTCCAATATTTGAGGCACCGCAGCCTCAGCAGGATCATCCCCAGCGAAACGTCGTACTCAAAATGTTTTTGTAAATGTTGTGGATTCACTCTTCAACACACCGGTGGGCTAAAGTAGTGAAGTATTTTGTCTTTTGTAAACGTGACGCTTTTTTTTTGCTGATTGGCCGTGTCGGGTGGTGGAGGGAGTCGCGTCAGGATGAGTGATCCATCTGGATCACTCACCCCACTCACCCGCCTGGCTCACTCACCCGCCTGGCTCACACACCCACCAAACTGGCTCCCTCACCCACTGACTGACCTCGACACGAACGCTGCCATCCCCCCCCCCCGCTCCCGCCATCCATAGCAAATAATAAAAAGAGGCTCGCCACTGCCCACAGGAACAGCCGAGCACTGAGAGTCACCGCGCGTGGCTTCGCAAAGGTGCTCGGCGCTGGACTCATTAACGACCACCGGCCAGAGGCGACGCGTGAGGCTGCGTGAACGCGCAGAGTCGCGTGGAGGCCTCCAGACGGTTCTTACATTCGAGACGGCATCATGGATGTGACAATTCAAACGCGTGACGAATGCATGCGAGCAGCGTATACGTTGTGTGTGTGTGTTTTTTTAAAAATATTTACAACCAAAAAAATCTTGCAAATTGAATCGTGTTATTCTGAGCAGAATGCAGAATGGGGAATCCGTGGTGAGGTGGGGGTGGGGGGAATTGGTGGGGGGAGGGAGGTATAGGCAGGATAACGGTGATGAGGGCGATGATGGTGATAATACACGGCGAGAGGAGGTAACGACGATGGCAAGGCTAGAAGAGGCGCAGGCGAGGTGAGGACTGGGTGAGCGAGCGGTTCACTGATCCTTCGTCGAGGTGTGGTGGGGACGTGGGGGTACAGCGTGAAGACTGAACCGTGAACAAACACGGGGGGGGGGAGAGCGAGAGGGCGAGAGCGAGCGCCAGACGTCGACGATGCCAACGAGAGATCATCGCCCTCGGTCGGGGAGCAAATTGAGTGAGCGGCGTCATCGCGTTACCGCTGACCAGGCCGAGCCAGGCCGAGCCACGGCGCTCGCGCGAACAAGCGAAACAATGCAGCGGTGAATATTTTATGAGCGCGTTATTGTGGGGTCAGTGGGTCGACGCCCGCCTCACCGCTCAACCTGTGCGTGTGAGCGAGCATGTGCGTGTGAGCGAGCGCGCGCGTGTGTGCGTGTGTGTGTGAGCGGGGAGCGGTAGTGTAGTAGCCGTTAGCACTACGCTGCGCTATGAATCTGGCGACCCTAGTTCGATTCCCGCTCACGTGCCCAACACCGGTGACGATTATCTGAATCGGTCCTGGGTCTCCCCTCGGTCGACTCAGCCTCAAATGAGTACCTGGTGCGGTGTGTAAAAACATCGTCACTGGGGAGACAAAGGCGTCCGGGCGTGGTGCTGGCTACCCACCCCCTCGTGTGCCGTGCCGGCCTTCATAGGTGCACGCTAACAGCACTTGCCCCAACAGTCTGTTGGAGGCTACACGGGGGATCTTTGTCTTTTTGCGTGCGCGCGTGTGTGAGCGAATGCCCGTGTGCGCGTGACTGTGTTGATGCGTGTTACCGTGTGCGTGTGCGAGCGAGCGAATCCGTGTGATGGAGTGCGTGACGGAGCGAGCGAGTGACGGAGTGGTTGAGTGGATGAATGGGTGTGTAAAGGGAGTGGATGAGTAAGTGCGCGAGTGTGTGGAGGATGAGTGAGTGGGTAGGTGAGAGTGAGTGAGTGGGTGAGTGCTGGGATGAGTGGTCGGTTGAGTGGATGAGTGAGTGGGTAATTTAGTGAGTGCGTGAACAAGTAGGTAAGAAATTTTAAGAAGTGTAAAACGATTTGGTGCACGCGTGAATGAGTGGGCGAGGAGGGAATGGTTGGTATGGAGGTTGAGTAAGTGGGTAAGGCAGTGAATAAGTGAGTGAGCGAGGAGGTGAGTGGTTGATATGGAGGTTGAGTAAGTGGGTAAGGCAGTGAATGAGTAAGTGAGTGAGCGAGGAGGTGAGTGGTTGGTATGGAGGTTGAGTAAGTGGGTAAGGCAGTGAATGAGTAAGTGAGTGAGCGAGCAAGTGGATTGGTAAGTGGTTGGTTGTGTCAGGAGGTACACAGCTCAGTGGATGAGCAAGTGAAACATTGAGCGTGTGAGTGTCTAAATAAGTGAGTGGGTTAGCAAATTGGTCAACTGAGAAGGTGAGCAGGCGTCCGAGTGAATAATTGAATGAATGGACGGTTGAGAGAGTGGGCGAGTTAGTCACTGAGCAGCTGAGTGAGTGAATTGGCGAATTGTGCGAGCGCGTGAGTGAATGAGCGAGCGGGTGAGTGAATGAGCGAGCGGGTGAGTGAATGAGCGAGCGGGTGAGTGAATGAGCGAGCGGGTGAGTGAATGAGCGAGCGGGTGAGTGAATGAGCGAGCGGGTGAGTTGAATGAGCGAGCGGGTGAGTGAATGAGCGAGCGGGTGAGTGAATGACGCGAGCGGGTGAGTGAATGAGCGAGCGGGTGAGTGAATGAGCGAGCGAGCAGGCAGTCGGCTAACTGAGCAGCTGAGTGGAAAAGCAGCTGAGCAGGTGCCGAACCGGACCCCTGGACGGCGGAGCGAGTTAGCCGCTGAGCAGATACTTGAGCAAGCAAAACAGGGGAAGGCGATTTAGTGAGCTGGCTGGTCAAGTGATGTGAGCGAGCGAGCGTAGGTGAAACGGGCGGAGAGGGGGGCGAGTTGGGAAGGGGGGGGGCGAGTTGGGGAGGGGGGGCGAGTTGGGGAGGGGGGGGGCGAGTTGGGGAGGGGGGGGGCGAGTTGGGGAGGGAGGGGCGAGTTGGGGAGGGGGGGGGCTCGCACCGTCACGTGCACCGCCGGCTTCTTCCGCTGCGCGAGGTCGATCACGTTGACGCCGTTGTACATGACGTTCTCCAGGCACCCGCGGAAGAAGCGATTGGCGGACGGGCCGGACTTGCCCGCTCCGGGCATTCCACCGAAGCTGACCTGCATGCGGGACACGCGCACGCGCGACGTTTCCAGCGCGTTCGTAACAAATAAAAACCGATTCGTTACGGAGGAGTGAATTTGGGGGGGGGGGGGGGGGGCGGGGGGGAACGAACGTCGCGCCGCTCTTCCCACGTGCAGTTGTGCAAGGGCGCCGTCATATCCGACCACGTGACACGCGCGCCACCTCGTGCAAACGGTGGGTAAATACATCTCGAAAAGTGGTGCCCAGCGGGGGTCCACCCGCTCCATTCGGCACGCAAACTCCGTCTCTGTCTCTCTCAACTACCAAAACCGTCCACCACCCGGGCGCCTCAGCATCATCCGTTCTGTGGCGTCGTCTACCCGGCACGTGGTGCTGGAGCATCGCATCATCGAGGGTTAATCGCCGTGCCCATTCGTTGGCAAGCGACGCACGGATCGAGTGGTCCCATTGGTTAGTGAGAGCGTCGTGCGAAACGTTTTCGATTGGCTAATATCTGCACGCTGGGTGGTGATTCGCTAGCGGTCCGTGTGGTTTCTTTTTATCGTTCTAATTACCCCCCCCCCCCCTTCACTTCCACGCGGTGAGTTTGTTTTACTGCGCTCACTGAATTGAGTGGCTTCTGTGTGATTCACTCGATCTCTCACGCTCTCCCTTTGCGAGCCGTGTAAACGTATAAATGTTTTACCAAAATCTGCCCGCGCTCCCATTAACCCACCCACCCACCTGTTCACTCACTCACTCAACCCCCCCATCATCCTTCCACTCACCCACCAACTCACCCATCCACCTGTTCACTCAATCACTCCATCCCCCCATCATCCTTTCACTCACCCACCGACGCACCCACCCACCTGTTCACTCAGTCACTCCATCCCCCCATCATCCTTTCATTCACCCACCGACTCACCCACCCACCTGTTTACTCACTCACTCCATCCCCTATCATCCTTTCACTCACCCACCAACTCACCCACCCATCTGTTCACTCACTCACTCTATCCCCCCATCATCCTTTCACTCACCCACCGACTCACCCACCCACCTGTTCACTCACTCACTCCATCCCCTATCATCCTTTCACTCACCCACCGACTCACCCATCCACCTGTTCACTCACTCACTCCATCCCCCCATCATCCATTCACTCACCCACCGACTCACCCACCCACCTGTTCACTCACTCACTCCATCCCCTATCATCCTTTCACTCACCCACCAACTCACCCACCCACCTGTTCGCTCACTTACTCACTCAACCCCCCCATCATCCTTTCACTCACCCACCAACTCACCCACCCACCTTTTCGCTCACTTACTCCATCCCCCCATCATCCTTTCACTCACCTACCGACTCACCCACCCACCTGTTCGCTCACTTACTCACTCAACCCCCCCCATCATTCTTTCACTCACCCACCGAACTCACCCACTCCCCCACCAACTCGCCTCACCTGGAAGTCGAGGTCCAGGTAGTCGAAGTCGCCGTTGGTGCGCGCGTGGCGTGAGTGGCGGTCCACGGTGAGGTTGACGTAGCGGCCGTGGCGGTGCACGCTCACCGCGTGCCAGTGCTCGTCGTCAAGCAGGTTGCCCGCCGACACGAGCGTGTGGCCGCTCACCCCTCGGGACGCGCTGCTGCCTGCGGGCGAGGGCACGCGGGGTGCGGGCGAGCGCATGGGTGGGTGAGTGGGGTGAGTCGGTGGACGAGTGGGTTGGTGAGTTGGTGGGAGAGTGGGTGGGTGGGTGAGTGAGTGGATGAGTGGGTGGGTGGGTAAGTTGGTAGGTGAATTGGTGGGTGAGTGGGTGGGTGAGTGGGTGGGTGAGGATATGGATATTTTTTTCGCACCTCCGATGGGCACGGTTGACTTGACTACGTACGGTGCGGAAGAAGTTCAACAAATGTGAGCGGCTAAAACACAGCAAGTTGGCACAGTGGGGAGCACAGTTGGTACATCTGACAGTCATCTGAGTCAGTCAAGCCATGGCACTTGGGTCTGTTCCGTGACTTCCTGGCAGCGGGCCTTCGACGCTTCACGTGTCCTCAAAGTGCACCTAGCATGGCACAAGCTCCTCCGTGGTGACGTCACCGCCACTTAGTGGTGAACGGCGGTTGTTGTTATGTGGGTGAATGAGTGGGTGTCCGGCCGCCTTTGTTTGCCAACCCGCTGCTGATGTTTCATCCGCACCAGGTACGCGTTTACAGCTGCGTCGACCTAGGAGACGCCCAGGACTGGTTAGGATATTCCCTTACACATCCACGCGCACCTACTCACACTTCACTCCCCACCCACTCACTCACCCACACACTCAGACAAAGACCCCCCGTATAGCTTGAACAGACTGTTGGGGCAAGTGCCGTGAGCGAGCACCTATGAAGGCCGGCACGGCACACGAGGAGGTGGGTGGCCAGCACCACGCTACGCCACCTTTGTCTCCCCCGCGGTAGCGAATGTTTTTACACACACACACCGCACCAGGTACTCACTTCGAGGCTGAGTCGACCTAGGGGAGGCCCACGGACCGGTTCAGATAATCGTCACCGGTGTTGGTGGCCATGAGTGTCAATCGAACTCGGGTCGCCGGGTGACCACACGCACGCAAACACACGATCTGGTGCGCCGTGCCGGGCTTCATGGGCACTCGCTAACAGCACTTGCCCCCACTACCCACCAGCCTGTTAAGGCTATAGAGGGGGCCAGGGTTGTGGCGTCGGTGGGTGGGAAGTACGGGTAAGATGGGGGGGGGGGTAGGAGGGTGGGCGATATTTGTCTTTGTAAATGTGACGCGCGCGCGTGTGTGCACTCACGCAGAGCCGCATCGGAAGACAAAAAAACTAAAAACCCAGACGGCACTCTCGGGAGCGTCTCGCTGACATTAAACGCGACGTGAAAAGCTGTTTCATGAAAAAGGACTTCGCACTCCGTGGAGCTGTCTGCCGCTGCGCGCTGCGCGGACCGCTTGGGGCGATGGTAGCGCGAGACGCCAACAGCGGCGGCGGCGGCGCCAGCGGACCGCCGAGTGCGCAGAACGCTCCACTCGGTTGAATTCATCCGCGCGATTAAAAAGTAAATAAAGTAACAAAATAATAAGAAAAATAAAAAAAGAATCACCCGTGAAATTTCACAGTTTAAGTCGCATTCGCTCCCCTACTCCACCCACCCACCTCACCGCCCACAACAACCACCAACCCCCCCAGGACCCTCAAACGCTTTGATCATCATCACCCGATAATTTGCCAGATTTCGTTTTTTTTTTGTGGTATACATTTAAAATAAACATTTTTTTCGCCAAAAAAATAATCCCAGCGGTGAAACTTCAAAAATTGTTGGACAAATGCGGGAACACTGTGATGTTAACATCAGAATATTTATTTAGACTGCAGGAGGAATCCGATGAGCTATAAAGCTCTTTTTTCACAGGTGTCCATTTGGGGCACGGGGGTTTGAACGTCACAATAACAAACGATACAAAAAACACTCTAAGTGTATAGGAGAGGTAAGCAAATCACTAAATATATATACGAATAAAACAGAAATATTTTATTTCGCCAGGTAAAGCCCACTGACTGAGCAAGCGTCTTTTTTAGAAGTAACCTGGCCATAAAAATGAGAATCCAACGAAGTGGCTTATCATGTGGAAATTTATAGCATCCAAATAAGCTAAACGCACGTTTCCATTGGCTACTCGTCATCACTGCCACCATTATCGGTGCCCTTATCATCAATGCCATTGCCAAGATTGTCATCATCTCCATCACCGCCACTGGCATCACCTCCACGGTCATCATCATCATCATGGTGGTCGTGCATTCGTTATAGCGCGGCTCCCAAGCCGTGCACCTCGAGGCGTCGGCACAAAGGTGGCAGCTGAGATCATTGCACGGCATGGGGAGCGACCGCAGATCCAAACAGAATGTTCGAACACGATGTAGCGCGCGCAACAAGCGCCAATGCAGAGCGCTGAAGAGCCACTCCACGTTCTGTCCGTCACCACTCTTGTACTCACCGTCACCGATGCCATCGCCGTCATCACCATCATCATCAACATCGCCATTCCTCCGGAGTTAAATAAAATCGGGACCACACAGTGGTCATTATTCAATGCCCCGCGGACGAAATGGCCTCCTGCGCTCTTGGAGCGAATTCCAATTCTACGGCTGACACGGCGCCTCCCTCCCCTCCCTCCGCATTACAAACACGACCTGGGGAGTGATCGTAACCTAAAGTCACAACGCCAATGTCGCACGCCAGCACTGCCACCACCGCCACGGTGCTCGCAACGGCTGGCGCACTGGGCTGACGACCCAGAGGTGGTGAGACCGGGTTCGAGTCCATCTGCCGGCGGCAGCGGCAAGTTGACAACCGAACGATGGGTGGGCCACGTTTCTTAACACCCCCCTACCCACCCTCCCCCCGCATCCCATCGACGGCTTAAAACCCCGCAGTTGTAGTCGATTGGTCGGTCGCGTGCGATGGGGTAAAGTGTGGGTAAGGCCTTGGTCACGTGGGTTTTGTTGTTGTTGATTTCCGGGTCCTTCGGATTTTTGTTTCCCCCCCCTCCCTTCTGATTTATCAACACGCATTGAGATTATTTAGATGATTATGAGCGATCATTTGTGGTAGCCGGGTCGCTTATGGAAGAAAAAAAAACCGTGAATACCATCCCCATCCCGGTAGTTGTATTTGTACGTGCTTGGGTGATTTGTTCACCTTTCTTGTACTTTGAATTCCAATCGTGTTGTTGTTTTGTGTTTGTTGTTGTAACGTTCTTACCCCGTGCCCCAACTGGACATCTGTGAAAAAGAGCTTCATAGCTCATCGGATTCCTCCAGTCGAGATAAATATTCCGATACTGACGTCTACCCTACATAGGAGGTGACCCCCCCCCCCCTCCACCCTAGACTTAGAGCCCTCTTTATTGTGAGTGGAAGGGCCATCCGCCAGCAGTGTCGTGAGCAAGCCATTGCAGGTCTGCTCCTATATCTTCTACTTTTTGTTACATTATAATCACCATCATCATGAAAACAGGCGATTGTTAAAATGAATGAACGAAATAAATAATGAATAAATGAATGCTGCCCGGGTGTGCTGGTCACGCATCGCTCCCGAGTGTTGCAACGGACTTGGGGGCAGGAAGTGAGAATTTGTAAAAAGGTCACAGATGCATTACTCGTGCTGCGCTCCGCCTAATGCAGCCTCGATCATCGCGTCTCGTCTGGGGAGCGCCAGGCCTGGGAGCAGAGTGCAAGGTCGGGTGGCGAACGAGGCAGGGCGGTCAGAGCTTGGACGTTAAACAATTAAAACACAAACGAAGCGTTTTACTTATTTTTTATTTTACCACGTAAGGCCCCAACAGAGCTGTAAGAGCCCTTTGAGCAAAAAGCGACCTGGCCATCAAAAATTGTAGCTCAACGGAAGCGGCTTATCGCGTGGAAATGTATAGCAGTCGAAATACTCTAATAAACGCGTGTTGATTGTAAATGTGGAGGGGAAAAATTTTAACCAGAGGACCCGGAGAAAAAATCCACGTGACCACGGGGAAAGAGAGAAACACACGCAAACTCCAAATATACAGCAGCAGGCATCGTCAAGGTTGAGATCGAACCCACGACCTCCTGCATAGCAGGCGAGGTAGTTAACATCTCCTAACAACCGTGATGATAATGATGAGAGGGAGAGAGAGACACGCAAACTCCACAGCAGCAGCAGGCATCATTAGTATTGGGATCGAACCCACGACCTCCTACATAGCAGGCGAGGTAGTTAACATCTCCTAGCCACCGTGATGATAATGATGAGAGAGAGAGAGACACGCAAACTCCAAATATACAGCAACAGGCATCGTCAGAATTGGGATCGAACCCACGACCTCCTACATAGCAGGCGAGGTAGTTAACATCTCCTAGCCACCGTGATGATAATGATGAGAGAGAGACACGCAAACTCCAATTATACAGCAGCAGGCATCGTCAGGGTTGGGATCGAACCCACGACCTCCTGCATAGCAGGCGAGGTAGTTAACATCTCCTAGCTACCGTGATGATGATGATGAGAGAGAGAGACACGCAAACTCCAATTATACAGCAGCAGGCATCGTCAGGGTTGGGATCGAACCCACGACCTCCTGCATAGCAGGCGAGGTAGTTAACATCTCCTAGCCACCGTGATGATAATGATGAGAGAGAGAGAGACACGCAAACTCCACAGCAGCAGGCACGGTGGCGCCCTAAGCCGGAATCCGTGGGACGAGAGCGCGGTCGCCGACTCGGAGCGCAAGCTGTCGACGTCACAGAGGAGCGGGCGGGCGGGGCCGTCCGCGTCACTCGACCACGTGATACGCGAGCGCTCGGAAACTCCCCCAGCCGGCACGTGCGGGCTGACGGTGAGCTACGCGGTGGGTCGACGGGCGGCATTCACAAACAACAACGACGGTCCCTTCGCTGCCGCCGCCGTCACCCGGAGTGGTGAAGTATGGTCAAACAACCACCCGGCCCCCAATGGACCGACACGGCGTCGGGGCGGGTTTATCGAGCGGTGGCGAGCGGCAGCAAAGCTGCGTGCGGCCGGGTGGTCGAGCGAGAGGACGGTCACGGTCGGAAGGTTCGCGTGAGTCGAAATTCCCATCGGCACTCCCGATGGGGTCGATTGAAACGAGCAACTGCGTTGTTTGGGCTCTGGAATCAGACTCGCTCCCCGCCAGAGGAATGTGAAATCTCCGCCACGGCCCGCTGGGCTGTTCAATGGGGGGGGGGAATGCGCACCGATGCCTCGACGATCATTCGAGCAGCGGTTTCATTTTGTGAGTGGGCGCTTTATTTATTTAAATAATACGCGTGCTTAGGGCTTTTTTGTTGTAATTATTTTTAATTAATAATAAATATTGGTGTCATGATTAATGCGACAAGCATCTGCATGCCTGGGTAATTGTTTAACCGTAACTCGTGGCGCTGTGACCCATCCCGATGGGAAACACTCTCCATCTCGCGCCATCCGACTCGCAGTCCTACAATCGATATTGTTTTATTAACTTTCGCGCACGCCCAAGTCAGCGGCGTGGGGGGGGGGGGGGGTATCGAATATTTTTCATTTTAAATAAATCATCGCATTAGCGGAAACAGAACCGACAGTGCAGCCTTCGCTGAGATTTCAACAAGTGCAAACGTTTCCCATGAACAAAAATATATAATATATACATAAGCGCGTTTACGAGTCGGGGTGGAGTGGTGGCGCAGTGGTTAGCGCGCTCCGCTACGAAACCCACGGCGACCCGACTTAGATTCTGGGCGACGGCTGGCATCAGTGGCGAGTGATATCTGGACAGGGTTCTGCGTTCTACGCTTCACCAACCCGCACTGACCAGCGCGGTGAAATATGGTCAAACAGCTCCCATGAGCATCACAGCGTGGTCGAACGCCGTCACCCAGCAGTGGATTGACAAAGTACTTACTCTAAGCTATTGCGATTACATTTGTGGCGCCCGCTTATAAGTTGGTCACACCTTCATTTAATTCTTCATCAAATTTTGCTGCAACGCCGCGCCGAATCTCCGGAGGCTTCTGCCGTACGGGGGGAAGTTTGGCCCCGTTATGTCCATGAGTGTTGGGCAGCAGACGAGCGCCCAGCCTCAACGAGGCTTTCCCGCATCGGCACATTCGCTTTGTCCGCCTTGTTTGTAGGATGCGCATCCGTCTTGGAAGTCTACTCGGCGTTAGTTCGCGGTGGGCCGGGAGGTGTCAATGACGTCGCTCGGAGGGCCGGGAGGTGTCAATGACGTCGCTCGGAGGGCTAGAGGTGTCAATGACGTCGCTCGGAGGGCCGGGAGGTGTCAATGACGTCGCTCGGAGGGCCGGGAGGTGTCAATGACGTCGCTCGGAGGGCCGGGAGGTGTCAATGACGTCGCTCGGAGGGCGGGAGGTGTCAATGACGTCGCTCGAAGGGCCGGGAGGTGTCAATGACGTCGCTCGGAGGGCCGGGAGGTGTCAGTGACGTCGCTCGGAGGGCCGGGAGGTGTCAATGACGTCGCTCGGAGGGCCGGGAGGTGTCAATGACGTCGCTCGGAGGGCCGGGAGGTGTCAATGACGTCGCTCGGAGGGCGGCGTTGCGGTTCGCGCGTTCGCCGCTTTGTTGCAAGGGGCGCTCGCGGTTCGATTCCGCCGACCGCCCTGGTTAATGCTGCAGTGTCCGCAGTGGGCGTTAGGGGATCCACGCGACGTCATTTGAAAAAAAAACGACGCCGAAAATGACTCAACTGGGATCACGCCCACAGCAAGCAGCCATCATTGCCCCCACCCCACTCCCCCCCCCCCCTCTCTCATGCGAAAACTCGACGGGACCCTCCTGAGATAGGCTCACGAGACTCAATGAGGCTTGCCCGGATTAAAAAAAAACACACGCGTTCTAATAATAATGACGACGACGCAGACGACGACGATGACGACGACGCAGACGACGACGATGACGACAAGGGATTTTCAAAAGCAGTTCTGCGACTTCTCCTTCAGCGCGGGAGAGTCCTCGCACGCGGGGCGGTGAGCACCGCTCTCTACGCACCTCGTCTCGCGGACGCCGAGAGCGAATTTTGAAATTAAACTCAGAACGAGGACTGGAGAGGAGAGAGAGAGAGGAAAAAAATTGTTAAAAGCGACGAAGCGGAACGCGAGTGCCATCTGATGAGGTCTGCAGAGCGAGCAGAGCGCACATGACTCTGGGGGGGTGGGTGGAGGTGCTGGGTGGGAGGAGGGGGGGGGGACTTTGTGTCAGAGGGACTGTCTCTCTGCTCAGACATGCGTGACTGGGGGAAGGAGGGGGAGCAAGTGGGGGGTGGGGGGGGGGGGGTGCAGGAGAGAGAGGGAGGGAGGGAGGGTGTGGATCCCACCTGGCTACATCTGGTTCACACCAACAAATAATAATTATAAACAAAACTTTTTTATTTTATTTTACCAGGTAAGGCTCCACTGAGCTACGTAGCTTTTTTTGTAATAGCGACCTGCCGATCGCAAACGATAGCCCAACGAGATGGCTTCATCATCATCATCATCGTCGCGTGGAAATGTGTCACAACCAAGTCCTCTAAAGCGCGTGACGTTGATTCTAAATGTGGAGGGAAACGCCGGAGGACTCGGAGACAAATCCACGCAATCATGGGGAGAGAGAGAGAGAGACACGCAAACTCCCAAATAATACAGCAGGCGTCAGGGCCAAGATGGAACTCATGACCTCCTGTATACCGGGCGAGGGAGTCAACGCCCTAAACACATGGATGGGTTCGTGGGTGGGAGCGTGTGCGTGGCTGGTGTTAGGTGCTACAGGCCCGGGCTACTGACAGGTCAGGCGGTTGTAATCGGGGTTCAGTATTCGGAGTTTGAGTTAAGATTGGGGGTAGGGTTTTGGTGTTCGGGTTAAGGTTTGTGGTAGGAGTAGGGTTATCTTGTGGGGGTAGAGTTAACAGTAGCGTTAGAAGTAGGGGTAGTGTTGTGGTTAGGGTAAGGCTAGTGTTAGTGTCCTGGTTAGGATTAGGGGCAGAGTTTGTGTTCATGGCAGTGTTTGTGCTAGGAGCGGGTTTAGGGTTCGCAGTGAGGGAAGGTGTCGAGAAGGGTTTGTCGTGAGGTAAGCGTATAGGGTAGGGTTAGTGGATTTAATAGGGGCATGGGTAAAGTCATAGGAGAAAGTTGAGAGTTAGGGGTATTGATAGGAGTATTATCAGTGTTCGGGGAAGGGTCACTGTTAGGGTTCGCGGCATGTCAGTGGTGGCTGATAGTCAATCAATCAGCCAATCAATTCCCCCCTTATTTACAACCAGGTGAAGAGAGTCCGTTGAGAGTGGGAGGGGGAAGAAAGGGGCCTCTCTTTTACAGAAGAGGGACTCGAGTCACAAAATCAATGCAGCAAACAGGTGCTCGGCATGCCTCCCACGCAAAGCAAAAAAAAACACCGGCGATTTTAAACGGAATTGGCCAAAGATCGCATCGCAGGACACTGCCCACTCAAGGGTGCTTGTTGTGCTGATAAAACACACAAAAAAAGACGCGGCTCCTGCCTGCTGCTGCTGCTGTTGCTACTGCTGCTGTTGCTACTGCTGCTGCTACTGTTGCTGCTACTGCTGCTACTGCTGCTGCTACTGCTGCTGCTGCTACTGCTGCTACTGCTGTTGCTACTGCTACTGTTGCTACTGCTGCTGTTGCTACTGCTGTTGCTACTGCTGCTACTGCTGCTGCTGTTGCTACTGCTGCTACTACTGCTGATGTTGCTACTGCTGCTGCTACTGCTGCTACTGCTGCTGCTACTGCTACTACTGCTACTGCTTGTCTTCAGTCATCCTCGATCCGACGGTTTGGCCGCACCACGGGCAATCCTTCGCCACTGCACTTCTGTTTTCAGCTATCCTCGTTGTCTGTTCCAGCGTGAGCCTCGTCCATGCTTTGATGCGATCCCACCCATTGTCATCCTTGGGTCTTCCTCGAGCACGTGGACCGGGTACTGTGCCGCTGCTGCTGCCGCTGCTAAAGAAAAACCTCGTGTGTGGAAGAGGGCCAATGTACCGGTGGACCCCACGCAACGGCTACACTTCATAGGTGTGCATTCTTTGTTGTTTTAGTTTGTTGCTGCAAGCGAAGCAGCGGAAGCAGCGCGGACGAGAAAGGATGTGGCTGGGACAAAAATCCCCCGAATGTCGCCAGCCCGTTGGCCCCGTCACGTTGCGAGCATTATCGCGTGTCCGACCACGTGGCTCAGCGGTAGAGCGAGCGGATCGTAATCCGGGAAAGTTCAAATTCCTGGCTAGGCACGGGGTGGTGGTGGTGGTGGGGTACTGACTCAGCCCATCAGCCCTCCGGGAGGTTTGAGAGGGAGGTCGAGAAAATAGGTACCACTTTGTGAGCAAGTCCAACAGTTTGTTTGGGTGATTGTGAGGAAGTGGGGGGGGGTACAGGTACAGGGATGATGGATGGATGCGGAGAGAGCGAAAGGATGGGGCGCAACTACGGAACGGTTGGCAACCCTGGTGAAAGGAACGACCCAGAGCCAGGCTCTGGGATCGAACGGCGCTCACCGAGGTTGATGTGCAGCTGTAGCCGCCCGCGGTGCAGCGCGAGGGTGAGGTAGTCGCCCTGCTGACCCTCTCCGTGCAGCAGAACGCCGTCGCTGGCGCCCGTCTTGAAGTGCAGCGCCACGACGTCCTTGATCGTGCGCTCCGTCTTTTTCGCGAAGCGCAGCGACAGCAGACTGCGCCCGTCCAGGTACGCCACGCTCGAATCTGCGGATGTGTGGACGTGACATCGTGGGATTGGTGGTGCGGGGGGGGGGGGGGGGGGTGCGTGGGGCTCACAATGGTCAGGTAGGAGACACGGCTGGTGACGCTACCACGTGTGCGCGCGTGTCTGTGTGTGTGCGTTGACTAGCATCGGCCAGTCATCTCAGTCAGTCAAGACATGGAACCTGCTGGGTCTGTCCCGTGACCTCATGCCAGCGGGTGTTAGACACTTCACGTGTGTGTGCGTTGACTGGCATCGGCCAGTCATCTCAGTCAGTCAAGACATGGAACCTGCTGGGTCTGTCCCGTGACCTCATGCCAGCGGGTGTTAGACACTTCACGTGAGTGTGCGTTGACTAACATCGCCCAGTCATCTCAGTCAGTCAAGACATGGAACCTGCTGGGTCTGTCCCGTGACCTCATGCCAGCGGGTGTTAGACACTTCACGTGGCCTTAAAGTGCACTTGGCCTGGCACAAGCGTAGTGGTGACATCACCGCCGGTGGAGAATCACGGTTGTTGTTGCGTGGCGCTGTGGTCTTTGTGTTGTGAGCCACGCATCGATTGTCCAATGAGGCGCGCACACTGCACACGTGCACCCCCCACCACGGTATTCTCCACTACATTTCAGAGGAGGGTTGGCCCCACGTTCGCCGAGGAGACATCATCAGTGTGAGAGGGGACGGCACGCATTTGAAACCGTTGGGGGTTTGACAGTAGCACGGTGATGCTGGTGATGGGGGGGGGGGAGTTCACGCGTTGTGTATTCTCGGTGGGCCCACACGAACGGCCACCAGGGGCAGCCAGGGACCCGCGGGCCTCGCAACGAAGAGCATTGCTTTAGCATAATGACAAAGATCCCCGCACCCCCGTGTCGCCTTAACAAGCTGTTGGGGCAAGTGCTGTTAGCGAATAGCACCTACGAAGGCCAACAGCGCAGGAGGGAGTGCTGTGGCCAGAACCACGCCCGGCCGCCTTTGTCTCCCCAATACTGCTGCTTACGCACAGCACCAACTACTAAGTTAAGGCCGAATCGACCTAGGAGAGGCCCAAGACCGGTTCAGATAATCGTCACCGGTGTTGGTGGCTGTGAGCGGAGAATCGGTACTCGGGTCGCCAGGTTCGTAGCGCAGCGTAGCGCTAACCGCTGCGCCACCGCTCCCCACACACGCGCGCACACAGACACATCCTCCCAGCCACTCTCGCCCACCCTCCCGCGCGCACGAACCTCGCGCCCTGTGCGTGTTGGGCGTGTGGGGTGAGTGGAGAGCGGTGGGACCGTGCGGGGAGTTCGATTCCCGCTCACGGCCAACACCGGTGGTGACGATTATCTGCACCGGTCCTGGGCCTCCCCTAGGTCGACTCGGCCTCAAATGAGCACCAGGTGCGGCGTGTAAACATCGCCACTCGGGAGACAAAGGCGACCGACCGGGCGTGGTGTTGGCCACCCACCCCCTCAGTGTGCCGTGCGGGCCATTCATAGGCGCTACTCGCTAACAGCACTTGCCCCAACACTGTTTTATGCTGTACGGGGGATCTTCGTCTTTGTGCCGCTTCAAGAACATCCGACGGGACATCGTACGGTAACAACTGCCGCGTGACAGCCCCGCTGTGTGAACGCGGGCAGCGTGAGATGATCCGCGAGGTACTGGTGGTGGTTGTTGTTGTTTGTTTGTGCTGCACGTGCTGGAGGAAGCTATCAACGTGGCTCTTGTGGCTACGTGGCGGGGGGGGTGCTGACGTCCGCCCGCACATACATGACATCGACATGCACGCGAGAGCGTTGATTTAATCATTTGTTAGTCTCGTGTATCCGGTGCTCTAAAAACGGCGTAAAAGCATTCGCCACGCCAATGCTTTGTGTTGGCCACACGCTCCCGACTCACTTGCCCTCGCAGCCTGTTGTAGGCTACAGCGGGAGGAATCTTTGTCTTTGTGGGGAGGGGTGGGTGATTGGGTGAGAGGGTGTTGGTGAGTGGGAGGAGGAGGAGGGTGGGGGCGGGAGGGTGAGTGGGGGAGGGTGTTGGTGAGTGGGAGCAGGAGGCGGGTGGTGGGGGAGGGTGTTGGTGAGTGGGAGGAGGAGGGTGAGTGGGGGAGGGTGTTGGTGAGTGGGAGCAGGAGGGTGAGTGGGGGAGGGTGTTGGTGGGTGGGAGCAGGAGGGTGAGTGGGGGAGGGTGTTGGTGGGTGGGAGCAGGAGGGTGAGTGGGGGAGGGTGTTGGTGAGTGGGAGCAGGAGGGTGAGTGGGGGAGGGTGTTGGTGGGTGGTAGCAGGAGGTGGGTGGTGGGTGGGGGGAGGAGGTGGGTGGTGGGGGGTGAGACACCTGTCAGGGGAGCGACGAAGTGCGGAGAGGGGACAGCGGTGCTGACAGACGCAGCACTGCGCTGGCGTGGTGGTGATGGTGATTATGAGACGGTGGCTCGGTGCAACGCGTGTCTTGGGATTCTTTCAGCGTCCAGCAAATAAATAATCACCTGCACCTCGCTCAAGTTGCGGGGAAAGGGGCTGCTTGCTGTTACCTTCAGCAGCATCATCATACAAGACTGTCGGAGGTAGCGATGTTGCTGCTGCTGCTGCTTAAGATAAGAGTACGCATGCTGTTTGAGATTTTTATTTTATTAAATGATGTACGTTGAACTTATTTTGCACCGTACGTAGCCAACCGTGCTAATTAGAGGTGCGGGGGAAGGACAAACTAAACACAAACAGCAGTTCTAAAGAAATATGTTTTCAATCTAGATTTAACAGTGTTGATGCTCCTTGCTGCTGATGATGGGATTTACCCTGGTGTAAACCAAACGCAGTCAATAAGCACAAACTTTGCGAAACATTTGGCCGTATTAAATGACCGTTTCTGAACGCAGGTGTCACCACGAGCACAATTAATTAAGGATTTCAAGTAATTTCAATCGTAATTCAAATTTGTCAGAGGCAGCTGCTCTTTCGCCAAAATGGAAAGAATGGAAATCAATTTCATTTTTTTTTTCAAATTAATTGTAATTAGGTTGGGGAATTGATGCGGTAATTGTAATGCTAATGAATTACCTTTCAGCAAAGCTGACCTGTGATCGTATATGGGTACACGTGTGTGTGGGTGGGTGGGTACACGTGTGTGTGGGTGGGTGGGTACACGTGTGTGTGGGTACACGTGTGTGTGTGTGTGGGTACACGTGTGTGTGTGTGAGGAGCTCACATATTCTTGAAAGATCTGGACAAAGTCCAATCGGTGAGCTCCTCCGGCAGGCAAGGCTGCGTTGGCTGGGTCACGTAGCCCGCATGCCAAATCACCGCATGCCTAAGATTTTGTTCGGCAGGATCGAGGGGGCTAAACGGTCGCGGCACGGGCTAGAGAAGAGATGGAGTGATGTGGTACGGGAAGATGTGGGGCTGAGTGGACTTGCCGATGACTGGTACCAGCGGTGTCAAGATCGGCCTCTGTGGAGGAGGCTCGTGAAGGACGCTACTGGGCAGCTGGAGGCAGTCGCCCTCCAACAACAACGGAGGGGGGAGGAGCGACGCTCACAACAACGAGCGGAGCGCCGGGTGGCTAAAGCACAGCAAGTTGGCACAGTAGGGGGCACAGGTGGTACATCAGCCAGTCATCTCAGTCAGTCGACCCGTGGCACCTGCTGGGTCTGCCCCGTGACCTCGTGCCAGCGGGCGTTCGACACTTCACATGGCCTGGCACAAGCGTCGTGGAGACGTCACCGCCACTTAGTGGCGAATGGCGGTTGTTGTTGTGTGTGTGGGTACACGTGTGTGTATGTGTTGACCCAGCGCGCTGCGCTACGAAGCCGGCAACCCGGGTTCGATTCCCGCTCACGGCCAACACCAGTGACGATTATCTGAAGCGGGCTTGGGCCTTCCCTAGTTCGACTCAGCCTTAACTTAGTAGCCGGTGCTGTGCGTAAGCAGCAGTATTGGGGAGACAAAGGCGGCCGGGCGTGGTTCTGGCCACAGCACCCCCTCCTGCGCTGTTGGCCTTCGTAGGTGCTACTCGCTAAGCACTTGCCCCGACAGCTTAGTTAAGGCTATACGGGGGATCTTTGTTGTGTTGACCCAGAGCTGCAGGCGAGTGGTTAGCACTGCACTGAGCTACGAACCCGGTGAGCCAGGTTCGAGTCCCATTCAAAGCCAACATCGGTGTGCCGAAAAATGTGAAATGGTGCTGAGCCTCCTCTAAGTTGACTCGGCCGTGCGTGAGTGCATGCATGATGCGATGTCTAAAGTATCAGCATACGGGGATACAAAGGCGGTCAGGGCTTGGTGATGGCCACCCACCTACCCACTTTTTGTGTAAATGCATTGACCTTCATTTGGTGATCGCCAACAGAACATTTTGTTAGAAGCTCTACGGGGGATAATGAGACCTCCTTTGCAGACATGATTCCTTGTGAAAGGTTTCAGTTTGGTGTTTTAACATCTTAACACCTGAATGTTGTCAGAAAAAAAATGGGGAAACCTATCCTCATACTCTACGGGGGATCTCTCTCCGTGCGTACGGTTAGCGGTGGCCGCAGCCGCTTCGTGCACAGCGAACATCAGTGGTGAGCGATGTCAGTTACCGGTCCTGTGGCCTCCCCCCTAGGTCAACTCGGCCTTAAATGAATCCCCGGTGCGAGGTGTGAACATAGAGCAATCCTCCTAACCACTCTCGCCCACCCTCCCGCGCGCACGAACCTCGCGCCCTGTGCGTGTTGGGCGAGTGGGGCGAGTGGAGAGCGGTGGCACCGTGCGGGGTGCGGGGAGCGGTGGCGCAGCGGTTAGCGCTGCGCTGAGCTGCCAACCGCGGCGACCCGAGTTCGATTCCCGCTCACGGCCAACACCGGTGATGATTATCTGAACCGGTCTCGGGCCTCCCCTAGGTCGACTCGGCCTCAAATGAGTACCTGGTGCGGTGTGTAAACATCGCCACTCGGGAGATAAAAAGGCGGCCGGGCGTGGTGCTGGCCACCTACCCCCTCGTGTGCTGCGCTGGCCTTGATAGGTGTTGCTCGCTAACAGCAC